AAACACTATTTTTTTTTTACCTTTGCGTCACGCAGTTCATAAAAACTACTTATTTCTAGCGTTTGGTTATCGAAACCCCCAAATTTTAAAGAATTTTTCACTGAAAGATTATAAGAATTCTCGACAAAGAGAGGACTAAGAGTTCATTGAAAAAAATCTCAAATTTCCTCCATTTTCATTGAAGAACTAATATAGAATATGTATATTATATTGTTTATTCACCAATCAATGACCCCAGGGGGCATTTACAATTATACCATGATTTAACAAAGTAAGTCTGATTTTGGCCGAGGAGACTTTGTTACATGAATGAAGAGAAATATCAGAAATCTTGACATGAAATAAACAATTCTATTGTTGTTACCATTTCATTATCACTGTAACATTGGTGTCTGCTCACCTGAAGAATGGTCCTAAAGACACTAATAGATCTAGATAAACAGGGCTATGATGCATGACCCTATAGACACAAACAAATTAACAGAGCTATGATGCATGACCCTATATCCACTCACAGATTAACAGGGCTATGATGCATGACCCTACAGACACTGATTAACAGAGCTATGTTGCATGACCCTATAGACCAAACAGATGAACAGGGCTATGATGCAGGATCCTAGAAGCACAAACAAACAGATGATCTTGGCTTTGATGCAGGATCCTAGACACACAAACAAACAGATGAACAGGGTTATGATGCAGGATCCTAGAGACACAAACACACAGATGAACAGGGCTATGATGCAGGATCCTAGAGACACAAACAAACAGATGAACAGGGTTATGATGCAGGATCCTAGAGACACAAACAAACAGATGATCTTGGCTTTGATGCAGGATCCTAGAGACATAAAAAAACAAACAGATGATCTTGGCTTTGATGCAGGATCCTAGAGACACAAACAAACAGATGAACAGGGCTATGATGCATGACCCTATAGCCACTCACAGATGAACAGGGCTATGATGCATGACCCTATAGACACAAACAGATTAACAGGGCTATGATGCGTGGTCCTACAGACACAAATAAACAAATGAACAGGGCGATGATGCATGGTCCTATAGACACAAACAAAGAGATGAACAGGGTTATGATGCAGGATCCTAGAGACACAAACAAATTGATGATCTTGGCTTTGATGCAGGATCCTAGAGACACAAACAAACAGATGAACAGGGCTATGATGCAGGATCCTAGAGACACAAACAAACAGATTAACAGAGCTATGATGCATGACCCTATAGACACAAACAGATTAACAGGGCTATGATGCATGACCCTATAGCCACTCACAGATGAACTGGGCTATGATGCATGACCCTATGGACACAAACAGATTAACAGGGCTATGATGCATGGTTCTACAGACACAAATAAATAAATGAACAGGGCGATGATGCATGGTCCTATAGACACAAACAAACAGATGAACAGGGCTATGATGTAGGATCCTAGAGACACAAACAAACAGATGAACAGGGTTATGATGTAGGATCCTAGAGACACAAACAAACAGATGAACAGGGTTATGATGCAGGATCCTAGAGACACAAACACACAGATGAACAGGGTTATGATGCAGGATCCTAGAGACACTCACAAACAGATGATCTTGGCTATGATGCAGGATCCTAGAGACACAAACAAACAGATGAACAGGGTTATGATGCATGACCCTATAGACACAAACAGATGAATAGGGCTATGATGCATGACCCTATAGCTACTCACAGATAGACGGGCTTTGATACATGAACTGCTTTTGAAAAGGAATTACATGTAGCTTTCAATATTCTAAAAATCCAATGGAACAATGGACTTTATATTCGGGTTCATCATTAATTATCCCCGATTAATGGAAAATATATATTTATTCATCTCTTTACAATTGATAAAAAACAATCTTTAAGTTTTTGACAAAATAACTCATCGCGTATTTTATTTCTATTTTGTTAACGAAGACAGATTTTCTCTTCAGTTAGAGAGTCAGTAAAGGGGGTCTAGTATCGCGTTCCTCCGCTGTCGCGATAAGTGGCACAAAATGAACGATAAACAAACGTGTATCTCTTATATTGATCACGGTGAATATACAGCATACATAGATTCACCTTCACCAGATTCATCAATCCCTATCATAGCGAGGTTATCAATGATCGTCCGTCCCCCGCCATTCAAAGGGAGGTGATAAGATAAGGCCGCACAAGCTACTGAGGAGGAATTAGATTTATCGAAATAACAAAGCAGGCTTTCTATTCAGAAAAATCATATTTTGCAAAAATTTCAATCAATTAGACCAGCTTTTGTGAAATGTGGATTTTTTTAACTGATGAACACATTTTCTGTACTTCTAGTACTTGAACATTTAATAATTGTTTTTTTTTTCCCATTTTTTTCACCTGAATTCTGTATGTGTTGGAAATGTAAGAGATTTCGAAGTATAGATCGATGTTACATATTTATAAAATCATATTGAAATTAATTTTGGGGGCGGGGGGGGGTATTTTTAAGAGGGTGCATAGTCATGACATTTTTCTACTATGTAAGCCTTCTGGAATAAAAAAGCGCTGTATAAAAATAGCATTAACTATTATAGCTGGAAGACGTGTTTTTGTTCACTAAATATTAGTTGCTAGAAAAATCATAATTCATATTTAGCTGGATCTGTTGGGCATATTGGTGACCACCCAACTTCCTTAAGGTAAATTAAAAAAAAAAGCATAGGGGGTCACATTTACATATAACATTTAATGTCAAATAATACAAGACAATATCTAGTTCAGTCATTTACTAGCATTTTGACAAAAGAACTTTTTCCTTCTTTTGCGTTGACCAGTTACATGCATATATATATATATATATATATATATATATATATATATATATATATATATATATATATATATATATATATATATATATATATATATATATATAATCAAACTAATTATTTAACAAGCAAATATTTTATAGAGTATTGTGTGTAATCATTCTCCGGAATGATGACGTAAATTTGTGCTTAGTCTCCATTAATTCCATATTTTAGTGTTTAATGGTGTCATGCCGATAGGTTTACCCTGCTGAGGCAGACTCAAGATGTGGTTTGGATTGCAACTAATAGCAAAACACAAAGATACACGCTTAGGGGTCTTTGTTAAGGCCTTAATAAAACGACGCTACTTTGAAATGTTCTGAAAACTGAGTGCTTGACAGACATTGGAATTTAAACGTAGCCTGGTAACTGTTTCATCTTATCTGTACAACGTATATACATACAGAATTAAAATTAAACATACTATCACAATCATCAGAGAGGCGGAGAAACCGACATCCCATGGGACGTTCATAGCTTTAGAGCGCGATAATTCTAAGGTTTACAAATAAAAGTCGAAGTAGATCGCCTTATCTAATTGCATGAAAATACGTACCGAAAACAAACAAACAAGCAAACAAATTCTGATGTGATCTCATTTTACTGCAAAAGCTGAGACCCTCAGAAAATTAGGGATTCCGTGGTTGTGTGTCAGTGTGATCAAATCGCTGTTTATTTCGGAAGTTTGGCCTTAAAAATCCCCGGACAGATATAGCGTATCATTGCACGTGTAGAAAATGCGTGTTTTATTTGCCGCAAGTTTTTATGTATACTTGTTGTGTGCATTAAATGTGCTTTTGGAGGCAAATTTAATTACAAAAGAGTCTGATGGAATTGCGTTTTTGGACTGGTACGAGACAGAGTTCTCAGAGGTGGAATACCGGTATTGGTCAACACAGTGGGAGTATTACACAAACATTACAGATTTCAATCAAAACAAAGCGGTAAGTTTTATTTGAACAATTTCTGTTAGGCTCATTTCATATAGAAATGATTTTCCTGATTAAATCCGCATATTTTCCAGTTCTCCAAAATTTTAAAACATATAACATTTTAAAAATGCATATAATGCAACAGGGACAGATATTCGGTGAAGTAAATTTCAAAGTACAACTAAAGAGCAAAGAAAAAAAAATTATCTTTGTGTAAATTATTCAGTACTTAGAGCAAAGACTTTCAAAGAATTCGGCTCTACTTTTCAAATGTTCACATTTTTTAATAATCGCGTTTATTTTTGAACAACGAATAGGAACTTTTTGGAGATAACGTCAAGAAAATTCAATCAATTCAGAGCTTTCAGTGACCTTATTACGTCAACCTATCTGGAGTTTCAGTGGAGGTGTTGATTTTTTCCAAATTTCTTTGCATTCCCCTTTGATTTTCAATTTCATTTAAAAATATATATATAGATCGGGTATAAACCTGACAATAGAAGCAGGCCCGTAGGAAGCAATTTTGGTTTGGGTAGGGAGCAGAACTAAAAAAATATTCCTTGACAGGGAAATAAAATCGATCAACAATAAATTTAGCACAGGTTTTTGATAAAACTTGCTCCACGATACAAATGTGAAATCAAAGATAGATCAAAGAATCATATAATATTCATATATAACAAATAATACGAGTACGGAATATATTAACAAATTACAGAAAGCAAGTTGAAAATAATTTTATTGTAAACAATTGAATTACAAAATATACTTAAGAAGAGAAAAATGCCATAAAAAATGATAAACATGTCACGATATTCTATGTTTATATTGTTTCAACATTGCATAAAAAGTGTGGAAACAATTCAAACAATATCTAATTTTCTATTTTGGTTTTTGTTTGTTTAGTTTTTATTTATTTATTGGGGGGGGGGGGTATTTGTTCTGTTTCGCATAGTTTTTGTAATGGTCAAGTCATTTGGCTAGCTATAGAGATGTTGCTTCTCCAATATCTCACCCATTTTATACGTCTAGACATTCGGCATAACCTTAAAATTCAACAATCATGCCGAATTGGGAAATTAAATATCGCATAAAATCGAGTAAATCATTTAATCTAGCTAAGGCATATATTTGACTTTTAAGAAAAAATTATTCTCCACCCAGAGTTCATGTATAAATGAAAATAATGCAGGTGGAGGCAGATGTCTGGAGATCAAAGTTCATTCAAGAAGCAGTAAAGAATGTCTCCCACTTTGACTGGAAAAACTTTCAAAACGAGACTGTCAAACGGATGTTCTGGAAGATAACTATAAATGTAGGACCGACAGCTCTTAGCGATCCGGAAAAAGTGAAGAAGGTATATAAAAAGACAATGTAGCTGATATCTAATAAATGAACAAAAGAAAATTCCTTGTCATTGCTGCAAAACACTATATATTTATATATATATATATATATATGTTCCAGTTAGGCAACGTTATAGCCGAGATGAAGAAGATATACAGCGAGGCAGATGTATGCAATGTCACTCAGGGCGACTGTTTAGACATGGAATTTGGTCAGTTTTAGAACATGGCTTACGAAAATACAAATTTGCAAAATTGAATCTTACTTTTAGCTCACATGAGCTTAAAGCTAAAGAGAGCTTTTTTGATCGAAAGTTTCCGGCTTCCGTCTGCTGTCTGTCAGTTTTCGTCTGTAAACTTTTCACATTTTCGACTTCTTCTAGGACTATACGGAGCCAATTTCAACCAAATTTGCCACAAACCATCCTTGGTTGAAGGGGATTCAAGTATGTTCAAATAAAGAGCCAGGGTCTCTTTCAAGGGAGGATAATTAGGAATTTGTAAAATTTCGGTGCAATCTTTTAATCTTCTCCCCAAGAACTAATTGTCCAGAAAGAAAATATAGATTTTCTGATAAAACTTATTGACAATTGTGTAGATTCAAGTTTGTTCAAATCATGACCTCTTTGGGTATATACGTAGGGTAGGGCCAAAATGGGAGAGCAAAATTTTACATTGGAATGTATATTTTTAAAAAAAAATCTTCTTTTCAAGGACAGCAGAGCCTTGATTAGTCATATAAATATGAAAGTATCCTTAGGTTGCACATTTAAGTTTGTTTAAGCATAGTCCCAGGGGGTGGTTTGGTCCACAATATGGGAAAAATAAAAGAACAGGGTCATGATAAGTGATATTAATATGTAATTTTGCAAGCCTCCTTAGAATGTGCTGATTCAAGTTTTATCATATCGACAGTATGGGAAACCCCGTCAACAGAAAGTATTCTAATGCATAGTATAAATAAACAGAGTAGCAAACTATAAAAAGTAATGTGTCGATATCGAAAGTACATCGTGTCTTGGACGTAACTTGGACATGTCCAAGACCGAATTTGATGTCGATATCGATAATATCGACAATGTCATATCGATCATGATCAGCATAATGAAATTGGAAATGCAGGTTATTATATGCAAGACTGAGTGCTATGTGGATATCATCGACGATATCGATAAAAGGGCAAACTAAGAAAACAGTAAGTATATACCCACAATATATCATAAAGAAATACAGGCACAAGGTCAAAAAAGACCATTTACTGACGAACATGATTCGATATTGATATGATATCATCGATATGACGATATCGACGGCAAAGCAACCATTTAAATATTATGTAAAGTATTTAAACATACACATAGGTACAAAATGGCATGGTAGGAAAAACGGTACTGACCAATGCCCGAGCAAACCTGATTCGATATCGGAGCGATATCGACGATATCCACAATCAGGGAAATGTCCTAATTATAAAGTAGGCGTATTCAATTACCTCACATACGAAAAAAAAGCAATGTTAAAGGTGATAACAATCAGTCATTGAACAATCATAATGCTATATATCAATACGATATGGGAAACCCCGTCCACAAAAAGTTTTCTAATGGATGGTATGAAGAAAGAGTAGCAAAAGCGTCAAAATACTGAAGTGTGTATACATAATATTACAGGACTGACTCCAATCATGGCGGATAACAGAAATTACGATACTTTACTGCGGGCCTGGAAGGGGTGGAGAGACGCCAGCGGGAAACGGATCAGGGACCTATACACGCAATACGTCAATCTGGCAAACGAGGGGGTCCGGGAAGCACCCGGGGGTAAGGTAGAACAAAGCTATTACAAAGCAAGATAACTCATTCTGATGAATTGATATAAAGAGCATTTATTTCTCTTTTAAAAAAAATAAATGCCTAATGATAACTTTGACGCTAATAAAAATCATTTCATTTAATAATGACAGTGATTTTAGGCAGACAAAATAATTATTACAAAGGCATATTACAAACCTTAAATTAGCTAACATTCTGATAACATAAATAGCTTCCAATCTTAGAAAAGTCAAGCATACATTCCAGATCTCTATATATTATTATGACACAGCTGCAGATTCACAAAATAAATCGGCATTTCCAAGTAGTAGTTACCGTATAAGTTTTTATTGGTTTTCTCTTGATACCCTATAGAGAGGTTAAAAGGTCACGAGAAGGCGCAGCCTTCGAGTGACCTTTTAACCTCTCTATAGGCTATCTAGAGAAAACCAATAAAAAAACTTATACGGTAAGTCACATGTACCATAGCACTCTCAGATTTCCTAATATGGCAGAGAGATGATGTATAAGTTACAAATAAATTTCCTAATATGGTTTGTCACCTGACATAATTATAATTTCACGCGCTATACACTGTGCATATATATTACATTTTATTGCACATTTTGTGCACTTGCAATCAAAAAGCGAAAATGGACAAACACAGAGCAATGAGCATTGATCTGGATTTTCTTGAACTTCCGCAAAATTTTGAATGGGACAATTTTATCGATGATCAAGCTCTCTCACAGATAGGCCAGATGATAGAGGACGAAGTAAACGTGTTTGATGGTATTGGGGATTTATCTCTTACTCAAACGGATTTTAATTTGACCCAGGAGATGGTTACACCTGAAAATGTTATACAGCAGTTGGACCATTCTGACGATCGATTTGGAAAGTTTAACGATGACGACGATATGGAAAAACATTGTAAAGTCTACCGAGAATAAATTAAAGATTTTGAATAAAATTTAATTGATTTTGTATGCAATTTAAGACATGCACCGCCTATAGGTTATGAAGGCTCCGCCCACGGGTTATGGTGTAGATAACCCATAGTTAAAACAAAAGAAAACATGGCGGCCTATGGTACATCTTTTAATGAATTATTGCAAATCTATATGATTCATTCAAAGCGCATTTTTATCGAAATTGTATGTTGATTACTTTTGGAGATTTATTGCGAACATGGTTGAAAGCAGCAAAAATCAGTATTCGTGTTTTTAGTCAGGTCAGCGTTGTTACACAGTATCAAAACTGGACAAATTCTTCTTCTAAATTTATTATTTTTTTCTTATCGTTAAAATCTGAAAACAATATTCAGAGATGTCTTGCGGATAGACAGACAGCCTCTTAGTAACTCTGAGGTCAGGGGTACGTTTTTCTGTTATAGATTACGCAGACATGGGGGAGTATTTGCGGGATTGGTACGAATCCTCCACGTTCCAGAGGGATGTGACGGAACTACTGAGACAGCTACAGCCCTTGTACTCCCAGCTCCACGCATACGTGAGGGCTCGTCTACAGGAGCAATATCCTCAGCACCGCTTTCCCAAGTCTGGCCATATACCAGCACATATCCTTGGTAAGGTTGTATGACATATTGAAGCGCGGTATAAACATAGCCTATGTAAGGTCATCTGACATACTGAGGCGTAGTATAAACATACCCTGTGTAAGGTCTTCTCACATACTGAGGCGTTGTATAAACATATCCTGTGTAAGGTCGTCTCACATACTGAGGCGTTGTATAAACATATCCTGTGTAAGGTCGCCTGACATACTGAGGCGTTGTATAAACATATCCTGTGTAAGATTGTCTGACATACTGAGTTGTAGAAACATATCCTGTGTAAGGTCATCTGACATATGAAGCGTTATATAAACATATCCCGTGTAAGGTCGTCTGATATACTGAAGCATTGTATAAACATATCCTGTGTAAGATTGTCTGACATACTGAGTTGTAGAAACATATCCTGTGTAAGGTCGTCTGACATATGAAGCGTTGTATAAACATATCCTGTGTAAGGTCGTCTGATATATGAAGCGTTGTATAAACATATCCTGTGTAAGGTCTTCTGACATATGAAGCGTTGTATAAACATATCCTGTGTAAGGTCTTCTGACATATGAAGCGTTGTATAAACATATCCTGTGTAAGGTCTTCTGACATATGAAGCGTTGTATAAACATATCCTGTGTAAGGTCGTCTGATATATGAAGCGTTGTATAAACATATCCTGTGTTAGGTCGTCTGACATATGAAGCGTTGTATAAACATATCCTGTCTAAGGTCGTCTCACATACTGAGGCGTTGTATAAACATATCCTGTCTAAGGTCGTCTGATATACTGAAGCATTGTATAAACATATCCTGTGTAAGATTGTCTGACATACTGAGTTGTAGAAACATATCCTGTGTAAGGTCGTCTGACATATGAAGCGTTGTATAAACATATCTTGTGTAAGGTCGTCTGATATATGAAGCGTTGTATAAACATATCCTGTGTAAGGTCTTCTGACATATGAAGCGTTGTATAAACATATCCTGTGTAAGGTCTTCTGACATATGAAGCGTTGTATAAACATATCCTGTGTAAGGTCTTCTGACATATGAAGCGTTGTATAAACATATCCTGTGTAAGGTCGTCTGATATATGAAGCGTTGTATAAACATATCCTGTGTTAGGTCGTCTGACATATGAAGCGTTGTATAAACATATCCTGTCTAAGGTCGTCTGACATATGAAGCGTTGTATAAACATATCCTTTGTAAGGTCGTCTGATATACTGAAGCGTTGTATAAACATATCCTTTGTAAGGTCGTCTGACATATGAAGTGTTGTATAAACATATCTTGTGTAAGGTCGTCTGATATACTGAAGAATCGTAGTGTAAAATAAACAGAGAGACCCAAAGCACAAAGGCACTAATTGTAGTCAATTTGTTATCGCTCAGTAGCTGCAAAAGTTGTTTTGCAAGAAAATTTAACATTTAATTTTGTGTTTTCAGGAAATATGTGGGCTCAAAACTGGGAGAATGTGTACCACATAGTTCAGCCTTACAAAGACAGACCGGAAATAGAGGTTACATCTTCACTCAAAAAACAGGTAATATATTCAGACCTGCTAGAGGAGATTAATAAAATCAGTACTGAACACGCATGCTAATAAGTAACGGAAGGTTAAATTGACGGATATATTGAAATAAACATTGCTTATAACCCAGGCCCTAAGGAAGCAATATCAGTTGGGGGGGGGGGGGCACAGCTATACATTTTCGGTTTTAAAAAAATGTCATTAGACGTTTGTATTGAGGGGGCACAAGCATATAGTAGCTATGTTTTCTATAGTAGTCTATATATCGGCAAAATTATTGGGGCATGGCCCCCTCGTGCCCCCCCCCCCCAAATTTTCAAGGTGCAAAAATATGAAATATTTCATAGTATATTGATATTGATATAATGCTAGTACTTAGTATAAGTCTGCTGTAACAAGCCCTGGCATAATCATTAATCTTTTTAAGACTGTTTGAACTTAACATTGTCTACTACTTCCGTTTTTCTGTTACAGCACTACAACGTGACGGACATATTTAGGACGGCAGAATATTTTTACACCAGTCTGGGGTTACCTTCTCTGCCAGAGAGCTTTTGGGAAAAGTCTATGTTGTCAAAACCAACAGACGGTCGCAAAGTCGTATGTCATCCATCTGCATGGGATTTCGGCAACGGCAAAGACTTTAGGTATCAATCAGTTACAAATCCCTCGCAGAATTCAATGTATATTTAAAGAGTTTGATCCGAGGAACAGGGTCTGTTTGATAGACGTGTGAAAACGTGACTGGAATCGTGCAAATACTAACACAGATCTCAGAGGTGTGAATAATTTGATATATATTGCAATATATTTGAAACGCCATTCATCTTAGTTTTAGTTGCTGTACAAGATAATTACATGATACAACACTTCAGAATCAGCTCTGATACTAAATTGACCTCATTATTGGTCGTATTAATAATTGATTGATTTTGTCTCCTCTTCGACAAAGGGACGAGTTTTTTATTCTAAATGTTTGTTCCTGGTTTTCTAACTAATGTGGTCGTGTTAAATTCATTTTTTAAATTAAAAAAATCTGGTGTATTTGTCATAACGATAAATCATTATAAGACGATATGTTGAGGAATCATGGCCCAGGTGCATGCCTTGACCTTTAGTTTTGTTCTTGGTCGTATTAAGTCTTATTAAATCTGTCCCGAAAAGATTCTTTCATATCCCAAATTTATGACATTTTAGATAAGACGTCATAACCTACGAATGTAATGGACCTCAGATTTAATATGTTTGGCAATAAATAGCTACTCAAGATCAGAACTATGTCTTATGTATCTTTAAATGAAAGCATATAATTTTTCTCTATGTCGCGAATTGTTTCAGACAGTAAAGGATGCATTTAATTGAATATTTCCTTTTATTGGCCTTACAAATTTCTATCGATGGTCCATTTTAGTGTGAAAGTAACATATTTTATATATGATTGTAGGATAAAGATGTGTACCGCCATCACGATGCCGGAGCTGATTGTTGTTCACCATGAGATGGGACACATTATGTATGACATGTTATATAAAAACCAGCACATTGTATTCAGGGAAGGCGCAAACCCGGGTAAACGGATGAATATAGTTTTCTTTCATTTTTTCATAACCCCTCCCCCTCCTCAGATTTGATTAAGGATTTATTCATTTAATTTCCTTTATCTTGTTCACAGTCAGATGTTCCTTTTTTCATTTTGGATGCAGTTGTATTTAGCATGTTTATTTACTTTTTTTAAGTTTCAAAGAAAACAATAAGATGTGATCAAGCTAATCCCTCCCTCCGCATGTAAAAACAAGAGGCCCATGGGCCACATCGCTCACCTGAGCACACTGGCTAGACTAAGGCACAAATCAGTTCAGTAATGAACGGGGGGGGGGGGGGGGGCTTGAATTTTAAACTACCTGATGATGCTTTCATGTCAATATAACAAATGAATTTGTTGTACTTGAGAAGATTTTAAAAAAATTTTCCCATTTATTCCTTTGTAAAAATTTGATCCCCCATTGTAGCTCCTCCCCATCTCAGGGGTCATCATTTGAACAAACTTGAATCTACATTACCCGAGGATGCTTCAATATCAATAAGACTAACATAGCTTTTCTGTTCTTGAGAAGAAATTTTTTTTTCTATATGTTCTTATGTAAAACTTTCGATCCCCCTTTGGGCCCCACCCTACCCCCGGGGGTCATCATTTGAACAAAATTGAATCTACACTACCTGAGGATGCTTCCATATAAATTTGACTCATCATGGCTTTGCTGTTCTTGAGAAGAAGATTTTTCCTATATATTTCTATGTAAAACTTTGATCCTTCATTGTGGCCCCGCCCTACCCCCGGGGGTCATCATTTGAACAAACATGAATCTACACTACCTGAGGATGCTTCCATATAAATATGACTCTTCATGGCTTCACTGTTCTTGAAAAGAAGATTTTTAAAGATTTTTCCTATATAATTCTAAGTAAAATTTGGATCCTCCATTGTGGCCCCGCCCTACCCCCAGGGGTCATCATTTGAACAAACTTGAATCTACACTACCTGAGGATGCTTCCGTATAAATATGACTCTTCATGGCTTTACTGTTCTTGAGAAGAAGATTTTTAAAGATTTTTCCTATATATTTCTATGTAAAATTTGGATCCTCCATTGTGGCCCCGCCCTACCCCCAGGGGTCATGATTTGAACAAAATTGAATCTACACTTCCTGAGGATGCTTCCATATAAATATGACTCTTCATGGCTTTACTGTTCTTGAGAAGAAGATTTTTAAAGATTTTTCCTATATATTTCTATGTAAAACTTTGATCCTCCATTGTGGCCCCGCCCTACCCCCGGGGGTCATCATTTGAACAAATTTGAATCTACACTTCCTGAGGATGCTTCCATATAAATATGACTCTTCATGGCTTTACTGTTCTTGAGAAGAAGATTTTTAAAGATTTTTCCTATATATTTCTATGTAAAACTTTGATCCTCCATTGTGGCCCCGCCCTACCCCCGGGGGTCATCATTTGAACAAATTTGAATCTACACTTCCTGAGGATGCTTCCATATAAATATGACTCTTCATGGCTTTACTGTTCTTGAGAAGAAGATTTTTAAAGATTTTTCCTATATATTTCTATGTAAAACTTTGATCCTCCATTGTGGCCCCGCCCTACCCCCGGGGGTCATGATTTGAACAAACTTGAATCTACACTACCTGAGGATGCTTCCATATAAATATGACTCTTCATGGCTTTACTGTTCTTGAGAAGAAGATTTTTAAAGATTTTTCCTATATATTTCTATGTAAAACTTTGATCCTCCATTGTGGCCCCGCCCTACCCCCGGGGGTCATGATTTGAACAAACTTGAATCTACACTACCTGGGGATGCTTCCATATAAATATGACTCTTCATGGCTTTACTGTTCTTGAGAAGAAGATTTTTAAAGATTTTTCCTATATATTTCTATGTAAAACTTTGATCCTCCATTGTGGCCCCGCCCTACCCCCGGGGGTCATGATTTGAACAAACTTGAATCTACACTACCTGGGGATGCTTCCATATGAGTTTCATCTTTCCTGGCCCTGTGGTTCTGGAGAAGAAGATTTTTTAAAGATGCTATTAATTTTTCACTAATTCTTAATTATCTCCCCTTGAAAGAAGGCGTGGCCCTTCATTTGAACAAACTTGAATCCCCTTCACCCAAGGATGCTTTGTGGCAAGTTTGGTTGAAATTGGCCCAGTGGTTCTGGAGAAGAAGTCGAAAATGTGAAAAGTTTACAGACAGACGGACAGACGGACAGACGGACTACAGACAAAATGTGATCAGAAAAGCTCACTTGAGCTTTCAGCTCAGGTGAGCTAAAAATGAAAAATAAAATAAGTCATTTATATATATAAAAAAAAAATCCTTGATATTGCTTGATCCCATTCACTTTGCAAATCTGCAGGCGTAAAAAAGAGTAGGTCTTCTTTTTTTTAAAAAAAAAAAATATTGCAGTTAAAGTGTGTCACTGGAATTTCGTTCAATGACAGTGATAGATAACATGAAACGAGGAAACGCAAAAATTCTGCAGATGTTACACTCCGATTTGCCTGATAAGTACACCTATGTAAACTTAATATGTTTAAACATTTAAAAAAAAAAAACGTGAACTTTAATGCTCAGTAATTTAAAAGTTTGAAGTAAATATTGTTGTCCTAAAAATCAACATCACCACACATACTTCTATAGCTGTTTCCCATTGATTTTATCGATATACATAAATAGTAACAGTGTATTTTAAAAAGTAATAGAAAATGAGAATGATAAAGTATTAGAAACATCAGGTTTTACCCTAACTAAACACAGCAGTGTTCCTTTAGATTCAAATTTCAATTTGACTATTTGCAATATACAATCGAAGGGGAGTTGTCAAATGTTCACAGTATTGGATCTGATAACCAAAACACAAATGATATTACTCCTTAATTTCAAAGTAATTTGAAACTTTAGATACATTTTTATAACGAAATCTTGTGTAACAGAGAATTGAGCATGGACACAATTACAAATCAGATATAAATCATTATAACCAATTAAGAGGGGGTATACATTATTATAAACAACCCAATGACTATATAGTGTATAAACAGAGCATGAAAATTGTTTTAGACTTATGGAGTATTTTACAGTTTGCCGAGGTCGTTGAGTTCATTTCAGAACTCAGATGTATTGCTCACTTTCTCTTCCAGTTATTAGAGAAGATTTATAAAATAATTTTTATTTATACCTTAAGGTTTTCATGAAGCCATTGGAGATTTGATGGCTCTGTCCGTGTCAACACCTTCTCATTTGAAGAAAATTGGACTGCTGGACCGTGTACAGAACGACACAGGTGACAAACACTAATTATACAATCCAGGAATCAAATATCTTCTGAATAAATATGCATAAATAAACAGGGGTTATACTAGAAGATATAAGGAAACCTTTGTTTGAATCAGTAGAAGTTTTTTTTTTGTATCAGTCAATCACATATTTTCTCATTCCATCCGTGGAAAGAAAATGCAAATTCTTCAACGTTACGTTTAACTATGAAAGAAAAAAGAATACATGTATGTAAAAATCTAAATCAAGATCAATGTTTTACAGAGAGTGAGCTAAACTTTCTGATGGCACAAGCTCTCCGGAAGATTACCTTCCTTCCATTTGGTTATCTGATTGACCAATGGCGATGGAGCGTATTTAGCGGGAATACTACGGATTCTAATTACAACAAACACTGGTGGGATCTAAGGTTAGAGTAACATAGCAAACTCATACATTACGGAAGAGTATATATGTCTCTTTAATAGGCTATGAACAATCGCATTCTAACCGAGCCATCTTGCAAATGTACCAATTAACGTGCGGTTTTCCTGCGACTTTTTTCATATTATTTAAAAAAAATGTGAGCAAACAGTTTAAACAAATTCTGCATTGTTCTGCAATGTTGAAACCTCTAAATCCCGTTTAACACAAGAAAGACTATTTTATTGTTAAAGCAACTTTTGTGATCGGTCTCGGCCGATCATGGTTGATGCAATGTGAAGCATACCATTAGCGCGCACATGACCCAACGGACTACTCTGTTAACTGTCCACTGCCAGATACATGTAAATCTGTCATAACATATGAAGTATTAAAGAGCTTTTTCAATGCATTTACTTTGAGGTTCAAACATTTTTACAGTTACATGTTGAATAAATTTACGTTTTCTTTATATGCGCAATAATTTCATTAACTTCTGAAACGGAAGTACACCCTTTTCCTTCAGAATAAAGTTAATTCGTTCATTGGTGGTTCGAGTAAATCTAACTCGTACGTTAGTTTATTAGTTAATTGACTGTTCTGTACATTATGTGCTATTGGCCGCTAATACTCATGTCGCAAGTCTGACATCTCAATATTAAACTTCCCGATCACTTCCCTTAAAAAAGGAAAACCTGTTTTACTCTTTCGTAAGTCTTACACGTATTGGCAAAAAGTCAACTTGTTAGAAAGTGTTTCGGGAAAAAATAAATCCTACACAAATCTAAGTTAATAAAAAGATCATTAAAAATGCCTGAAGATGTTAATGCACATGCCTGTTTATATATTCCGATCGTGTCTTCAACAAACTTGTTTTTCTTCAGTTGTTGAAAATGTTGATGGCTGGTTAAAATGAAGAATGTTGTCGATTGATATAAAATTGAAAAGGTAATTAGAATGAATTTTCGACGATAATGTTTAATTGTTTTAATCCGTACAGATATGCAATTAAAAACATTCTGTAAATAAAAACTTATCAGTTTTGTGGACTGGTATAACTCCCTTTTTTTTCTTATAATTTACAAAAATATCATTTTTTTGGGTCACCTGAGTCGCTCAGGTGACCAACTGCTATCTGTTTTTTTATCTGGTTATAAAAATAACAAGGGTGTCTCTTCCAAAATTGTGAAATATATGGCCTCAGGGGTCAGGGGTTCTGGTGGTGGTGGAGGGGGCTGTATTGATTGTATAGTGAAAATGCATTATTGCTTTGAAAATCTTCTTCTCTGTTCCTGGGTATTTGGCAGATAAACTGCAGTGCATAGTTGTGATGAGCAAGAGTGCTTCTTCCAAACTTGTGAAATCTGTGACCCAAGGGTCAGGGGTTCAGGTGTTGTGGGGGAGGGGGGGGGGGGCTCAATGATCATATAGCGAAACTGCATTATTTATTTGAAATGTGTTTTTCTTTGCTTCTGGGAATTAAGCAGGTAAATGTATGGTTATGATAAGCATGTGTGCCTCTTTCCAAAGTTTTGAATTTTGTGGCCCCTACATGTAGGTCAGGGGTTCTAGTTTAAGGGTGGGGATGTGTTGAATCCATTGTAAAAATGCATTACACTTTTTTTTTTTAATTTCTTCTCTGTTCCGGGGCATCTAGGGGGCAAACAGAGAACAAAGTTGTAGTGAGCAAAAGATATTTTTACCAGATTTCTTAAATTCTGGACGACTTGGTCAAGCGTTGGTGCTGGACATGGCTCTATTTTGTATTCTACAGAGAGAAGTTATTTCTCTCTGCTATTCACCTATGATAATTAAGCACTATAAATAATTTGATAGAAAAGGTCAATTGAATAAGAAAATTATTCAAGAATTTTTATTATATGTAATACAAAAAGTACTTTCATAGTTTTTAATGGTCAAGTAGACCTGTAAATGATAGATAAATAAAAATGATATAAAAATACCTTATCTTTGTACATTAAATGTTTTTCAAAGACCGAGAGAGGCCAATGAAAGAGAATGGGATGGGCTAACTAAAAGGGCTTATGCACTCTTTTTTTTTGTTGTTTAATTAGGCAAGTAAGTAGATCTATTTCAAGATTTGTTACTGAGTATTAAACTCATTATTTTGTTGATCCCTGATCATCCTATTCCTCTTACTTTTTGGCAACATTAGCTTCATTTATCAGTTTATTTTATTTCATACTTCTATGGATCTTTTACAGTATTGTATTATGGTCAGGTGACCGTTAAGACCTTAAGGCCTCTTGTTTTATTAATAGTGATACAATACAGACTCATTGTTTTAAGGTTTCTTATATGTTTCTTTTTATTTTTGTCAAATTTCTTTAATTAAGCTCTTCGACATTTAAAATTAACACTAAACTTTCTAGTTTTTTCTTCAGATGCCGGTATCAAGGAATTAACCCTCCTGTTGAGAGAAGCGAGGAGGATTTTGATCCTGGTGCTAAATATCATATCCCATCTGGTACCCCATATATCAGGTAATAATCACATCCCGTCTGGTACCCCGTATATCAGGTAATAATCATTTCCCATCTGATACCCCGTATATCGGGTAATAATCATATTCCATCTGGTACCCCGTATATCAGGTAATTATCCCATCTGGTACCCCGTATATCAGGTAATTATCCCATCTGGTACCCCGTATATCAGGTAATAATTATATCCCATCTGGTACCCCGTACATCAGGTAATAATCATATCCCATCTGGTACCCCGTATATCAGGTAGTAATATTTCGCAGGTTACCTCTTACAAGGGTAGTTAGAATAGATATTGTCTGCTACCGGTTATTCATCTATCCTTCCGTTTTCAGTAGATTGGAAGTGATGAAAGAATTAGAAAGAAAACATGAATAATATGATTTGGTTCCAGCTGACAAAGCTTGTAACAATAAAGTCTTTGTTTATAAGGCTCATTATTACCTGGTAATCCAATACAGTACTCAGAGTTTCATTTTAAAAAAAAAGAAATTCTTCATAGTCATCTTTCAGTTTAAGGAGGCTGGGGGGTCAACAAATTAACCACAAATTAACCACCAGATTTAACTTAATTTTTTAGATATGATATCTTAAGCTGTCAACTATCATTTGGCAAAGAAAAATTTCGGAAATTTTAGTTCTAAAATTTGATAATTTTCTATATCTTCATATGGAGCTCTTCTTCTAAAGGAGATCAATATAGTCTAAAAATGGCCACAACCCCCCAGCCTCTTTAAATACTTTTAACATTTCAGTCAATGGAAGCGTTTTATTTAGTGTACATATACTGGATTCCAAAACCTCATAAAAATCCTTACAAAGTTATACAGTGGGGTCCACTAAATGGTCAACCAAGCCCCTATCCTTACTCCTCACCAAAGTATCAACTGCCGTGAAGGAGAAACTCTAGATCTAGACGTATTGTGCAAATTTATATGCAAGAAGTGATGTAAATCAAATGTGTATTCTTAAAAAAAAAACTCCAAAGAAGTTTTGGAAAATTTAAGCTTTCAGAACTTTTTAAACGGCAGATCCTAGAAGAATCAAACCAGATTACTTTTCTACGCTTTATACAACCATTCCTCGAGAAAAATTAAACATAAGGGGTTTTTTGACATCATAGACAACTGTTTCTACAATAAAAAAAAAAATGGAACTTTGCAATATTCATATCTTGTGATATTAACAAAATTACTTTGTTAAAAATTATTCTTATTCTACATTTAAGTACTTAGAAGTAGATCATATTGAAAAGATGCTGGAGTTCCTCATTGACAATATCTATGTAGTCTTTGGAGACCAGTTTTTCCCAAAAGCTGTTCTAATTCCAGAGGGCACTATTTGTGCTTCTTTATTAGCCAAACTGTTTTTTTTATTCCTATGACTATGAAACTACATGAGGAAAAAAAACATTTGCTATATATGGCATTCAACTCGATATTTAGATAAATCGATGACTTATTATCAATAAACAATAGTTACTTTCATTCATATGTCGACGCGATATATCCCAGTGAACTAAATAAAAGACTACTGTGTCTGTCACATCTGTTTCATATTTGGATTTATTACTTACTAGAGACGATATGACGATATGACCAACTAATTTTTTGACAAACGGGATGACTTTAGCTTCTCCGTCGTCAACTTCCCTTATTAATGTAGCAGTATTCCAATATCATCTGCGTACTGTGTTTATGTCTCCCGACTGATTCGATACACAAGAGCATGCTTTGAGTACTATGAAATATGAAGATAACGTACAGTATTCAATCTCGAAAGTCCAATGAAACGATACAAATTTGGAGCAGAGCAAACACGGACCTCATAATTTAGAAATAGGATCAGATGCCATGGTGACATCCCCTGCCGACCCGTCACATCCGCCGTGTGCTCCTTGTCATGATCGGGAAAAAACCGCGAAAATCCGTAGACAGTTCAGTGTATAAATAGTGGCCTAACAATAGTATGAAAATCGTCAGTCAGCATTTCATTCAATGATAGGTTGTATTTGCTGACAAGGTCATTGTTTCGACCGTAAAACTTGCGAAAAGATGACTTCAAACGAAACTAGCTGTTGATATCCTTGTTTCATCAACTTGTTTGTGAATAGCTTGCCTCGTTTTAGAAATTGTTCATACGTAGAGCATTTCTTGCGTATTGAATCAACTGAGAGACATAAACCCCATATGCAGGTGATAAGGGTATATTGCTACACAAGTAAGGGAAGATGACGATTGAAAAGTTGAAGTCATCACGTTTATCATAAAGCTTTGTTGTTAGTTTACAATTAACGTCTTTTTCTAGTAAAATATCTAAACAGATTTGTCTGTGGTGTCTTTTATTTCAAGCTCACTAGGATATATCGATTCGACATATGAATGAAAGTAACTATTGTTCATTGATAATATGTCATCGGTATATCGAAATGCATCTTCGCTAGCCAAGGGTTTCCGATCCGAAATCTACTCTACAACCCTTGGCAGATTTGGCTGAAAATTTTAGAATTCGCGCAAACGAATTTGATTGGCTGCGAAGTCCCAGTCTACGCAAGGTTTTTACTAATCGACGATTTTCGGCTGAATTAAAGTCTGTTCGTGTTTTATGCAAAAGAAGAGTATTATTTACAAGGGATGAAAGTTAGGACGTGATATATGCTAAAAAAAACAAGGGAGTAATTAATTTGAATTTTTTTCTTTTGATTATATACGCTTTCAAGAATTATTGAAAGGACCACATAAGTCCGTGTTCCGCATTTTAGGTGCATCAATTTAAGCCAATCAAATGTCACGACTTATTGATAATAATTGATACGGAAACATGTAGAAAGTGTTGTCAAACTCTTGACAAAAAATCACGACGAACGATATTTTCTACCACTTTTGGGGTGTGCCAACAGCTGTATGAGGTTGCTGGGTTATATTCCACATCAAATTGCATGTAGGTCGCCATATTGTTTCAAACGTCATATTGATTTACGTATGTTACAGCTATTTTCATTGGACAAATATTAAAGAGCTTCAAGGGACTTAACTCAATTACGGCGATAGGTGGCGCAATTAAAGTTCCCGTTTGACAGGACTAAATCTGCCAAGGGTTGTAGAGTAGATTTCGGATCGGAAACCCTTGGCTAGCGAAGATGATCGAAATGTCGAATTGATCACAGCAAGTGTTTTCTTCTTCTCATGTAAAAGTTTTTGAATAAATTCTGCTTCGTATGAATTCAAAAACAGGTCTGATAATAAGGGGGCGCAATTGATACCCACGCAGCTATGTTAAGGCTTCCCGAAGCTTTAAAATGCGCTCAAAACACAATATGCCATTGCGAGGTCGGTTTTGGTTTTAATTTATAAGTATTGAACTTTAGTACTTCCAATTTATATAAAGGGTTTCCTCGGCTATATATTAGCATATCTGTTATGGTATCACATGACTTTGTTGATCACGTGACGGTCATTTATAATTTTTTGAAGTGTTTCATATAAATCGCTTCGGCGCAGCTGATTAACACAATTATTATTAACATTTTGTTATATAGATAAACTCATCGTATCCTTGTGTATCCGAAATGTGCTTGGGAAAACTCAAAGTGTTACTTGGGTACAAAATATTTCCTGAGAAATTCAACTTACCTACAAATTTTAGGGTATTTTCCACACAATATCGTAATCTGTATTAAAACAAAGCCAACATACATTTTTCCCAAGCAAGATTCAGTTAGAGAACAACCTCTTCTTACAGATTTCCACAAAAATTCTCAGATTAATCCTCATTAATCACCTGCCTGCGCCAGACTCTTTTATACACACAAAATAAATTTTACCTCCAACCACGGGTATAAAACAGAGTACGTTTCAAAAGTATATTTTTCATAAGCATTTTGAACATGATGAATTTCAATCAAGGGTAGGTAAGCGGTGTATTTTTAAAATATTCGGACATATAAGACTTAAAAAACCTTTAACGACCCGTGAATTTTGCAATAGCTATCTAGCATTTTACATGCAGTTTGAAATAAAGTGTAAAGTTCATGACACTCTCCCCGTCATAACACCTCAAGTTTGCAGTGACCTGACGTCATTTTCCATTATGACGTCATATTTTGGTAGTTCAGAGATGTGAAGGCACAGAGTGCACTGTCATATTCTACGGGAAGCCTTAACCTACCTGCGCATGGGTATTCCAACATATTGTTGGAAGACCTGATCTCAAAAAACTACATAGTTATTGTCAATCAGAGACTCAAGCATCTGTTAAATATCAACTGCAAAGTACCCGTGAATACAATCAGAGTGCTTTTTAACACACTAATTTTGTAAATGATCAATGACAAGGTAAGTATATTTATGAGTTCCATTTTTATTGAAAAAAGCAGTCTATGAAGTCAAAAAGCCTGGACTTCAATTTATCGTGGGAAATGGTTGTATAAAGTTTTGGAAAGTCGTACGTTTTGATGCTATTGATTTTAGTAAAATTTTGCGATATCAAATTTTCCAAAAGTTCTTTAAAATTTTTAAGTATCCACATCTGATTTACACGATTTCTCGAATATACTGTTGTACAACACTCCTGAAGTTTCTCCTTCATTACAGTAATATTTTAGAGAGGAGTAAAGAAAGAGGCTTGGTAGAACATTTACTGGAACCTGCTATGTATCTTTGTTTGTAAGGATTTTCATGAAATTTAGGAATCCAGTAAAGGTATGGTAATTCAAATTCATTTTGATTGTTGGGAATATTAAGGAGGTTCGATCCTGAGCTTTTGAGCAGATTTTGGTCTGGACCTTTATTTATAGAATTCTGCATCATTTTTAAGTTCAAACATTAAATCTAGATTCTACAATGCAAATTAAACTATATCCAATGATAAAACCGCGATTAAATTCCATTCAAATAGGATTAAGCCAGGAACTATATTTTGTGGCGGAAGGTTTTTAAGGAGAAAATGATCAATATTTCCCTTTTGAAATATATACAGTACTGTTAAGTTTAGATTCCTATTTTTCCATGCTGGTTGCACACAGAGCTGTTTTTTGCAGTGAAATGTTTTGTGCTGGTTCTGAAATATCTATTAAATTATTTCTTATGAATTCTTTCATTATATTGTGACAAATATAGTTAATATATTCTGAAAGTCCAGGGAAAAATTGAGCCAATTTTAACATAAAATTAACAATTTTTTAGTAATATCTGAAAATTTACATCATAGACTCCCACTTTTGTTTTTCTTTTCTTAATATATAAGATAACTTTAATCAATCTGCCTAAATTCAGCAAAAGTTTAAGACTTTAAAATAATTTTCTTGCTTGTTAAATTTTAATGCCAGGGAAATCACACTTTTTGAGTGCTGAAAGGTCAAATAATTGATTATGCGAAGCAATTTGAAACTTTTTCTTAGTAGACTAATAGTTTATTTTGTCCCATGATTTATTTGGATAAAAACATTAAAGGGGAAACATCGAAGATGTGATTTTTGATTAAGACACAAATTTCAGTACAAAAAGGTCATATTAAATGTACTGTAGCGCCAAATGAAGCATATTGACCCCCATTTTCTGTTTTGATTTTTAATTAAGCTATGTGTGAAGAAACTAAAAATATACTTGACAAAAAAAGTTTAAGACTTTAAATATCAGGATCCAACCTCGTTAAACATATCTAAAACGGACATATGATTTAGAAGAATTTCCTCCTAATAAAGGGAGCTTTGGGTGTAAGTTGGATTTTCACCTGTAGAATTAAATCCTAGTTCCTCTAAAATACAATTCAAATAATGAGGCTTACAAATAAAGACTATGTTGTTACCAGCATTGTCTACTGGGACAAGTACATACTGATGGTGTAATCTATCTAATTCCTTTTTCACTTCTGAATTATTAAAGACAGAAGGATAAATAGTTTTCATACAGACAAGCTACTGACAAATAAGTTGACATTTCAAGGATTTCAACAACCCCGTTTAAAGTCAGCTTTTCGGTAATTCTTCGGTCGTTTTAATGACCTTGCCTTTTAATACAACCTTCGTTGGGTCGTATTTTCTCGCATAATCACCAGTGTAAGATTGACTTGTCCGGTGTGAGACAGCAGTGTGAGATTTTTCTGTCTTACACTGTGTATTACTATGCCGCGAACGATAACGTAAACATTCCGTCTTTATATAAAGAAATTGTAACAATGTTAAAAAATATTACATATACTTAAAATGCTGTCATTTAACTTATTAAGATAAACTTATTTTCATTCAAAATATTGTCGTATTTTCACTTTTAAAATGGCACTATTTTTAGATCGCGGAAGGATTCTTCTTGAATGAATGTGTACGCTATCGGATAGAAAAGTTTTTTTATTCCCAGTTTTTATCTGTCTAATTAATTTACATGGATTGAAATTCATTTTATCAGTTTACACAATGTGTGAACCATTTTCAGGTACGCTCTCTCCGATGGTGTATTTAGATTTTTAATTAGATGGAAAATTAAAAGAATATATTTTTAGCCCTATCATGGCGACGTCATTGACAGGCCGTAATTTTGGATAAAATAATGCGAGAAAAATAATCATTCCTTACATACTCGTGTGGGAATAGTGAAATTCCACCCCGGGGCCAAGATTCACGGTCTAGGACTCGGCAAAGCCTCGTCCTAGACCGTGAATCTTGTCCCCTTGGTGGAATTTCACTATCCCACACTCGTAGTAATGAATGATTCTATTAGTCTGGCTTGTTTCATAAAATTTGTTTTGACATTACTTTATACTAAATTTGACTACGGAGTACTCCGTATACCTAATTAATACGTAGGTGTGACCTTTCAACAGGGGATGCTTACTTCTCCTAGGCATCTGATCCCACCTCTTGTGTTTCCAGGGGTCCGTTAACTGGATTTATGAGATTGATCAGTGTTTGTTATCTTCATCTTTTACACATTATTCCAGTTTGCACAATGTGTACTATAATTAGATAAAGATAAAAATAATCATAATTTGCTAGGAAATCCTTAATTTCGGTACATTTTAGAATAATTAATGTTTTCATTACATGAGATGATTATATTATGTGTGGTTTTATCAGGTATATATCAGGTAACACTAGGTGTGGCTCGTTTTCTGCCTTGTGTTGCGATAGTAAGCAATGTACTTTTATACGTCTCCGAGGATGACCTAAGGATGTTAGAATATTATTTCAATACCTATAAAAAATCTAGGGTAAGTCAGTGAGCAGTTAATTTTTATGTATTGTGAACTGGGAACACTGGGAATGTTAAAAAGATCCGACAGTTATAAACTTATACCTGCTCTGAATATAGGATTTTACATATGATAACTGCTTGGATTATATGTATAAAAGATGAATAAGGAAGACTTTTAATAGAGTTCTTATTTTGTTGATACTTGAACATGTAACATAATTAGCGAAAATTTACTGATATTTAAAGACAAAATATTCTTTCCATGTGTTCAATGTTTCCAAAAGCCAACATTACTCGTAACTCTGGAATAATCTTATAAACCAAGCATACAGAAGCCTAATGATGCTCAATAGATTAACCATTGAATCTAGTAGACTTCATACATGTAACACATTAAGCTCTCAAAGACTATGTCCGGTTAGTTGTTTTTAATCGTGGAACGTCCATTTACATAAATCTGATAAATATTTGTATAAAAAGTACTATTTTGTTAGTCCAGATTTAAATTATGAGTTTACTTTTTACTCGAAAGGTTACAGAGTTATCTAAGTATTTTATTTTTAAATGTAAAGCTACAGTTATGGGAAACACAATAATAATGTGTAATTTTCAACATATACATTTATCTAAGTATTAACCATGCAAAGTGCTTTACAATGGAATGTTTTGTTTTGTGTATTTTTGTATGTTGATGTAAAATGCATTTCTCCTGCGCATTATTTCTGGCTTAAACACTCCTTATTCTGTTATTATGTCATTAATTTGTAACCAGAAAAGCAATTTTTAAGGTATTATAAATAAACTAAAAATGAATCCTTATAATTACTTTGAATAATTACACTCCGTTTGATTCTCCTTAAATATGGTAACTTCTCCTTATTTAACTTCGTGATTATTAGTGTTACATCTAAAAAAAAAAAAAAAAAATAGAGCAGTTTTTAAGTAAAAATGCCCACATATTTGTCATTGGCAAATTAATGTGTCGAGACCCATATTATTTCTTCGAAGTTCATCATTATATATAGTTAATCAATAAAAATGGAACTCGTGAATTTACTTCTCTTGTCATTGTCATTTGCAAAAATGTTTTGTTAAAAAACTTTCTGATTGTACACGTGTACTCCGAAGTTGATATTAGAAAGAGTTGGAGTTTCTGATTGACAATATCTTTTGAAGTTCGTCTTCCAACAATCTGTTCCCATGGACATCAATTGCTCCCCTTTATTAGCAAACCTATTTTATATTCATATGAAGCAGAATTTACTCAAAAATGTCTGCATGAGAAGAAGACACTTGCTGTGGACTTCAACTCGACATTACATATATCGACGAGTATTATTTCCAATATTTACAATAGTTACTTTCATATGTGGGCTCGATATATACCAGTGAACTTGAATAAAAGATACCACAGAGTCCGACCCATCTGTTTCATATTTGGATATTTTACTAGAAAAAGACGTTAATGGTAACCTAAAAATAAAACTGGTAAACATGATAACTTCAAATTTCTATCTTCAATTTCCCTTACTTTTGTAGCAATATACCTTAATGACCTGCATATGGGTTTATTTCTCCCAGAAGATTCAATACGAAAGAGCATGCTCCACCTACGAACAATTTCTCACTGCTCAATCCTCCATGGCACCTGATCCCACCTTTGATGTTTTGGAGGTCCGTGTTTGCTCTGCTCCTTTTTGTAATGTTTTATGGACTTTTGAGCTCGAATACTGTTCGTTATCTCCATATATTTCATTCTAAAACGAAGCAAGCTTTTGACAAACGAGTTCATGAAACTAAGATATCAACAGTTTCAATAAAAGTCATCATTTAGCAAGTTCTATGGTCGATACAATGACCTTGTCAGTTAATACGATCTTTCATTAAGTCTAATGCTGACTGATTTTTTTCATATTAATTGTTAGGCCATTATTTAAACACTGAATTTTCCGTTTGCCCGATCATAACAATGAGCACACGGTTGGTGTGACCGGTCTACAAGGGATGCTTACTCCTTCCTGGCACCTGTTCCCACCTCTGATGCTTTTTGATGCCCATGTTTGCTCTTCTTCCGATCAGTATTGTTTCAATTTACAATTGAGCTTTTCGTTATCTTCATATTTTATAGAGGACTGTATCAAATCTCAAATACATTTTAAGGAAACCTGAATAAAAGCACCAATTATGTATTTTCTAATTGAAAATAAATCTTAAAGCATATTTTTTGATAAAAAAAAAAATCTATATGTTACTAGGTATTTGGGAAAAATACATGTTTTTTTTTATACTTATGCAGTAATTTAGTTTGGTTTGAACATATTTTGTGGAAATTTCTAATAAAAAATGGATCGGGAGTTGGAGTTCTAAAAACTTATTACGCCCTCTCCTTATAATTATTCTAGTTCTGTTAACTTCAATTGTTATATTAATTCATCATGTAAAAAGCATGTGATATCATTACAAGATATCACAAATCGCTATCAATTTCATTTCATGCCAATAAACATCGGTATTTAAGGCAAAATTAAAAAATTTCAAATGTTGGTACTTTTATGAAATGTAAATTTTTACTTTTTACAAGAACGTTTCTAAGACTTCAAACAACCTTGACTCACATTAAGATGCATAAAATGAAAATTGCTACAATCTGTCGTTAACTCGAATGTTGTCAACAGAATTTGATGTTCTTTTTTCCTCGTGTTATATTTTATAATCGCTGCTACCAAGCAGATAATCAATATCTTATATAAATAAAATATATAAACACATATAAAAATAGCCAATAATATAATTTCTTCTGTAAATTTAAGGTACTTCGTCAGCCATGTCCTCCAATTCCAGTTCCATAAGGCTCTATGTCGGGAGATGAATCACACTGGCCCACTGCACACTTGTGATATTTACAACTCTACTGCCGCAGGGAACAAACTCAAGTAAGAAATCCTAACATGGCAAGCTCAATCAACTTAGTCCAAAAAGTAATAAATCTAACTTTAATATTCATTAACAATGGTTATTTTCCCATTAATCAGATACCATTAAATTATGAGTAGATGACTTCACATTCAAAATATGTTTACCAAATTTGAAATTGTAGTTGTCAAGTGTAATTTTGATGATTCGAGATCTTTTAATAATAAACATTTGTGAAATGTTCGTTCACATGCTCATTTAATGCATAGTCAGTATGTATATATCGAAAATAATGTGGGTTTTTTTTTGTGAGAGTCGTTATAAAAAAATACATGAATATTTCTTTTTAACTTATATTGAATGTAAGTTGTTGGCAATAACTCAGAGTTGATATAAGTAACGAATATAGTATATATAAGATCGTATTAATTCTGAATGTCTCTTTTCATTCAGTTTAGACCTTTTTTTAAAAAAAAAAATATTTCATATAATAATCTTATAGGCAACAATAAAAGTTGTGTTAATTTCTACATATTAAAATTATCTAACAGACTTACTGAATAGTATGTGCAGGGAAAAGGTATTGTCTTTATCTCTGATTTGATTAGTGTAAGTGCATTTCTGTGGACGGCTGGTTCATGTATAGTTTTTCAATTATTCATCTCATAAATAATTTTAAAATATGCTGATTTGATCATTTATTTAAGCTTAAGAAAATTAATTTAGATCCGCTCTAAAGCTTGGCTCATCGAGACCATGGCCAGATGTTCTGAAGATCTTAACAGGGACTTCTAAAATGGATGTTGGACCTTTGATGGAATATTTTTCTCCTCTTATTGAATGGCTAAAGGACAGAAACAAACAAGAAGGAAATAACCCAGGCTGGGCCCCTTACGGATGTCCATCTCTTAAGTGAGTAAACGAGTTTAAAATGTTATAACAGTCTCGAGAATGGTCAATGAACTTTATCTATGGAGCAAGCTAGAAAATGCCGTCCAGTTGAAAGGACTGTAAGTAAGCAAAACTGGGATAATGAGTTTACATGCACTACTACTAAATAATTTGATTTTGAGTTCCATTTTAAAATGCAGTGCTTTTTTGTATTTTAGAACAGGGCGTGTTGGTGATGAAGAAGCAGCCCGACAGTTCGCCCAAGACTTCAATGATATGTCAGAGACTCAATACAGCAGGGATACCGAAGTAAACTGGCAATATAATACAAATATCACAGAGTATAATCAACGACAAGTGGTGAGTGTTACAGAAGTCAGGGATATAATACAAATAACACAGAGTACAATCAACAACCAGTGGTGAGTGTTACAGAAGTCAGGGATATAATACAAATAACACAGAGTACAATCAACAACCAGTGGTGAGTCTAACAGAAGTCAGGGATATAATACAAATAACACAGAGTACAATCAACAACCAGTGGTGAGTGTTACAGAAGTCAGGGATGAAATATATGGAGATAATGAACAGTATTCAAGCTCAAAAGTCCATTAAACAATACAAATATTGGAGCAGAGCAAACGGACCTCTAAAACATTAGAGGTGGGATCAGGTGCCATGGAGGAGTGAGCATCCCCTGCCGACCGGTCACACCCGGAGTGTGCTCCTTGTCATGATCGGGAAAAAACGGAAAAATCCGTCGAAAAATCCGTCGACTAATTTATCTATAGTCTGTTTCTGGGTTTCAAGCCATACTTCCCTAAATGCAAACAGATAACATATCACAATGGAGGGTGTGACATTGCCATAAAGAGGTCTCGACATTTTGCAAACAGTTGTAGATACACGTACAGTGATTACAAACAATTCATACATTCAGAGCTAGGTGACTCAAAACATGATGTCATGTACTAATGTCAGACAGGGTGCTGGATTTCATGAATTGGTTTAATTGTTTAAAATAAACCATGCAGGCTATCATAACTTAACAACCCTCGATTGGTACTGTTTATAGCAATGGCTTACCCACCATTTCAGTATACTTGGCATACTGAACGACCGGAGAGACCCCTTTTGTATAACCTAACATAAAGTAAACTTTTTTTGTAAGGGAACTAGACTTGGGAAAATAAAGGTTTGGTTACAGTGGTACAGTTACATGGGATTGTTTGTGTCACTGATGTCCTGTATATAGAATTTTGATGAATTTTCAAGTTAGAGACCCGCATCTTGTAATTTTCGCATCTTCGTGACATGCAAGTCTGTATAATATTTGGCTATTCATGTCATGACCAATTTGAAATGTCGATCTTTTATAATTTGGAGTAGCAGATAAATGTGTTGACCTTGCTGTGATGATCATTAGCAGGCCATGCAGTCAGTCGTATCCTTTCGTCACACGTAGGTCACAACTGGTAGCAGGCCTGTTTATATATTATATGAATTAGAAATTTTCAAATAATTATACATAAAAAGACTAAATTAAGTTTAGTATAATAGTACAATGGTATAAACGCATACACGGTGATATAACATCACATATAGTATAAAACATATACATGAATGATATTACGTCGCAAGTAGTACAAATATATTCATGGGCGATATAAAATAGTGTATAAAATATACACATTGGTGAAATAACATCAAACATACATAATAAATAAAGAAGACAAACACTGTATATCATGAGATACTACAGTGTAACTACGTGTTATACCCATTGATATAGGCCAATTGATTCGTCGTCAAACCATATATAATGGAAAAAGTATGTAAAATGTAACATGTTTAAATCGATCATGTTCGCATATTTTTCTTTTAATGTTTTTTTCCGAATAACATGACTACATTATTAAACCAAATTTTGTCTAAAACTTTTGTTTCAAATTGTATTAAGGTAAAATCTAGTGTGGAGTTGGCCGAGTTCAAGAAGGAAATGGCAGACTTAGCTACTCTGTATGACTGGCAACTATTTGAGGACGAAAATCTGAAAAGATTGTTCAGTAAAATCACCGACATAGGGACTTCAGTGCAGGAAGATACAGATAAACTAGCGAAGGTACTTGTTACTTGTTGTCTGAGTGTCCTGAGGAAAAATGGTCTTAAAATATCATTTTTTTTATATTAATTGACAATAATATACTTACATTTATTAAAGCGATATTACTTTTCCTTTACAGTTAGTAAACAGAGATTAGAATTGAATCACAAAAATCTGTTTCAATACAGTTAATATGTTTAAATGCTTTTGATCTGTAGTGACCTATTTATTGCAAATGGAAAGGTTTTGTTTTACTAAGTTTAATTCAATCATTTAACAGATGAACAAGGCGGGATCAGAGATGGAGTCTATCTACAGCACAACTAATGTTTGTCTGAGTGATGGATCATGTCATCAAATAGAACCTGGTGAGAGAGAGAGATAGATTTAGAGAAAGAGAGAGAGAGAATTTTATCAAATAGAACCTGGTGAGAGAGAGAGAGAGAATGATATCAAATAGAACCTAGTGATATTATCAGATTATTCGTCAGAGAGATGGATAGAGATCGAGAGATCATGTTCATCAATAAATAAAGTAATAAGATTTTTAAATTATCCATCAGAGAGAGAGAGAGAGAGAGAGAGAGAGAGATAATGTCATGAAGTAGAACTTGGTGATATTATCAGATTATCCATCAGAGAGATCGAGAGAGCATGTCTTGAAAAAAGAACATAATGAGATTTTCAAATTTACCATCAGAGAGAGGGGCTGGAGATCATGTCATCAAATAGAACCTGGTCAGATTTTCAAATTATCCCTAAGAGAGAGTGGGAATGAGAGAGACTTTCATCAGATAGAACCTGGTCAGATTATCAATTATCCTTCAGAGAAAGAGAGACAGACAGACGGAGATGAATAAAAGACATGAAAGTGAGCCTTTTATTAGATTACTGAATAGAGAGAAACTGCGAAAGAGAAGAATTGGGATTAGTGAGAAAAAGGGGAAATATGAGGAGTTCTAATACCCTTATAATTTTTGTTGCAGGTCTTACTCAGATATTAGCGACGTCTACGAACTACAGTCTCTTGACTGAAGCTTGGAAGCTTTGGCGAGATGTGACTGGAAAGAAAATGAAGCCAAAGTACAAAACACTTGTAGATTTAAGTAATGAAGCCATCAAATTAGCAAGTATGTTTCCAAAATATGTCCTACTTTTAATTATAGACTGTCGAAGAAAACTTGATGTAATTTAGTCAAGTATGTCGGCAGAAGTAAAACATAGCTTTAAAATCTATCTCAAATAAGCTCTATGAACGAGAAGCATATTTGTCATAACTTGTAAGTCTGTTTAAGCTGTCTGGCAGACTCGGTGTAAGATGCTGTGGGGCTTTCTTTGTTTTCGAGAATACATATGTTTTCTTCTTCTTTTGGCGAATTGATACATTATTCCAAATAATTTGTTTTTAGATTTCTCGGACATTGGAGCGTATTGGCGATCTTGGTACGAAACACCAACTTTTCAGAAAGATTTAGAAAAATTACTTGACCAGCTCAAACCCCTATATGAAAATTTGCATGCCTACGTCAGAAGGAAACTAAAAATAATTTACAAAAATGATGAGGATAAGTTTCCAAAGTCTGGTCACATTCCAGCTCATCTTCTAGGTAAATAAACATAAACAGAAAAACATGATGGCTAAAATTTCTACTTCTTAAGTGTCGGAAAGCTTCTCTTTGACTGTTTTGTCATATTCTATTTTAGTTTAGGCTTTTTTCAATGAAATAACACTAAATGAAGTGGTTTCTGTTGTACCGTTTGTCCTTAGGTAACATGTGGGCCCAACAATGGAATAATGTGGGTAAATTTGTCATGCCGTTCCCTGACAAACAAAGTATTGATGTCACACCAAAATTGAAAGAAAAGGTAATAACTTGACATCCAAACTCTGTAAAAGAGATATAGTTTTTAAGATTGCTGAGTACAGGGTAATTTTAATTTAAGGGATACAATGCCAAGCGACTGTTTGAAGTCTCCGAGGAGTTTTTCGAGTCACTGGGATTAATTATAATGCCAGACACATTCTGGAGGGACAGTATGATAACTAAACCCGCAAACAGAGAAGTGGTATGCCACGCCTCAGCATGGGACTTCTATAACAGAAAGGATTTTAGGTAAGAGGCTTTGTTGGAATGATTACACTAAAAAAAGCGATTTGCTGCCGTAGTGAAATTTTAAAACACAAAACATTTTAGGTAAAATGTTTTGTTGCCCTCAGCACAGGCCCTCTATCACAAAAACGGTTTTAAATTTTTGCTGTCATCAGCACGAAACTCCTCAAAGAAATTTGGTAAAACTCAACACAAAAGGAGTATTTATGTTTACGAGTTTCTAATAAGAGAAAAAAATTGCGTAAGGCACTTAAGGAGTTCTCATCTTGGACATCTACTAATGATAAACCTCTTCCGAAGATTCTTTTAACTGTAATTTTTAATGGACTTTTGAGCTCGAATTTCATTACAAAGGACATTAAGGTCAACTCTTTTCTTGCCTTTAACTGAAACTTAACATAAAATATCAATACTCTTCGTCCTCGGCATGCAGAATGGGCCCTAGAGATAAGAATCTTTTCAACTTTCCATTGCCAATACTAGTAGCTTTACCTTATCTTGGGAGTACTTTCATCTCCATTTGGACATTACGCGGGGCAACAATACGTGTTACTTGGAAACAAAATCGTTTAGTTGATTTTACAGATCTTGCAACAATGGAATTTTAATATGAAATACTCAAGCATAAATTTGCAATTTATTTCATTAAAGCATTTTATGTAAAACGAACATTAAAGCATTTTATGTGTACAATAATACATATACATGTGTACTTTGATTTTTAACATTATAGAATAAAAATGTGCACTGAGATAAATATGGAAGATTTGATTACAATTCACCATGAAATGGGACACATAGAATACTTCCTACAATACAAAGAGCAGCCTATATCCTACAGGGATGGTGCTAATCCAGGTAAAAATATCAGTATAGTTATAACGGTTACCCTATATAGTGATAATCTGAATCAAACTGTACAATCATGAATTATACAGATGCAATGCTTACACAGGTTAAATAAAAAGTAGTTTTTAAATTATCCTAATGAAAGGTTGCTCACACAGGTTAGACATATAACCTACAGAGGGGGAAGTGCACTAAGAGATGTCAAATATAAAAGTGTGTTTGTCAAACTAAAAAAACAAAATGGATAATTACCAGAGATAAAATACCGTATAACGGGTATTTTCTGCCGTTGTCCAATTTTTGCGGAATTTTGCGGATAGGACAAATCCGCAAAAATTACAATAGCAAAATATTTTTCAATATTTATTCAGATATTTCATACATGCAATTATGACAAGTGGTGCGTATGTCTGACAGGGTTCTCATTAACGCAAGAAACTGCGTTCCGGACGCAGAAAAAATATCTGGAACGCAAGGTTTTTAAAAAATTCGGGTGTCATCGAAATTCGATTTTTTGTGTCAGGATTTGTTCAAAATATATTGAATCGAAATCTTCCTGTACATAATATCAAACTCCGATAGCTGCAAACAACACATGGTAGCTTTCCTTTCTTAACACTTTATTCAATCTTGTGTGTTATCTTGAGACAATAATTACTGCTTGTATACACAATGCGGCTTGATTGTCTCGTGAATTTCACCCAATGCAGACGACTGACAAGATAAGTTACGCCTCAATGCACATGACACCTGTGATTGTTCACCGTCAAATTTAGGATACTTAATTATGGAACTGTTTGTTTTAGCTTAAAATACAAACACCAAATTCATTTTGATGGTAATTAACTTTAAGTGTATTTTAGAAGATGGCTTGGATGCATTTATTATCATTATCTATATATTTAAATATTTTAATAGATCGCATAAGACGTCTGTTAAATTAAAGCTTTTTATTCTTGTTTGGGGGGACTGATACTGCATTAATTCATTTCAATTGGGACTCGACATATTTTTACAAAGACTAATTAAAAGATAGTAGTCTAATTAAGCTTAATGCAGTTTTCATGCACCTTTGATCAATAAATGAATTTATAAAACGTAAACATGGCAGTGTTCTGATAATTCATAAAGTTTAGTGATCATACTCCGTAAATAAATTTTTGCGGTATAATGCAACCGCAGAAATTGAAAACGCAGAAATTAATTTGCTACCTTTTAGGGGTTAAATCGCAAAAATTTCCAACCGCAGAATATACCCTTTATACGGTATATATATGTGATACCACATCCTACAGAGAGACTGCTAACAAGAGTAAAGTATATACCGCTGCAGCCTTTGTCATACAGATACCTTGCTTACATGGGCTCAGTATTAAACAGCATTTAATTTTCTAGTCGAAGAGCTTCCCTTTTATTGTTAACATTATGCATTTAGATTCCATAGTGTATGATGCTTCAAATCAAAGAGATATCTTTCACACTGATATGTATTTCGTTAGTGTACATTCCTTATCTACCAAAAGGTTTCCACGAAGCAGTTGGTGACGTTATGGCTTTATCTGTCTCTACACCAGAACATCTTCATGAAATAGGTCTACTGGACAAACTAGAAAATGATACAGGTATTATCTTGTTGTATGAAGCCCAAATAATGTATTTTTGCAAGCATGTGGAATGGAAAAAAAACGTATTAATCATAGTTCTGTAGAATATCAATCTCAAAATCTATTACATTGTATTATATTTCATATTGTGTATTATTGGCCATGTAAGTCATTTTATATTTCTTAGAATTAAAAAAAAGGATATAAAAAATCTAAATAAAATTTACAACAGAGGTTGTCTTGCACAAATAAACATGGGATGGCATCCTCTTTACTTATCTATGTAAACATATATTGTCTAGAACCGTTTGATCTTGCGGAGCCATGAACAATAGTTTTTATTAGCTCACCTGAGCTGAAAGCTCAAGTGAGCTTTTCTGATCACCAGTTGTCCGTCGTCCGTCCGTCTGTCCGTCCGTCTATCCGTCCGTCAATCTGTAAACTTTTCACATTTTCAACTTCTTCTCAAGAACCACTGGACCAATTTTAACCAAACTTGGTACAAAGTATCCTTTGGTAAAGGGGAGTTTAAATTCTAAAAATAAAGGGCGAAGTCCCCTTACAAGGGGAGATAACCAAGAAAAAGACAATAATAGGATGGGGTCATTAAAAAATCTTCTTCTCAAGAACCACTGGGCCAAAAAAGCTGAAACTTATGTAGAAGCATACGCAAGTAGTGTAAATTCTAAATAGTTCAAATCATGACCCCCGGGGGTAGGGCAGAGACACAATAGGGAATCCAAGTTGTTTTACATTGAGAATATAGGAAAAATCTTTAAAAATCTTCTTCTCAAGAACCACTGGGCCAGAAAAGCTGCAACTTATGTGGAAGCATACTCAAGTAGTGTAGATTCTAAATTGTTCAAATCATGACCCCCGGGGGTAGGGCGGGGCCACTATAGGGAATCCAAGTTTTACATTGAAATATGTAGTAAAAATCTTTAAAAATCTTCTTCTCAAGAACAACTGGGCCAGAAAGAATGAAACTTATGTGGAAGCATACTCAAGTAGTGTAGATTCTAAATTATTCAAATCATGATCCCCGGGGGTAGGGCGGAGCCACAATAGGGAATCCAAGTTTTACATTGAAATATGTAGTAAAAATCTTTAAAAATCTTCTTCTCCAGAACCACTGGTCACCAGAAAAGCTGAAACTTATGTGGAAGCATCCTGGGGTAGTGTAGATTCTAAATTGTTCAAATCATGACCCCTTGGGGTAGAGCGGGGCCACAATAGGTATTACAAGGGGGAATCTGGTAAAGAACAGCATGGCCAAAGTTACTCAGGTGAGCGATGTGGCCCATGGGCCTCTTTTTTCAATTTCCTTCAGAAGTATGCTTCACCTAATGAGTAGAAAAGGAAGTTGTATTCTGTGCTTGTTTTCTCAGAGACTGATTTGAATTTCTTGATGTCGATGGCCCTTGAGAAGATTGCCTTTCTGCCGTTTGGGTATCTTATTGACCAGTGGCGCTGGAGTGTTTTTAGTGGGGAGACGTCCTACACAGACTACAATAAAAAGTGGTGGGAACTAAGGTATTGTCACTCCTAAATATCTAAGTCTTTCCAGGAATGGATAAAATAATTGTGTAGAAATTATTTAGATATTATATAAACATTTCTCAAAAAATATTAGTATTATTTGGTAGTAATAACATGATATACATGGTGCCATACATAATATATTCTCATAGATTTTGTACCATAAATTATAAATTCCGATTGTTTTCCAGATGCAAGCACCAAGGTATAGCTCCACCCGTACTGAGGTCGTCGGATGATTTTGACCCCGGCGCTAAATACCATGTACCAGCAAACGTCCCATATATCAGGTATACATGTACAAACTGTACCAGCATAGGTATACAGAAAGTACCTGTTCGTATTAAGCCGGTTTTTTTTTTTTAAATTTAACTAATCTGAAAATTCCATCAAATCATTAGAGAGTTGGTTTACCTTCTTTTCTTTTTTTTAGGTATTTTGTTAGCTTTGTTATTCAGTTCCAGTTCCACCAAGCTTTGTGTAAGGAAGCGGGCAAGACTTCGGTTCCTCTTCACAGATGCGACATTTACAGATCAAAGAAAGCAGGTCAAAAATTAAGGTATGTGCAGCACTTTTACCATACATGAGACAAAATTGCAAACGCAATACTCATTTTATTTTCAACTGTTTATAAAATCTTGTCAAATTGGTACAAATGAATTTAATAAGTCATTTTGCGCAATAAAGCCGACTTTGCGGATGTCTTGCAGTCAAAAGCTTCAAACGGTCTTTTTTTCTGCAAACCAATATCTCCAAGCTGATTGCGCACTGTTTGTGTACTAAAATAAAATTGATGGTCAGTGAGGTTGTAACAGTGGCGTTGCCTAAGTCTCTGAAATGATATGGAGGGATATGTCAATTATATAGCCTAGTAGTTGCCGAGTGCTTTGGCATCGGTACCCGGTCCACTACACTTCCGATTTCTACAAATTTGCGCTACAATATTGCAGTTGTTGCGTCGTGTCTAATGGATGTTGTGGCCACCTAAAGAAAACATTTTTACATTTGCTAATATAATCCTAGCTTTTTTTTCAGTAGAAGAAACAATTTTTTAATTGGATTTTTTTTTTACAAACCTCTCCATAGGAACACCCTGCAGACACCACCCTGACTGCCTTCCACGCTGTTCTGTGGCCAAACGCCACATGTGGTGTTAGTTTTTTCTGAGTTTTGTTTTTTTTTATGATTGCAAATATAAACATAAAGAAGAAAATAGAAATTTATTTCTTCAAAACGTGCTAGCAGAGCTTTCATGCATATCTGGAAATGATAACGCTTCAGTAAATGATGTATTTAATTATAAGTTTGGGCATTATAATGTCTTATATTACTATAGTTACATATTTATACACCAAGTAAAGCATAAACAAATTTTGGAAAGGTAAAATTTAATTTTCTATGGTAGTGCGTTAGCAATTTTGTCTAGTGTATTAACGATTTCGTTATTTCTTATATTTTGACAGAGAATTTGATATTGCTTGCACAGACTGTATATGTATGCTTGATTGCAAGTGTAAATATAGTGTTTAAAAGTATTTGTGTCTCACACTGTGAAAAGAAGAAAGTCATACACTGTACTTGAAATACTTCCACCATTGCAATAATGCGTAGTTGTATATACGTAAACTGTTTTTGTAGACAGGGCACGAGCTCTGTTAATGTTTACGTTTCACCGGGTGTGTTCAATTTGTTATACTTTGCACACATCAGTTAAACACATCACTGAGCAGGGACTGATAATACTGGTGAGTTGGTTTTTGCTTTCTCATATTTCTACTCTGAATTTTCTGGATTATAGTTTTAATATTTTTCATTAATACACAACAGAATTTCTACTTTTCTTTATTAAGGATAACGTCTACTTTGTGAAAGTGCAAGGATGGATTAATCAAACGCGTCCCGAAATTTGTAGTTTCAATAATTTCCAGATAAAATGAGTGTTTTAATCATATTTCCGTGTGAAATGCTATAGCAACGTATGTCATAATAGTATACAGAAAATTTGAGAAAATATTAACTTCAAATCTGTGTCTAGGCCTCGTTAACAGAAGTCAAATAAAGTTGATACTGCAATTTGCCTACGGATAATTCAGATGACAAACTACTTCGTTATTTCAGTGACATGCTGATATTAGGATCTTACTACTTCGTTATTTCAGTGTCATGCTGAAGTTAGGATCTTTCTGCTTCGTTATTTCAGTGACATGCTGAAGTTAGGATCTTTCTGCTTCGTTATTTCAGTGACATGATGAAGTTAGGATCTTTCTGCTTCGTTACTTCAGTGACATGATGAAGTTAGGATCTTACTACTACTTCGTTATTTCAGTGACATGCTGAAGTTAGGATCTTCCGTGTCCTGGCAAGAAGCGATGGAGAGAATTACTGGACAGCGTGAAATGAGTGCAGAACCACTGATGGAATACTTCAAGCCCTTGACAGACTGGCTAAAGAAACAGAACGAGGGGGAAGACCTAGGATGGACAGATACCTGTCCTGGGTCAGGACGGAGTGGACGCATTAATGAACCTTCAGGGTGGTTAAAGGAGTACAACAAGATGGCACAACAACAGCTTTATGAAGAGTCTGAAGTGGAGTGGAATTATGCGACAAATATCACAGACGAAAACTCCAAGAAACTGGTACATTATCGAAGTATTTTGCAATAGATGTTCAAAATGGGTACCGTATAAGATGAACATATTCATTTCTACTGATGCTTGTTGCTTTGAATATTCAAAGATTCTTTAATGATAATTTATGTTCCTGCAACACTTAATGTTTGCAGTATAGTATAATAAGGTTATTTGTCAAATTCTAGATAGATGTGATCAGTCTTTTTTTTTAACTAAAATAGAAATTGAATGAATGAAAAATGACAGTCATCTAGCTTTTTAAATAGAAAAATCGCTGATTTTTAGGTTGATGCAAGGTTAAAGAATGCTAAATTTGAAAAGGAGGCGGCTCACAATGCAACTCAGTTGTTGAAAGAATACAACTCGAGTCTTACTTCAATCGAGAGAAGGGAACTGAGGAAAATATCAATAATAGGAACAGATGCATTGAAAGACGAAACAAAACTAAAGCAGGTATATCGAATACGAAAACTTCAATGAATACTTAAAATCAGACTGCACATAAAAATTGTGAATTACTAAAGTTATTGTTAACTTAAGTAACTAACGAAGTAGTCATTTCTAGTTAAACACTCTACAATCGGAGATGGAAGGTATATACGGCAAAGCCAAAGTTTGTGTAGAAAAGGAGAGATGCCTGTCTCTTGAGCCAGGTAAATAGAAAAATACATCTTAATTTTGATTGTATTCCGATGTTTACTTCTATCAAACTAGATACTAGCAATTAGGTATTTGTGCTTGTTTCCATTGTTTTATAGCTCACATGAGCTGCAAGCTCAATGAGCTCTTTTTTATCAAGGTTTGTTCCCCACCTATCTACCTGTCTGTGCCTCTGTTAACTTTACATTTTTGACGTGTTCTCAAGAATAATCACTGGGCCTTTTCCAACCAAACATAGCATACAGTATTGCCAGATAAAGGAAATGAAATTTTATTCAGTGGAAGGGTCATACCCTCTTCCAGGGAGATATAAACACGGACTTGTAAAGACAGGATGGGATCATTTGAAAATCTTTTTCTTAAGAACCATTGGACGTATATGAAAGCCTTTTGAATTATAGATAAGATTCAAATTTGTACAGATATTGACCTTTGGATAACTAGGATTGGGCCATAGTAGGAGATACTTTTTTACATTAAAACATGCTTATAGTGATCACGCTGATAATGAAATCACGCTTACAGCGAAGTGATTTTCATTCTCCGTGGTCTTCATAACGGAATACATTTATTACGAAGCAAAATTGTCCGTCCCTGGTACTTCACTATCAGCTGTACAACAAAAACAATTGTGAAACTCAACATTTCAAGAAACACTTGGCCATGAGTAATAATATCAAAATACAAACATCTCATTGTTGTGTGGATTTATAAATCATGGGCCCTGTCCAAACAAAAAATACTGTAGTAAACTATAGTTTACACTAGTTATCACTAGTTTCCTATAGTATCAAAGTTTTCACTAATGTAAATCAAAGTTTTTACTGTAGTAAATGAAAGTATTTTTACTATGAATTTCAGATTATTATATTTTATTTTCTACAAACATAAGTTAAGAGGTTTTATACTGAATAAAAATATAACTCGTATATTCAAATATCATTTCAAAAATTTACATTATGGGAAAGGAATTTTAGAAATGTAAACTCTAACTCTCGAAAAAAAAATCTTGAGTAAAGTTCCATAGTAAATTAAAGTATCATATGAATGTATTTCTATAGTAAATTAAGTTAGCTGAAGTAAACTATAGTTAACTATAGCAAATTTTTGTAAGGGTGGTGCTAAAATAGGGATTCGAAGACTTATGTGAGTATTTCATTTAATTAACCCTATGGTTAGGATGGAGCTAAAATTGGGGATCAATTTAAACGCAATGTATATATACGGGCAATTTAAAAATCTTTTTAAAAATTTAGCAGAACAGTACTGGCATGTGATAGAATTCAGGTTCGGTTAACTCATGGCTCCTTGGGACATGAATTTGGACCACAAAATGGGGTCAAATTTTTTATAGGATGAAAAAGGTTGAAACTCTAAATATTTTGAAAAAAAAATGAGAATCAAAGTGACTCAGATGAGAATTAATCTCCTTGATCTTTTATACATATATTTTTTTATTTTCTAACAGACATCTATCATATTGTGGCTACCTCCCGGAATTACTCAGAACTTGAATTGGTGTGGAAAGGTTGGAGAGATGCCAGTGGGAGGAGAATGAAAGATAAATATGAAGAATTTGTGAACCTCAGTAACCAGGCCATAAGGGATTTAGATCAAGGTTTGTGGACCTCAGTAACCAGGCTATAAGGGATTTAGATCAAGGTTTGTGGACCTCAGTAACCAGGGTATAAGGGATTTAGATCAAGGTTTGTGGACCTTAGTAACCAGGCTATAAGGGATTTAGATCAAGGTGACTGATATGAATTTTATACCAAAATATCACAAGGTTATATTGACCCAGGCTAAGCAAGCTTACCATTATGGGATGTTCTCAGTAGTAATTTAACATTACGGAGATGTTTTTGAAAATTAAGATAACATTACAGAAATATTGTCATGAAGAACGTACCTTTTATGGAATGAATATTGGGTTGGTTGTTTGCTATACGTTTTGTACTGTTTGCTGTTTTCCCTTCGAGAATTTTTCACATAGGACGCCACCAATGAGAGTGAAATGTTGCAAAAATGTTGGAAATTTAGACCTGTACTCGGTACTTAGGGCCATTGAGCAGTGAGGGATCTTTTATATGCCAATACCTTCTGGGACACGGGACCAAGTTAGTCAATTTTGTCTCGCCCGAAGAACCTGTCTCAACGTCCCTCAGTTGGAGTGAGAAGAAAGGATTTAAGTTAAATATAGTTCATGGGAAATGAAAATATAGTTGATGGGATATGTAGTGAACAGTAACGCACCCTAAAAGCTAGTGATGGTTAATATATCAATAGGGGTATTAAAGCTTTACACGATTCGTAAAGGAAAGATTCATTGATCGATTCCAGTCTAGATATTTTTTTTAATACAATACCTCTTTGTTAATTTATAAAGAGAGTTCACTGGTTATTATATTAATATGACTTAAATTTACATGATTCGTAAAGGAAAGACTCATTGATCGATTCCAGTCTAGATATTTTTTTAATACAATACCTCTTTGTTAATTTGTAAAGAGAGTTCACTGGTTATTATATAAATATGACTTAAATCTACGCTGTTTGTTAATTTTGATTTCTATTTTTTATAAATAAAGATAAATTTGTGAAGTGTTATTGAAAGATCTTAAAAGAAAACTCTACACTTGATTGAAGGATTTCTGGATACTGGTGATTATTGGCGATCCTCCTACGAGAGTCCCACTTTTAAGGATGATTTAGTTAGCTTATTGGAGGAGCTGAAACCAATGTATCGGGAACTACACAGTTACGTCAGAAAGAAGCTCATCGAGCGATACGGAGCAGAAAAATTTCCTAAAACTGGGCATATCCCGGCGCATATTCTAGGTATGAATTGAAAACGGTAAATCTATATTTAGAGATTTCATTTGATTCTGATTACCATAAACCTGAGTAAGAATAGTAACGAAATTATATAAAGGATTTGGATAAAATGTTGTTTTTATGTCAATGAAATATATTCAGAATCTTATTTTCGCTACCAGGGCGATCTGATAGTGAGATTAATTATATATATATATATATATATTTTTTTTTTTTTTTTTTGATTTTGTCAAAATTCTATGGATACACACAAAAAGAGTTAAATTATAATATCACACATTAATACTTTCATTATTTTCTTAGGAAATATGTGGGCGCAGAAATGGTTCAATATCTATGATTTAGTTATTCCATTCAAAAATAAAACACGAGTGGATGTTACTCCGACAATGATTGCTAAGGTAACAATATCATGATTTAGTTATTCAATTCAAAAATAAAACACGTGTGAACGTTACTACGACAATGATTGCTTAGGTAACAATATCTGTGACTTAGTTATTCCATTCAAAAATAAAACGTGGACGTTACTCCAACAATGATCGCTAGGTATCAAAGTATTTGACTTAACTATGAAATGGTGCTTAATTAATTCATCTGGATGATTTTGTGAATATCTAGTTTTATATATAAATAAGAAGCAAAATATATTTGGTCGAAATGGTACGAATGCTTTATCAATGAATGGCGAATGTTTTAAAACATACTTGTTAGTATTTTAATACAAGATATAATTATCTGATAGCTTGAAGTTACATAGTTGAAATTGAAGCAGTTATTTTCTTTAGTAATTAAACTTCTTCAGTAATATAATTGCTTTATAGACCCCTTGTAGCAGCTGATACTTTCGCACTCAATTTTGTTATCGCTTTCAGAAAGTACGTTGTTGTTTATGCAAGTAATACAAGTATTCACCATTTGAATATCGTACCAAATACTTAAAATAAATGTATTGCAAGGCACACACTTTTTGATTCCCCTAAACATAAACCCACTATGTATAGCAACCACCCCAAAATGTATTAAAAATCTCATTTTGCAATGGGTCTTTTCCATCAACGTTTAACATCAAAACGATTTGGTCTTTTCATCATTGTAGGTCGTTCTATGTGAAGTTGGAATATGTAGAAAAAAGTACCTTCAAATCAACTGAATTATCTATCTATTGTTAGGAAAACATAATCGAGAATTTTCGAATACTGATTTTTGGACTTCGTTTCATCTTTACTCTATGATAGTTTTGTGATTCCAGTTAATCAGGAATAAAATAATTATCTGTTTGATTATAGCATTATAATGCTACTAAGATATTTCTCTCTACTCTATGACAGGTTTGCACATCTTGAGGATAATTATTCTGTTTGATTATAGCATTATAATGCTACTAAGATATTCCTCTCTACTCTATGACAGGTTTGCACATCTTGAGGATAATTATTCTGTTTGATTATAGCATTACAATGCTACTAAGATGTTCCGCATTTCGGAGGAGTTCTTTACTTCCCTTGGACTCAAGCCAATGCCTCAGACATTCTGGGACAAGTCAATGATAGTAAAACCGTATGGACGTGAGGTAATTTGTCACGCCTCAGCTTGGGACTTCTATAATCAGAAAGACTTCAGGTAAATCCCACCATCCCAGCCACTCAGTCTCTAACCTTCCTTTCTTTACATTGATATTGACACAAATGTGCAAACATTTGGCTATTTGATTAAAGTTGAAAATACAGTAAACGTTTAAAGAGAGTTTAGTTTTTGCTCTAAAATATTCATAAATTTCGACACATACACCGAGATATGTGTTACTCATTATTAAAGAACCTTGAATGACACTTGATAAAAAAGATGAAAGAAGCTGAACAGCCGCCATTTTGTGTTGCATGCAACCCGTTGCGGATTCTGTACATCTTTAATCATATTTTGTTTGTGCTCACATTATTATTTGTAGGTAGCTATGTTCATCTTATTTTAATTGACTTAATTTATTCCACGAGACCTGAGGTTATAGATATGGTAATAATAAGTATAGATTGATAATAGAATATAATGTTCATAGAATTAAGATGTGTACAGCTGTGAATATGGAGGATCTGATTACGATACACCATGAAATGGGACATGTACAGTATTACTTACAGTACAAAGACCAACCGGTCAAATTCAGAAGGGGAGCAAACTCTGGTGAGAGTAATTCATTGTGTTTGAATTAGCAAACTCGATGTGACAGGACAGACATCATATAACACCATACATGTTTTTAATAAAGAAGAAGCATATTAATAATCTTTCAATAATATTCGTTAAATTGTACACACGATAACGGCATTTTTTATATACTTAATTGCCTGAAGTTAATAAAAATATGCAAACCTGTGCTAAATTCCACCCACGGTTCTTGTAATTACAGGTTTTCATGAAGCCATTGGAGACACTATGGCCCTGTCTGTATCTACTCCTAAACACCTTCACAAAATCGGGCTACTGGATAAAATTCAAAACGACACAGGTTCTCAATTTATATTGACCTATAGAATGGCAACAGGGCCTCTTAGTGAATATAGCAATAGCACAATTTTTACCGATGTAAAATGAATGCGGTATAAAATGAATCTATGTTGACTGTGAGCTGTAGTAATCCTACAGATAGATTTCTCTGTAGCAAAAACATGAAGTAAAAACTATTTTTTTCTTAAGCTGCTCACTGGTTGCAAAAAGGCAATCTTTTCATTTGTTATGTCTAATAGAAGCTGATATTAATTTCTTGATGAAAATGGCATTGGAGAAGATTGCTTTTCTCCCCTTTGGGTACCTCATCGACCAGTGGAGATGGAGTGTTTTCAGTGGAGAGACCCCTAAAGACAAGTACAACCAAAAGTGGTGGGAGCTGAGGTACAGCAGAAGTGACCTTTCAAAATAATATTGATAAATTTCTCTCAAAAAATCAACCGTTATCCGGCGTTATTTACTTCTTCTCAAAAACCATTTGGCCAATTTTAACCAAAGTTGACACAGAGCCTTTGGCAAAGGTATTCTGAATTGTTGAAATGAAGGGCCAAGCCCTGTTTTAAGGGGAGAAGATGAAGAAAAAGGCAAAAATAGGGTGTGGTCAAAGTTTGGATCCAAGTTTAACATTTAAATATGTAGGAATTTATTTTAAATGATCTTAAAAAATACTAGAAAATATGAAAGTCATATGAAATATGAAAGCTTCCAGTAATAGTGTAGATTCTTAATGTTTCAAATCATGGACCTCGTGGATAAGGTGAGGCCACAATAGGGTATCAAAGTTTTACATCGTAAAATACAGAGAGAATTGGAATAGGTAAAAAATACTGGATCTGTCAGTGTCTTGTAAAATTAATTTTAGAAGACATTAATAATCAAACATGCACTTGGTTCTGACTATCTTTGGTTGTTATGTCTTTGTTTGCTTGATGTGTTTAATTTTCTCTATAGAAGTAAAGGGAAATATCTGTAAAAGTTTGGACGACACCTCACAAATAAAAATAATTCATTTTCTATTACTTAGATGTAAATATCAAGGAATATTTCCCCCAGTGGATCGGTCAGAAGAGGACTTTGACCCCGGTGCAAAATACCACATACCAGCTGATACACCGTACATTCGGTAGGTATATCAATCATAAGATTGGGCAGGGGTATGCCCCCCTTCTTTCTCCACCCTTCCTCTCCTCTCCGCTGTTCTCTTTCCATTGTCTCCCTCCTTTCTGTTATTTCTCCTTCCATCCACCCATCCTTTACCCATCTCTGTTTCTACCCTGCCTCTCTCTTGTCATCTGAAAAAAAATATCCTGACATTTACAAATGTTATTAATTTACAAATATAAATCATACAGGAAACATTAATTACTGAATGTTTATATAAACATTCCATTTAAATAATTATGTTTTGGGGTAAGACTTTACACCTATTTCAGTTTGCTTTCTTGTTTTAATAAAGGCATTTTTATTTCGTTGCAGATACTTCGTTAGCTTCGTGTTACAGTTCCAATTCCATAAAGCACTCTGTGAAGCTGCTGGACAGACTGGTCCCTTGCATCAGTGTGATATCTACCAGTCTAAAGCGGCAGGAAACAAACTAGGGTATTTACATTTTAAAAAATAACTCCAAAAGTTTACCTTTCCTTTTATTTCTTTCCATTTTTGCACTAAAATTACTCTTTCTAACCTTTGCTGCCAAGATAGGACAAAACGGCTTTGCAGAATTTTTCATTGTGAAGTGTCAATAATCATGCAACATATTTTCACACTGTAACATTATTGTTTTTCAACATGTTTCAGGGACATGCTAAAATTAGGTTCTTCTGTTCCATGGCAAGAGGCAATGCAACAGTTAACGGGACAAAGAAAAATGAGCGCAAGCGCAATCATTGAGTACTTCAAACCTCTAACTGATTGGCTGAAAAATCAAAATGGAAACAGTGGGAAAGGTTGGCAGGAGAAATGTCCGACATATCTATCTGACGGTGATAAAGCAGCGAAGCAGTGGTTAGAGGACTATAACAGGGCGGCACAGAAGGCTTACTACGAGGAGTCAGAGGTGGAGTGGACCTACGCCACCAACATCACTGACGAAAACGAGAAGAGGCAGATTACAGCCAGGCTAGATTTGGCTCAGTTAGAGAAAAAATGGTCTGGGAACGCTTCATCCATTTTACATGAACACAAAATATCAAAACTGACAGATAGCGGGAGACAGCTGTTCAGCATTTCTGATATAGGAACCAGTGCTCTTCGGAATCAAACAATGCTTGAAAATGTGAATACTTTTACTAAAAGAAAAACGAAGTATATTTCTGAAATTAATGCTTTCACCCAACTGCTGTATTAACTTAAAATTCTTGATTTAATTTACAGTTAAACAAACTTCAGTCAGAAATTGAAGGCCTCTATGGCAAGGCACAACTTTGTCTGAGCAATGAGAAATGTCTGTCCCTTGAGCCAGGTACATTGTATATTCGTTACAGATTTATTTTCTAAAATCATTTGCAGACCTGGGGTCAATTACTTTGAAATGTAATGCATTACATTGCAATTACTTTGGAATTTTTACCATTACATTACCATTACCATTACTCTCATTCAGAAAAGTAATTAATTAAATTACAATTACTTTGTTTAAGTAATAAATTACATTACACATAACATTTAATAAGGGAAAAAACCACAATTTTTTTACCACACAATTTATATCTATAAATTAACTTTCTCACACTTTGTGCTCGGTCAATATGCTTTCCCTCGGGTCTATAAGTCAGCGTGGTATTTGGTACTTTGGATTCAGTTATTGTGTTCATGTAGTTTACCAATCTACAGTTGACAAAGAAAGTGGATAGGAACACTTTCAATGTTGTAGTTATGTTCAGTCTCTGAAGTTAATTTTTTTTTTCAAATAAATGATACAGTTCATGCTATATGTTATGGTATTTAATTAACATATAATACACAATTGTAAAATGAGTATGTATTAATAATTTAATGAATTAATTAGCACTTGTAATTAGCTGGGTAGGCATAATAAATGAAGACATAAACACAATCAAAGCATTTAACACAAACAAAGGTGATAATTTCCAGAACCTATAGATATAGGGTTTGAAGTTAGAGGTGACTCTCAAGCTATCAAAAATGTGTTATGGGTAATTTATCGATATAAATTTACATTTGGCCTTGTTTTCTCTTTGTGTCTTTAAGTGGATCATACTGATCTTGTATCTTGCTAAGCAAGTCTATTTTCCCAGAATGAACTTTGTGAAAAGATAAAGAAAAAAAAGGTGAAAAATATAGTTTGTATCTTAATTGGTAGTCACAGTATACATTTATTAATGTCACTTGTTTTGTGGCTATCTTTGAAACTTTATGATTTCTTTAAATAATTTTTTTCTGGCTCTCTTCAATTAATTTTATTATAATTGTCTTTTCAGGAAGTTTTCTATTAGAACAATTATTTAGTATGTCTATCAATCACCATTGAATAAATATTTCTAAATAATGGTAATATATAAGTTTTTAATTTTACAACTTTCACATCATAATAAAAAAATAATAACCCCTCAGTGACCTTGATTTGTTTTAGATTCAATAATAAAATGAGATTTTAAATACAAAATGTAATTGAAATGTAATTGAAAAAGTAATGGTCATTACTAACATTTTTTTTTAAAATAATGCATTACACTACAATTACTTGTAATTGAAAGATGGATCCATTATACATTACATCCTATTACTTTGAAAAAATGTAATAATTACAATGCATTACCATTACCATTACCCCAGGTCTGATCATTTGTATTGCAAAATTTTAAGAGAGAAGCATTATGATTAAATATTGTGTGGTATGTGTTTGAAATCATATACATACTGAGTTTTTATTGCTGTCATTATCAGACATGTACAGAATAATGTCCACTTCGCGGAATTTTACGGAGCTACAAACAATCTGGAAAGGATGGAGAGATGTTAGTGGGAAGAAAATGAAACAAAAGTACACCGAATTTGTAGAACTGAGTAATCGGGGAATACAGGAATTAGGAATGGGTAAGATAAGTTATGTTCGTGTGAACGTAATTTTGGTATGTTGTGATGCCTATATATGCTTTGTGATTGTCTATCAAATAGTCAGGAACAAGTACCATTTTGTTTACTTATTTACTTGCTGCCCTTGACGCCTTTGGCGTATAGGGCAGTACCATTTCTTTTATGTGAGTTAAAGGTCTCTTTAATTTGAAAATGTTCACAATTTTTAAAATAAGACTTTGTTCTGATTTATTTTTCTGAATAAAGCATGTCATATAAAACATGTAGAAAGGCTAAATGTAGGTAAACCACTCAATATCTAAGAATTAATGGACTTTAGATTGAAATAAAAATTTAATGTCTGTGAAATTGATTTGAATATCTTTAGTTAATTGATTCTGTTGAGTTGATGAATAGAAACTTTTCAGGGAATATTTTTTTTATGAAATAGAATCTTGAGGACAAATTAAGAACCGGTTTTTACCCTTTTTATGTTATTTATGTGATTTCAACTTCTGTTATATATGTACGGAGGCTTCTTTTATAATAAAAATATCTTGAATCATATTACATTTTAAATTCATGCATATCCATCCTAGGTAGAGGATTTGCGATATAGGGTTTTTTTTTTATGATGATATGATTTACAGAATATGTCGATTTTAGTGTGATTTTAAGTAGATCAATTGTATATGTTACTTGGAGGTTAGGAAAGATAACTACACAGAAAACCTTGTCTGTACATGTTGCTCTGACATCTCATGACATTAACGAAGCATACGGATAATGTAAAGCACTGCATACATGTGTATCATGGCAAGATGATTCGATCAGTTATCTAAAAATGAAAATTTATTTTCAAATGTGTAATTGTTTATCAAGAATTTATGTATTTAGATTCATTTGTACATACTACATCAAAACTTTTTTGTACATAAATAGTCTTTGTAAGCAGATAATCATATTAACCTTTGGTTCCTGTGTAATTTAATTTGTGAACATTAATTTGTGTAATCAATTGTCATTAAGTAGAGGACCTTCTAAGTTTTAAGAACTTGTGTCCAATCCTTTTTTTTAATATCTTAACAATAAAATATATTCACACCAAACAAAACCATACATTTGTACCAATACGATTTTATAACTTAATTAAACCAGTCAATGTATTTTGTCACTAACTTTTAGGTTATAAAGACACTGGTGACTACTGGAGGTCCTCTTACGAAAGTGAGACATTTCAGGACGACCTCCGAGAGCTCCTGGAGCAACTTAAACCTCTGTATCAGGAACTACATACGTATGTCAGAAAGAGGCTACGTGATTACTACGGAGCAGACAATTTCCCCAACTCGGGACATATTCCAGCGCACTTACTGGGTACATCTGAATACATTATTTGCAACATGCAGATTATGCAAATTTTTTTCTTTCTTTTTTTCAAATTGCAATTATTTATATTTGCAACTTTTTTATATAAACTTAACTCAAAATAATGTATTTACGACTTCGATAATATACTTAAGTGCGAAATACGACCCTTTACAGTAAACTATTAACAATCCATGTACAGGTCTCACTACGTCTGCCCTACTGCCTGCTGGTCTTCTTTCGCTGTACTGATTGTCTATCGATACTGTTTTCATTAGGTTTATTTTATAGTAGGTATAAAAACATAAGATTATACAAACACTATCAGTGAATGTTATATTCAATTGTATATTGCTCTTTTTTAGGAAATATGTGGGCACAGGAATGGCAGAATATTTATGACCTTCTTATACCATTTAAAGGCAAAACAAACGTCGATATCACACCTACATTAAAAGCCAAGGTAGGTCAAATAAGATGCTGAATTTCTTTTTCAGTCGCCAAAAATTTCTTTTTACATTTATAGATATTAATTCCTGCAAATCTCAATTGCAGAATTACACAGCTCATCAGATGTTCAAAACAGCGGAAAGCTTCTTTAAGTCTCTGGGTTTGCAACCAATGCCAGAACCTTTCTGGAATAAGTCAATGATTGTTAAGCCTCCGGGACGAGATGTGATATGTCATGCGTCTGCTTGGGATTTCTATAATCAAAAGGACTTCAGGTGATATATAACGTAATTTTGACGTTTATTTATGAAGTAGATTAAGATATCGAACAGTTATCGATCTCAAAAAATGTATAAGCAATACAAATCTGTGAAGAGGGCATAAAACATGGATCCCGGGAAATTCCAGAGGTAGGATCAGGTGTCTAGGAGGAGTAAGCATACCCTGTCGACCGGTCACACCTGCCGTGAGCCCTTTCTATTGATCAAGTGGAGGGGAACATTCCTTAATAAAATTCATTATAAACACAAAGGCCTAACAATTGGTATAAAACAGGTCATCCAAATACACAATGATAGGTTGTATTTGCTAACAAGGTCATTATAACGACCAATGTATACAGTATTAAATATTTCTTCGATTCTTTCAATGTTTGTATCCTTAAGATATTATTTTAAGAATTAAGATGTGCACTGACATCACAATGGAAGATTTGATAACTATCCACCACGAGATGGGACATATACAGTATTATCTCCAGTATAAGAATTTGTCTGTTACCTACAGAAATGGTGCTAATCCAGGTATGCTTGACTTACTTATATCATTAGATTTTTAATATAGAATGGGAATTACCGTACCTTTTACCATATAAAGTCATTCTTAAACATAATACTGAATTGGTTAAAGATGAAGAAAACTGTTTTAGTGTTTCTCATTCGCGTGGTATTAATATGAAAATCAAATTAAATGCTAGTTTTGATTTAAAGAGGCATGGACACAGAATTGAAATTTAAATCCTTCAAAAATTTTGATAGAGTTTCATGACTTGTAAAAGCGTTACAGACCGATATATTGTAAAAACGTGTTTAGACACATTTTTTATTTGAAAATTATCAAATCTACGAATTTCGAGCATGTTTGATTTCATATTACATGGTTACATTTCCACAAACTAAGCTTTATCCTTAATACTTATGAAAAGTGGGAAGTCGGTGTTGTTTTGCTAAAAGACATTAAAAGTATAATTAAGAAAATCAGAATAGGAATTTCAGAAAGCAAAACCAACACACCAGCGTCGTCTATTCATGTTCAGTAATTTGTGTAATGTTAGCAAATCAAACACACCCGGTAAAATGTAAACAAAAACAATCACGGAGCTCGCACCATGTTAAAAAACAGGTGTTTATTGTAAGGCTATGAAGAATGTCATTGTCATTGAATATTATGACTTTTCTTTATTAAACTGAACTTATTTTTGAAATAAATAGGGAAATAGAAAATTGGAATGAAACTAGCAGTCCAACTGTCCATGCCCCCTTTAACTTCCCTTAAAGTTTAAATTACACAGCTTTTCACAGTTCTAAGTTTCCTTTCGTCAAAAGAATGAAAGGCAAAATTTGATTCATTCATATTCAAATGTCATTTTAGCTTTACTTGTCAGAGAACAGAAGAGCCTATGCGATAGTAAGGTGTCCTTTGTCCACAAAACGCTACTCCTCTTACAGTTTTGATCCACTTTCAATAGGAATTTGTACACAAGTACACTGTACTAAGATACACGATTCTCTTTATCGGTTTTTGATTTCGACAAGCGGTGTTGCCATGGTACTAATAATAGAAATATCTTTGAAATTCCTTCAAAATGCTCTCCTACTACAGTTTTAAGTCCAATTTCAATAAGACTAGGTACACAAGTACACTATACTAAGATACATAATTCTGTGAATCAGTGAATCGGTCTTTGATTTCGACAAACGCTGCTGCTATAGTTACTAGGAATAGAAATTTCTTTGAAATTCTTTCAAAATGCTCTCCTCTTACAGTCATTAAGACTTGGTACAAGTACACTTTACTAAGATACACCAATTACACATCAGTAGAGCTTCAGTCTCTTCAGAGACTTCTGGTTTTTAAATGAAATAAGCTACATAGCTAGGTACTTCTTTCAAAATACGAATGAAATACTACAAATACAATGACAATTATCATAGCTGTTGATCTTCAACGAACCCCGACATTCAGAGAAGCAAATATTACTAATATACATTCAATTTGAAGGATTCCATGAGGCTATAGGAGATACCATGGCCTTATCAGCATCAACACCGAAACATTTACACAAAATAGGACTTCTGGAGAACCTGCAGAGTGATCCAGGTATAGAAGCAGCTGTAATTTCTAATAAGATATTTACTGAATTCAAACATATACAGGAATATAAGTTACATAATTTAATTAAGAAAAAAAGTAACTCTACCTTGGAATTTATCTTTGTCAGAGACTGACTTGAACTACTTGATGAAGATGGCTTTGGAGAAGATCGCCTTTCTTCCTTTTGGCTATCTGATTGACCAATGGAGGTGGAGCGTGTTTAGTGGAGAGACAACTCCAGATTATTACAATGATAAATGGTGGTCACTGAGGTAAGAAAAACTGTTTAATAAAAAAAGATATCTATTTGCAATAGTTTTTGCAGTTTTACATTGATATATCGACTAGACATTTTATTGTCGATAAATCTGGCAACTTAACAATTCTGACAAATTTACATGAATATATATTTTTCTTGAAAAAAAAAATACACAAAAAATGAAGCTGGCATTTTTAATTTAGGGTGGTCAGATTTCTACATGGACATACATTAATAAACAAATTTTAATAATATTATTCAGCTCTTCTCAGTCTTTTTTATTTAAATATTTTGGATTTCCAACGTTTCGGTTTGATCATCAATGAAGAGACATAATTTGTCGAAATGCGCACCTGGTGCTTCAAAATTGGTACCGTATATGATTTACATAGTATACGTGATTAGTACTGTTTGGTAATCTATGTCGATTGTAGTGGCAGAGCATCCATTGAACAGTGAACCAAGTTTTATGAAAAATTACCTAAAAAGAAAGGTTTATTCTGTTGACCAATAAGAAACAATTTTCTTAGGATCCTATCGAACGGATAGTAGTCGAAATATGAAAAACATTTTTATAAATTTGTTCGCAAGTGAGTTTGCAGAATTGTAAACTGCATGTAAAGATAAATTATAGATTAAAAATTTCAGTTGAATAAGAGTTCTTGTTTGTGGTTGCAGATGCAAATATCAGGGAATCTCTCCACCAGTAAAAAGAACAGAAGATGATTTTGACCCAGGAGCCAAATACCACATTCCTTCCAATACACCGTATATAAGGTTGGTCCAGAGATATTCTTATTCATTATTCGTTGCCTTTTAACCACCAAAAGAGAAGAATTACAAAGACAACACTATACAGAATAATTTGGTATCCTTAATCCGCTTTGTTACAGGTACTTTGTCAGCTTTGTCATCCAGTTTCAGTTTCATAAAGCTTTATGTGATGAAGCGGGACAAACAGGTCCACTCTATCAGTGTGATATTTACCAATCAAAGACAGCCGGCAAGAAACTCGGGTATGACCGAACTTTCAACATGATTCCTTAAATGAATTTAATCAACCTATCAATCTGACCTTCTATGTGATCAACGGAAGAAACACTTTTCAATCCACTTTAGAAGAATAAAATACGTATAAACTTGTTTATTACTTTCAGTGACATGCTAAGGTTAGGGTCTGCTTATCCATGGCAACATGCAATGGAGAAATTAACAGGAAGCAGGAAGATGGATGTTGGTCCTTTGATCGAGTACTTTAGTCCCTTGTTAGATTGGCTGAAGCTTCAGAATGTAAATGAGACAGGTGGTTGGATGGAGGAATGTCCTGCTTTTCTCCAGAAAATAGATATTAACATGACTGAACAGTGGCTGAAAGAAAATGATGACCTCGCTCAGATAAAACTAAGTGAGGAGAGTGAAATAGAATGGACGTATGCCACAAACATAACCGACGAGAATGCACAAAAACAGGTCATTACTTGAAATATCAATTTAATGTACTATTTGATCTTAAAAATTACTGTAAGATTAATGGCATTTCAGGTATATATTGTTTCTATTACAGGTAGAAGCACGGGTCAAACTCGATAATTATTTAAAAGATTCTGCAAGGCAAGCGTCTTATTTACTACGTGCTCTTAACATCTCAAAAACTTCAAGAATTGGACGGGAGTTGTTCAAAGTGTCTGACATTGGAACAAGTGCCCTTAGGGATAAGTCAAAGCTGAAAAAGGTATATTCGCAAAGGATTTTTTTTTCATCTTTCTTGTTTAACTCTAAAAAAATTAGGATCTAATTGCCCATCGTCCAATACCTTATGTGTCTGTAAATAATTTAAAACACTACTTCAGCTACTGAAAGAATTAAATTTCAATCGAATTTCTTTTATCACTTCACTACAACAGGATATACAATGCATCAATTTTTGATTTGGAAGACATTATCGCCATGGATTCTTCTTAAAGATTTTGTCCTTTTCAATAACGCACGAAAATGCCATTCCTCTGCTGTTTGATTTGAATTTAGCTTAGAACGAATTGAGGAAAAGTTCTCAAACACTCTTTTTAAAAGCGTTTCCTATATATTTGATGTAAAAGAGGGAAAACTTCATTTCCTGAAGAAACAGAGTCATAAAATAATCTCTTACTTGTTCAAATATAATTATTAGTCATACCATTCTTACAAGCAAAGCAAGAGCCCCTTCAGATATGTCTGGGTTGTTTTTTTTTTTTCATTGAAATGCTGACATTTTATTATTTTAAGTTGAACGAACTTCAGTCAGAAATTGAAGGAATCTACGGAAAAGCTCATTTCTGTGTGAACAATGATACATGTTTATCTCTTGACCCAGGTAAGATTTTATAGAATAACTGAAACTCACCAACATTTTACCAAAATAGAAAATATTGAAGCATATTTGTCAAGTATGTAACTCAATTTTCTATCGGTAGATATGTATAGAATAATGTCGACATCCAGGAACTTCTCGGAACTAAAATTGATTTGGAAAGGATGGCGGGATGTCAGTGGAAAGAAAATGAAAAATAAATACGCTGATTTTGTAAAACTAAGTAATGAAGGCATCAAGGAACTTAATATGGGTAAATATGAGCTGATTTTGTAAAAGTAAGTAATGAAGGCATCAAGAATCTTAATATGGGTAAAAATGACAGTAGATAGTAGAATAGTTAGCATTGGATATGGGTTTTAGGTGATGTAGATATTAGTGAGAAATATGGGCATAATCAGGTCCATCAGGCATTACTAAGTCCTGGTTCCTTTAGTCGTTCTTTTATGTTTGAAGGATTTAAGGACACTGGAGAGTACTGGAGGTCAAAATATGAAAGTACAACATTCCAGGACGATCTTAAACAGCTGTTAGAACAGTTGAAACCATTGTATCAAGAGCTCCATACTTATGTTCGAAAGAAGCTGAGAGAGCAGTATGGGACAGAGAATTTTCCTGTGTCTGGCCATATTCCTGCTCATATACTAGGCAAGTTAATTACTAGTGTCATACTGTAAATTTGCAATTGATAGAAAGAGATTGTGGAATATTGTACAATAATCATTGTTTGTGGGGGACCCGTTGACCCCCAAGAATTAAAATGATTACACAGTATTTGGTAATTTGCTTTTGCAGGGAATATGTGGGCTCAAGAGTGGCAGAATATTTACGATTTGGTGATACCCTTTAAAAGTAAAACAAATATAGATATCACTCCTGTATTAAAAGAAAAGGTAAGCGAGTATACATGAATTAAAAAAAAAAATGAAATGCGTGTATTTAGTTGTTGTTATATTACACAGTACAAGATAGTAACGTTCTTGTAATGTGCAATATAACTTCTTGTTATCTTTTTTAATTTAAAATCCTTATATTTATTTGTTTACAGAATTTCACTGCACTACAAATGTTTAAAACAGCTGAGAATTTCTTTAAGTCCCTGGGTTTAAAGCCAATGCCTGACACTTTTTGGAACAAGTCAATGATCGTAAAACCAGAGAATCGAGAGGCTGTGTGTCATGCTTCTGCTTGGGATTTCTATAATCAAAAAGATTTTAGGTAGTTTTGCTTGAGTAAAGATGGTGATCCTTCTATGATTCAGTAGTAGACATCATAGGAAGTGGAAATATCTGCTTAAACATGATTTAAGTGAATATTTATAATTGTGTTAAGTAAAGAAAAAATTATTCTGAATTTTCCATTCCCCATGAAATGAAACGTAGCTTAATATTTTTAATGTCATATTTTAATTTTTTCTAAATCTCTGTCATTAAATAAAGTATTTAAGCAAAGGGAAACTTGTACACCTCTAACTTTCAAGATCTTAGTTTTCTAAACAAATTTTCATAATCATGATAATTAATATGTCAGATTACTGTCATAAGATATAAAGGTAATAACAACTTATCATTGGTCATTATCTCAATAGAATCAAAATGTGTACTGACGTCACAATGGAGGATCTGATAACCATTCATCATGAGATGGGACACATTCAGTATTATCTTCAATATAAGGACCTTCCAGTGGCCTTTCGGGATGGCGCAAACCCAGGTTATACAAATGCTTCATATGCTTATCTACTTCAGTTTGGAAATGCGGCAAAATGTTTATAGACAGGGCTTTATAAATGGATATTATGTACTTTTAGTATTGTGTGTATGTGAAAGTTGAGTCATTAGTGGCCAACATCCAGTATGTGTGATTGGTAATTAAAAAAACTTCACAGAGATATTTTAAATACCTTAGTTTTAAGTTGCCCACCCTATGTTAATTTCTATCTGTCTGGAAGAAAAAAATTTACATTAAGTTGGGATGAATACATTTGTTTATTTTAATGTAAACATGTTATTTCAGGTTTCCATGAAGCAATAGGCGATACTATGGCTCTCTCTGTAGCAACACCAAAACACTTACATAAAATAGGGCTTCTCAAAAATCTCATCAATGATAAAGGTCTGTTAATTATTGATTTATTTCATATTACACGTCCGATGTGAAAATGAATTATTGTGTTCTGTTCTCAATTTAGTGATATAAATGATGTGTTAATCTTGTTTCCGACTTTTTTTATCATTATGATAAATGTTATCCACGTACCTGTTAAAATTAATTCTTTTCTTTCTTTATTGTATTATGTAGAGACAGATTTAAATTTTTTAATGAAAATGGCATTAGAGAAAATCGCGTTTCTCCCCTTTGGGTACCTCATCGACCAGTGGAGATGGAGTGTTTTCAGTGGAGAGACCCCTAAAGACAAATACAACCAAAAGTGGTGGGAGCTGAGGTAATGAGAGAGAGAGAGAATATTACATACTAAAATCCATATCATATGTCAAATCAGCCCGAGTGGCCCCATATCAGCCCGAGGGCCGAAGGCCCTCGGGCTGATATGGGGCCCGAGGGCTGAAATGACATATGATATTGATTTCAGTATGTAGTATTCTATTTATCATATATTTAAAATACTTAATATACGAGTTCACATAAAATCATTGAAGAATTTTTCGTGTATGTTTATGACCTTTTTTCTTTAAAATCTAATAAAGCAAATTTTAGGTCTTTGAAAACAAATTAAGTCCACAGATGTTAGTAAAGAATTCTTTTACATGTATATTTAAAGAAAATCAAGTTAATTGACTTTTAAACTTTAAACAAACGTTACTTCCGGTTTGATATGGATTTTTGCCCGCCGGTCCGATACGTAATATGGATTTTCGGACCGGTCCTTGATATGGGGTATTATGACGTCACCCGTATCGCACAGTGCAGAATCGGTGTATTTACTACTAAGTATTTGATAAAGAAAAATAATAACCATAGCATGTACATGTTATAGTTAACAGGAGTTGGTCAGTGACAATTCTGTTCTACCTGCATATTAACAGGTGTCAGTATCAAGGTATCACTCCCCCTGTCGAGAGGTCAGAAGAGGACTTTGATCCTGGGGCAAAATATCACATCCCTTCAAATACCCCATACATCAGGTCTGTTTGCAATTTTCATTAGTCTTTGGAATTCAGAACTTTATCGTTTCTTAAATGAATCAAGTTTTCATTGTTAAGATGAATGGTAAAATAAATAATTCTAGGTACTTTGTGAGTTTTGTGATACAGTTCCAGTTTCATAAATCTCTGTGTAAAGCGGCAGGACAGACTGGTCCCCTATATCAGTGTGATATCTACCAGTCTAAAGAAGCAGGACAAAAATTAAGGTACCTCTGAGTTTCTGCCATGTATTTTGTACATGTATATGACAAGGGCACTTCATGTTGTTTTTCATTTTTGTCTTCTTTCCATCAGCTTCATTTTGTATTTCAAGATATTTTTTATCAAACTTCATACACAGAACCATGTTTGGTGAGACTAGATTAATGGTGTAAAAAGCTTTGACCTTGGCATTAAACTTGACACTGACATCCTCATTTTGTGTTTGCATGTTTCAAACAAAGTCTTCATGTTTTTTTTCTTTAAATTTCACTCAGATACACAGAGTAATTCAATGTTAAAGAGTATAACCTGGACATTCTACTTGGTTTTGACTCTTTATTTCTTGTTCTGTGTTTAGTTCAATTTTGAAGATTTTTTTTAAAGATATTAATTTTTTTAAAAAAAATTAATACAGAAATACATGTCACTTGATATGATCAGTTTACAAGTGTCAAAATTTTGAACACCGACTTCCCTTGAGACGTTGACCACTACTTTCCTCATTTTGTGTTGTGTCTGGCTTCAATGAACATTTTCTAAATATTTTCATACCGTGATAAAAATGTGCAAAATGTATCAGCTCTGTGTATAAAAAATTATACATAGAAATATTCTTTTTCATAATATATTACCTTATCAGATCATAGAAAGAGGCACATTTCTTTGCATGTTGCAATACAGATACGAGGGGTGATCAAAAAGTTCGCGAACTATCTCTGTATTTACAAAACCGTAATTAAGATCAAAATGAAATTTGGCACACATATAGTCATACACATGTTCTATAAATAACAGTTAGGTAATGATTTGCTCCATTTTTTTTTGACGTCACAATGTGAAAATGACGTCAATATGTAGGTGCCTTGTGACAAAAAAATGGTTGACTCAGTCGTACTCGCGCAATGAACGGCTGTAAAGTTTAATGTATATCTTGGAAATCCCTTTGCAGTAGCATATAATAATTAGTACAAGGTTTACGAAGATAAAGGACTTGCCAGACGTTCAATCGTTAATTGGATTGATTGTTTTAGTGAAGAAAGGGGGATGGTTAAAAATGATGTTTGTTCTGTTGTCCAGTGAAAGCAAGCTGGGGAAGAGATGTGTCCTTAGTTGAGCAATTTGTTATGAAAGATCGCCAAGTTACATTTAGAAAAATAGTTGAATATGTTAACAATAATATAATTATTAAATCCCTGAAATATCATTTACTTTAGACTTTAACCATAATAGATATAATAAAAAGAAGGCGGCCATACTTAATTCACATTGGATAAAAGAGGCTCCCAAGACAGAGGACTCGGGTTTTGATGGTCACCATGCTCATTCTAGGAACGGACATCCTTGTTTACCCATCCTATAGCCGAGATTTGGACATTTCTGACAAATGGACTGTTCTTGTTATGAAAAAATAACTTGAATGGTAAGAAATATAAGACTCGGAAGAATCTCTTAGCTTCTGTGAACAGAAGGCTACAGAGCATGTCACGTGACCGCCTGGATCATGATTCGCGCATGGGCAGAACGGTGGCAGATGTGCATTAATATCGGAGGGAACTACTTTACATAATAATGAACAATGAAACCTAATTTTATTTGTTTTATGGAAGTAATTCAATAAGTTCGCGAACTTTTTGATCACCCCTCGTAAATCTCTGTGCAGGATATTACATCTAATGGATATATTTAGCATTCTAGTTTAACTTATGTATATATGACCTCGCCACTTTGGTCTGAAAGCGTATGATGTATCTAAAATTTAAATAACAATGTTTTTCCCATTACATTTCAGAAACTTGCTAAAAGCGGGATCCTCTAAACCTTGGCCAGAGATAATGAAAGAATTGACAGGGCAATCAAAAATGGATGTCTCTGCTATTTTAGAGTACTTTGAACCTTTGCATGCATGGCTGAGGGAACAAAATAAAGGCGAAATGAAAGGTATTAAATAGACATGCAAAATAAAACAGTTTACGTCCGAAGCAGGTGGATATTTGATCATTACCTTTCATTAAGACACTAAGACGTTAGAATACTATAATTAAAATATACGACACCTTATCCCATCTCTGATGTCTCTAGGCGATTGGGTTTGCTATGCTATCAATTTATACTGTTTAAATGGACTTTTTATTGTTTTTTAAGGTTTTGTAAAGATAAGTAATGAATATTTTAATTGAAGGGTGGGAGAAGAACTGCAACACGTTCACCTATGGACAGCTGTTCAGCTACTGGTTGAAAAACTACGAGGACAGGGCTCAGACAGAGTTCCACAACAACATGAAAGCGATTTTTGAATATGAATCAAATATAACCAATTATAACGAAAGAAAAAAGGTAACCTTGACTTTTCTTGGAAACATGGTGATAAAAAATAGAAATGATATGTAACCTTGTTTGCAGGCAAATATGTATTTATAATAACTACATATATTGAGATGTGAGTGCCATATGTAAATATGTATTTCAGAGATGAATTTAATTTTTGAGAATTCATGTGGACATGAACTACGACGCTCTACGCTGGCATATTTCATGAAGCGCGTTAGAACTTCATGATAAATATGCAGGCTTGAAGCGTTGTAGTTCATGTACCTCATGAATTCTCAAAAAATTAAATTCATATCTTATATTTACATTATTTTTTTTATGACATGCCACATATTTTTGTCATTCAATGATCATTTTTGAAAAAAAAGTTTGCACTATTTTTTGACTAAAAAATTCAGTCACATCACAAAGGAAATATTCTTACTCATCCCACGGTAGTTCATGAGAACATGAACTTTTTCTAATTTGCAAAGAATCTTAAGGAAAAACATTTGGAAATGTAAATGTTTTTTTCAAACTGAGCATTTTTAGGAATAGTTGAAGACTCCTTTGTGAAATTCATCATAACATATATTTTAACAGATTGGAATAAATTGTTTTAATATTATTTAGAGAGAAGCTTCTTTGAGGTTTACAGACTTCAGAAAAGAAGCCTATGACTATGTCAAACATATCGACATCCCCAACATTAAGAATGAGCGACATCGAAGGCTATTTACAAAAATCAAAGATATAGGAACGGGAGCATTGAAAAGCAAACAAGGTTTAGGAAGGGTAAGTTGGAGTGTTAATGGTGTAATAGTAGAAAAGTTCACAAAGATGTGAAGAATTTCCTGTAGAATAAATCATTTGACTTGATAATCTGTTTAACATAAGTGGACAAACATGAGGAATACTACAAACAAGAACACAATACTAATTTTTCTCTCTCTTTATATAATTATATATGTATATATATAGAGAGAGAGAAAGAGAAAGACCGAGAGAGAATGAAAGATTTCATACAAAAAATGATCAATTTTCAGATGGAAGACTTAGGATCAGAAATGATAAATATATACAGCTCTGCTAAGGTTCCTGTAAATGGAGTTATGAAGGAACTAGAACCAGGTGAGATATAAGTGAAAAAAAAATCATCCAGTTAACATAAAGATTAAATTTTACATTAGCATATGACATATGATAAACTTAACTGTGCTTGAAACATTTTCCAACTAAATTACAGTATCATAACAATTTTAAATCTGTAGCAAATCGGTAAATTTTTCAGTTCTTACTTTAATACAAAACATACTCATACATAATACTGATATTCGAAAAAAAAATTCAAGCTGTTAATACAAGCTCTTTTAGCATTTATCTACAGTAGATGCTAAAAATATTAGGAGAATATGATAGTTTTGTTTCTTACTACAAGATGTTAATTTTTTAAATCTCATTTACAAAAGTATATTGTAATTAACATCTCTTTTAAAATCCTATTTAGGTCTATCAAAGATTTTAACTGAATCCTCGGATTATGATGAACTCCTTCAAGTGTGGAAAGGATTCCGAGACGCGGTAGGACCTGCAGTTAGACCCTTGTATGTAGAATTTGTTTATCTGGCTAACAAAGCTATCAGGGATCTTGGGTATAAAGACTTTGGGCAGTGGGAGAGACGCAGCTTTGACACAGAGACTTTGCCTCAGGATGTTGAAAAGATTTTGAATGGGATGATGCCTATGTATCGTAATCTCCATGCCTACGCAAGGAAAAAACTGATGACAGTATATGGTGCAGAAAAATTCCCTACAACCGGACACATTCCAGCCCATTTGCTAGGTAAAAAATGGCCTTTACAACAAAAACAATCGGAAACAAAAACCTTGTACAAATATAAATAATTTAATTCTGGTTGTAACACGTCTTTGATTGAATAAAAAATTAGTTTATTTCGTATAACCTGTGTTGTCTACGTCACAGTGACTTACATCAAAAATATATCAATCCGCTTGACGTTGCATATAAAACTTGAAAGAATTATAAGGCCTTTCGAAGGGAGAATTGTCTTTTTCTTTATGAAAATTCAATTATAAGGAATAAATTTAATAGCTACTCAAGTTATACTTGTATAACCTGGGTTGGAACAGTTTCCTCTTTATATAAACCGCTTCGCGGTTTATAAAGCGTAAACTGCCCCAAGCCAGGTTATACCGTATATCTTGGGTAGCTATTGAATACATTCCTTAAAGATTACGTTATTATTGAGTAGAATTTGAAAAAAACCCCTAATTTTTACAATCAAAATGATATTTTTCCGATAACATTTTGCCAAACATTAATAAATCAGGTCCATTTCTTAATTTAGTAAGATACCAAAAGATCTCTATAAATATATACACAAGTAACATTAAATACAGTATTTTCAAACATCTTCTTAAGAGAAAAGTGTTCGCTTAATGAATTAAATATAATCTATCAACAATTCGTAAAATACTACTGATGTACATTAACTTTTGTCGGTGGAATTAATCTCTTTGATAGTTCAACTTCCTATCTTAATGTTAATACGATTTTGCAGAAAAGAACTTCAAGATGTGGACAATAAAAAATGTGTCATTGATTACTTTCCTAGGCATTATATTTAATGTGAATTTCGATTCTTCAGGAAATATGTGGGCTCAAAAGTGGGACAATATTTACCGATTACTCCAGCCGTATAGGAACGCACAGTTGATTGATGTTACACAGGAGCTGGTCAAACAGAAATATACAGTAAATAAAATGTTCAAAACTGCAGAGGATTTCTTCAAGTCCTTAGGAATGGACAGAATGACGGATAAATTCTGGAACTTTTCTATGTTAAAAAAGCCCACCGACAGGAAGGTTCTGTGTCACGCCGGTGCCTATAATCTTTTCGCAGAAAAGGATTTTAGGTACGATTACAGTATCCTCGCCATCAAAATTATGTTGATGCTTTATACTTATTTATTTTTGTAGTCTTTTATATTTATGTCTGTGTGTATCTCTTTTTTTAATCTGTTAAAAATGTTTGAGTCAGGATAAAGATGTGTACTGTGAAAACTCATGAGAGTTTGATCGTCATACATCACGAGATGGGGCACATCCAGTACTTCATGCATTACGAAAACCAGCCTGTTAATTTTAGAGACGGGGCAAATCCAGGTGAGTCGGAGACCAGCCCCTTAAGTAAGGGTTAATGTAAGAGTAGTGCTTCATTCCTTAAAAGTAATGGAGTCGAGGCCCCGAAGGGGCCGAGGCCCATTGCTTTTAAGGAATGGAGCGCTTGTGTGTTCGAATCACGGCCGGGACTGATCTAAGTCGATAAAAAATAGGAAGCAAGCGTTCCTTCGCCAAGCGCTCGGCACTTTGAAGTGAAAGTTGCGGGTACTTCGGATGAGACATTTAAAAACCGAGGCCCCGTGTCACAGTAGGCGTTGGCACGATAAAGAACCCTCACTGCTCAATGGCCCTGAGTGCCGAGTAAAGGTCTAAATTTGAAGCCCTTCACCGGTATATGGTGACGTCTCTATATGAGTGAAAAATTCTCGAACGGGACGTAAAACAACATACAATCAATCAATCAATATTGAGTGCCGTTGTCCTTTTTGCACTTGGATGATGATTATTTCAATGCTTGCCATCTATAGTTATTTGTATACCCATCCAACTTCGACGTCCGTTTACAAATAGCTGTATATTGCTTTTAAATGTTCCAAAACACTACACCAAAATGGTGTTTCTTCATGGTATTCTTGTATTAACTGCATACTTAATCATATTGATATTAAACTTAGTGATGTTTTAGGTATGTCACTCACACAGTTTAAAATAAACTTGAAAAGAATATTACTTAACACATGTAAAATTACATGGGGAAAAAGACAGGAATTTACATAAAGATGGTAAATTATCTACCTTCACCTGCCTAAAGACTAAGTTTTGTTTTGAACCCTTTGTAAACATTTTAACAAACAAACAACGTAGATCAGTCATAACAAGGTTACGAATATCAGCTCAAAGGCTTAAAATTGAAATTGGACGATATCAAAAATTACCTCAAGATGAAGGGCTTTGTTCCCTTTGTGATCACAAGGAGATTCAGGATGAAATTCATTTTCTCCTTGTGTGTCCTCATTTTAGTGTACAGATTTGAACTCATGAATATTTGTAATAATAAATGTAAAAAATTTCAGTCTCTATCATATGATGTGGTATGTTCTGCGTACGAACTTTTTTAAAAACGGGGCAGCTATCGAAAAACGAGCGGATAACACGAGGATATCAACTGTCTCGTTTTAGTCAACATTTCGGAAATTCTTTGGTCAATAAAAAACCTTGTTAGGCCATTATTTCACACTGAGTTGCCTACGAATTTTTCCGTTTTGCCTGATCATGACAAGGAGCACTCGGCAGGTGTGACCGGTCGACAGGGGATGCTCACTCCTCCATGGGATTTGATCCCACTTCTAAATTTTGAAGTCCGTGTTTGCACTGCTCCAAATCTGCATCGTTTCATTGGACTTTCGAGATTGAATACTGTTCCTTATCTTCATATTTCATTTTAAAAATTAAGCCCCCAGTTATAAATTTCATTTACTTTAGAAAACTCCCAGAAACCTTTGATTGTGTACAAATGTTTACGAAATTCATTATTCTGTAGTAGCATATTATAAGATATTTTCACACGCCATTATTCCGTCAAAAAAATATAGTCCCTTCTAGATTTTCAACTCAGTTTACCATTTCCTTTTTAATTCATGCAATTTTTATTTTAAATCCTTTACATCTAAGTGTCGCCCGCGTGGCGCAGTGGTTAGAGCGTCTGCTCTAGAGTCGCGAAATAAGGAGTAGATCCTTACGTCGCGGGTTCGAATCCCACTGTGGGACGTGGAGACCGGTCCTTCGGATGAGACCGTATCGCAGTATGTGCTGGCTCGAAAAAGATCCCTCACTGCTCAATGGCCGTAAGTGCCGAGTATAGGTCAGAATTTGTAGCATTCCACCGGCCCTCCACCGGCAAGTGGTGGCGTCTCCATATGAGTGAAAAATTCTCGAGAAGGACGTTAAACAACAAACAATCAATCAATCAATCATTTACATCTAAATAAAGAAGACATTAAAACAAATAAACTTTGAATCTTTCATTTAGTCAGAAAGCAGACAAAAATGTATCCTTAAATTCGATTTTTGTTTATGATGATTGTAACTTTGTTCTTCTGCCAACATGATAAGTGTGACTTTGTTTCTCTACCAACATGATGAGTGTAACTTTGTTTCTCTGTTAACGTAAGTGTAACTTTGTTTCTCTGTCAACATAAAAAGTGTAACTTTGTCTCTCTGCCAACATGATAAGTGTAACTTTGTTTCTTTGCCATAATGATAAGCATAACTTTGTTTCTCTACCAACATGATAAGTGTAACTTTGTTTCTCTGTCAACATAACAAGTGTAACTTTGCCTCTCTGCCAACATGATAAGTGTAACTTTGTCTCTCTGTTAACATGATATGTGTAACTTTTTTTCTCTGTCAACATAATGTGTAACTTTATCTCTCTGCCAACATGATAAGCGTAACTTCATTATTGTAGGTTTCCATGAAGCTATTGGAGACACTATATCTCTGTCTGTACAGACCCCTAGTCACCTCCAAAAGATAAATCTGTTAAATATAACCAGAATGAACAATGGTACAGTTATATGTCTATTGTCTCCAGTAATACTCTTAAATATAGATATATTCAAGCAATTTTACTGTTATAATATCCCATCGTAAATGTTGACCAATACAAGTAATGGTAAAGCCATGCCTTTATCTTGTAATCTTGTTTTTTTATGTTCAACCATAATCAAAAATTAGGATCGGTGTTTTCTTAAATGTTGAATTATTCCAAACAATATATTTTTGCCTAGAAATCATCTTTGATAAGATTAAAATAATGATAAATGTTAAGTATACATTTAAATTGTATACTGATTTTATTTCTCAGAGTCAGATTTAAATTTTTTGATGAAAATGGCATTGGAAAAAATTGCATTCCTTCCATTTGCTTTTGTAATGGACAACTGGAGATGGGGTGTATTTAGCAGGGACGTCAGTCCTGATGATTTCAACACCAAATGGTGGCAACTCAGGTGAGTACATGCATGTAAGAAGGATCAAAGAGGGTCGTCGTTGACGTGTTCTTACTTTCAGAAAGATCCATATGTAGAGCTCACAGTTTTGAAGCAAATCTATCAACAAATTCACGTTATTTCATGTGTCATTTACCTGTTGCTTTCAAGTCTTTATGGCTATCATCTTTAAACTTATGTAAATCATAAACAATTTATTTCAATGTTGCCTAAAGTTAGAGAAAACGTCAGTCTTTTACATGAAAGTCACTAAACTTTAATGTAATATACGACTTTTAGGTTGTTATATTAGTTCAGTAGACTATAAATATGATTAAAACGTCGTGAGAATTTTGTTCATTGCTAAAACAAGCTCATATTGAAAGATTTTCTTTCTTAGGTGCAAATATCAAGGAATCTCCCCACCCGTCAGAAGAACAGAGAGTGACTTTGATCCGGGGGCAAAATATCACATTCCAGCTAATTATCAGTATATATCGTAAGTGCTACACTACAAAAACATACTGAACAAAACATAGACTGTGAAATTAGCCTCTTTTTTTTTACTAGGATTAAATAGTATTCAAAATCAGTATTAGCCTTTGCTTTTGTTTTTCTTTGATTTTGGGCAAGTATGTGATTAAAGTAATTTACTCAACACATAATATTCAAGGATCAGATCTATTTTTACTTTTCTTTAGGTATTTTATGAGTTATATCATGCAATTCCAATTCCACAAAGCTCTTTGCAATGCTTCTGGACATACGGGCCCTTTACATACCTGTGATATATATCACTCCAAAAAAGCAGGAAAGATATTAAGGTGAGCAGGTCCATCTATAAAGAGAAATGGCAGTTTAGCAATCAAACATTGAATACATTTCAGTATGTATCTTAAGAGTTCTTCACGTCATACAAAATAATTATTCCTTTTCAGTGATATGTTAAAACTAGGATCATCCGTACCCTGGCCTGATGCTATGGAGAAAATAACTGGCCAACGGAATGTAGACATTGGCCCACTTCTCGAGTACTTTCAGCCACTAAATGATTGGTTAGAAAAAGAGGTCAAGGACGAACGTAAAACCTGGAGCGACGAATGTCCAAACTTGCCTCCTCCTAAAGCTGCGACAGGGAGCAAAAATAATATAAATAGTGCTTTATCTATACATGCATCCATGTACACAATCATTGTGATGATAGCAACATTTTCATTATCGTTAGTAACTTGACATTGGAATTTTTTTATCATGTGAAATAATATTTCATCCAAGCTTTATCAAAGCTTTGTATATTTTCTTATAAAATCTTTTTCAAAAAGATACATAGTTTTATGTGTCTGATTTTCAATCGACATCTCGCATAAAAAGCCCCAAATAGAACAAAAGAATTGTTCTAAAGACTCATCGTTGCAGCCACGTTTTGGGGGGTTGGGGAGGGGTGTTCCACTCAGGGTTTGTAGAATGCTGGAGACAAAGGTTTGAATAAATTTAAAGCTTACTCAACAGTAAGAGCGGAGAATATTATGGTATACTGTATACAGTATATTCTCTGTCTCTATACATAATTTTTGCCCCCGTTTTCAGTACTCCCTCGTCGCAATTGGGCGAATTTTAAACGTAGCTAATTCAAAGAAAACGGCATTATAGTGTCTGGAAGAAGTCAAAACGGGGCAAAATGGTTTGTAGGTGTAAAAGGGTGAAAATAAGACGGGCGAAAATAACCCTGATTACAGTATTTCCGTCTCTCTGGTCCGAGTGTCTGCAGGTCCTTTTGCTTGTCATTCTGTCCCACTTAGTTTTTCCTGACTTTTCCCCAAGGCGCTTACAGATATTTACTTTCGATATGTAAGTCTATCTATTTGTCTTTCGCTTTGCCTCGAAGAGTTTTGACAGAATTATGGGACAGTGGGATGTTGATAGATTTACATTTTTCAGCATATTTTCTAGACAATTGACAAATGAGTTTACCTTGATAAGTAACAGATTAAAGTTTGGGTTTCGTTCCACTTTGATAATTTTAGACAGACTCGAAAGGAAAATAGCATAACAGTACTGTAGGCAGCCTGGATTGCCGGTGTTTTATAGAAAACCTTCCGCATAGCAAATCTTCTCCGGGAAATTTTGCTATATATTAAAGCTTCCCTCTTACAAAAATGACAATGTATCAAATCTTCCTCCGGAATATTCTAATTTATACTGTGAAATCATTAATTTTCATAGGGGTTTGATTTTCATGTTTCGTGGTATGAGGAGACCCATGAATTCATATTCCTCACAAAATGTTAAAATTCTATACAGCACTGCAGTATGATATTTACCCTTTAACCACGAACTCAGATCCCCTCGAACCAATAATTTGATCTCAAACCACGAGTTTGAGCACACGAAAATAAGTGACTTTACAGAAGTGAGTTTTCCCCCGGGAAAAGTTTACTATTTGGCAAAAATTCCACCGTACATAGAAAATCTTCCGCCCGGATATCTTACTATGTAGCAAACGCCCCCCCCCCCCCTTATTGCGGATAATTATTCATAATTCGGAATTCAGTACATTTATCGTTTTAATTTTATTGATCATATCAATGAAAATTAATTTGATGAATGTACAAGATTCCGATTCAACAAATTAATGTTGTCAAACTAGTCTTATGCAATCATCTTCATGTTCCCATAGTTTATAGATAAACTATCCAAACCATGCATTATAACTTGGTGGTACAAAATGAGTCTTGTTTTACATAGAAAATCTTCTTTCTAGAGTAAGAGGGCTGTGCAAGTTTTCAAACACTTGTAAGTGCTGTCATGCATTGTCAATTAAAGTTATGATGAAAACACAGGAGTACATGGGATCAGGTTCCTAGGAGGAGTAAGTATATATCCCTGTCGACCGGTCACACCCGCCGTGAGCCCCTTTTTGTATGTGCGACTGGGGCTTGCAATTGTTCCCATTCAGAACCATTTTATGCTCCAAGGATACGTATGTTATACTGATAAAATATTTTTAGGAAATAGTTTTTTACTTGACTGTATGTTCATTTCACCATGCATCGGACACTTTTTCGATCCATGGGTAATAACTTGCCTTTTCGAATAGAGATACTTGTACAATTCCCAAATGACAATTGTTTTTGCAAAAATAAAAAATAATATATCAATTCAACATATGCATATTGATAGAAGTTATCAATATATGACAACTAGAAGTGGGCTTTATTTATTTCTTTAAACTAGAAGATGATAACCCCGACAACAGGGCGCAAGTTGACATATTATTAGGCATTGCCAAGCCATGCCAAAGGTATATGTCAGTGTCATAGTATACAGTTGTTGACTGGGGTTAAGGGCAACAGTTGACTTGTCGAACCGATGTGCAAAATGTTGCCCAAAGCCGAAGGCAACTGTTAGAACACCTGTCTGACAGATCACTGTTGCCCGAGACCCCCTGTCAACAACTATTTTGTTATATCTTTATATCAATAATGTATACAGTATTAAATCAGGATCAGTAATTTTTACTGCGAGGACCCTAAATTACTAATGTTTTATCAGCTAATTATGACTGTTTTCAAGCTATATTAAACGATACAATGATAATAATATGTAGTAAGAATTCAAAACAATTAATAAAAAAAAATCAGAAACATGATAAAAACCCAGCGAGTCTACACATTCCTTCAATTTCCCGATCAAGACAAGGGGCTCTCGGTGGATGGGACGGGTCGAAAGGGGATGCTCACTACTTCATGGCACCTGATCACCTCAGATTTTTCAGAGGTTAGTGTACGTATTTTTTTCTGCTCACAATAAGCATCGTTTAACTGGATTTTGAGCATGAATACTGTTCATCATTTTCACATTTCCTTCTATGTTTATCGTAGTAAATAAGAAGTGGGAAGTATTGGGTCGTACTTTTGCCGAATTGTTTCATACCAATTGTTATGCCTTTGTTTTTTATACTGAATTTGACTACGGAATGTTCCGTCTACCTGACCAACTTAGGGCTCACGGCGGATGTTACCGGTCAACAGGGAATGCTTACTCTCCTAGGCACTTGATCCCACCTTTTCAATTCCCAGGGGTCTGTATTTTATGCCCTGTTCAGAGAATTTATTGTTTGTAGGTTTTTTGAGATTAATCATTGTTAGTTATTACCTTTTTCATTCTATCCGACATAGTGATTTCCATATAAACTCTTCCACCTAAACTTCGCACATTATTATAGGGAAGAAGTTATTTTAAATTAAAAATAAGACATGTTCTTCACCATCATTTCAATTGAGAAAGTTCATCGACTTCAAGCTGCATTTATCCCGAATTGCAAGTTTTCTATTTGTTACTTGAAACTCCAAACCTTTATGTTGCCCTTTAAAACACTTGGAACTTTCATTAGAAATTCCAACGATTAAGATGCACGTACGACTATCTTATTAGAAATCCTGACATTTATAATGCACCTTTATCTATTTCAAAAACTTTTTCAAAGGTGTGTTTTGCTATTAATGCACGACTCCAACATTATTAAGGTGTTTAACTGAGCTGGACAGGAGGCTTCAATTCTGACATACAGAGAGATTTAAGACCCGTTTGAGATTATTAAGCTCTTCAGGCTACAACAAAGGACACTTCTTACCTTCAGGTAAAATCATGCTGCAAAATCGAAATTATATTGAACTCTAAACAATGCTAAATGGAGGTCATAGTGCAGCTATACACAGATAAAAATTGAGACTGATGCAATATGTTTACATTTATTAAACAAAATAGTGTAAAAAATAATATACTTGTGTATATTCAACAAATAGCATAATAGTACAATTACTGCATATGAACACCTAAATATGCCATATGTAACAAGTTCAGAATTTACAGCAAGTTGAAGTTAAACAAAATGTTCATATAAATGTAAATATACAAAAAACATATTTACATATTCATTAAAAAAAAAAAAATAAACCCAATATGCAACCAAATTATTTCCGATTCATTTAAAAATCTACTATTCTGTCATCTACAATTTAAAACAGCAAATAACTAAAATCATAATCCTGAGAGCAATAGGCATCAAATTATACTAAAATGTAAATCTAGCCATGCTAGTTACATATTATGGCCATTTCAAAATTCATTCATTAAACATGTTGTTAATTCAAACATGGTTTCATATCACAGTCTGTTAGTGAAGCAGCAAAAATTGACTTAATTCCATGTAGACGTTTTATTTACTTCGCAGAGGGAGGCTCAGTTTAACAAGACAGTGTCTCCATGGCTTCATTTAAAGATCTGTGGGGGCCTCTGTTTACAAACTCCATTAAAGTAAGGATGATTGAGAGCCATCTTAGCAGATACCCTCTGACTTGGTTCATATTTAAGCATTTTCTGTCAACAAAGAAAATTACACATTCATTCAGGTACATATTGCAAACAAAAGCATTGATTTAAAAACATGTGCATTTGAAAAACAACATTTCCACATTTTAAATTTGAAACATAATTTAACAAAGATATACAAGCTTCAAGGGTGAAAGACAATTTCAAGTCATTATGTTCATACATCTCAGAAAATAGCAGATGTAAGAATTAACTGATAATAGTGGCTTATTGATAAAGCCTATTAGAATATTCTATCATTGTAAAATTTCTCATTTTTGTCTGAGTATAATTAACTCACCGCCATCAAATCAAGTCCATCTCCTGTCAGGTGAGGTACAATACTGCTGATTGATTGCTGGGGCCATTTAGGGAAGGAAGACTTATAATCAGGAAGCTGGGAAACTCCAGGCCATACACTCTCATCTGGAGTACCTGATATATAGAAATCAAAAAGTTCTGATTAATCTACATCCACACAAACTCTCATCTGGAGTACCTAATATAGAAATCAAAAAGTACTGATAAATCTACAGCCACACAAACTCCAGGCCGCACACCATCATCTGGAGTACCTAATATAGAAATCAACAAGTACTGATTAATCTACATCTACACAAACTCCAGGCCATACACTCTCATCTGGAGTACATGATATAGAAATCAACAAGTTCTGATAAATCTACACAAACTCCAGGTCAAAAACCCTCATCTGGAGTACCTGATATAGAAATCAAAAAGTACTGATAAATCCACATCTACACAAACTCCAGGCCATACACTCTCATCTGGAGTACCTGATATAGAAATCAAAAGTACTGATAAATCTTCAGCTACACAAACTCCAGGCCATACACTCTCATCTGGAGTACCTAATATAGAAATCAACAAGTACTGATTAATCTACAGCTAAACAAACTCCAGGCCATAATCCTCATCTGGAGTACCTAATATAAAAATCAAAAAGTACTGATAAATCTACAGCTACACAAACTCCAGGCCATAAACCCTCCTTTGAAGACCTAACATCTAAATTAACAAGAGGCTTAGGGGCCACATCGCTCACCTGAGCACTGTGGCTAGGAAAAAAAGCAAAAATCAGTTTAATACTGAAAAGCTTTTTCCTATGTATTCCATGTAAAACTTTGATCATCCACTGTGGCCCCACCCTACCCCTTGGGGGTCATGATTTGAACAAACTTGAATCTTCAGTACCTGACAATGATTCTTCATGAGTTTCATCTTTCCTGGCCCATTGGTTCTTGATAAGAAAATTTAAATGATGCCATTAATTTTTCACTATTTCGTAATTATCTCCCCTTGGAGGATTGCATGACCCTTCATTTGAACAAACTTGAATCCCCTTCACCCAAGGATACTCTGTGTCAAGTTTGTTTGAAATTGGCCCAGTAGTTCTGGAGAATGAAAATGTGAAAAGTTTACAACAACGACGCCAACGATGACAGACAACGGACAAATTTCGATCAGAAAAGCTCACGTGAGCCTTCTGCTCAGGTGAGCAGAAAAGTGGAGTACCTAAAATAGAAATCAAAACGTAGTGATAAATCTACAGCTACACAAACTCCAGGCCTTAAACCCTCATCTGGAGTACCTGATATAGAAATCAACAAGTACTGATAAATCTACAGCCACACAAACTCCAGGCCATAAACCCTCATCTGGAGTACCTGATATAGAAATCAAAAAGTACTGATAAATCTACAGCTACACAAACTCCAGGTCATAACCCTCATCTGGAGTACCTGATATAGAAATCAAAAAGTACTGATAAATCTACAGCTACACAAACTCCAGGCCATATGCTCTCATCTGGAGTACTTGATATAAAATGAAAGAGAACTGATAAATTTACATCTACACAATTTCCAGGTCATAAATCCTCATTTGGAGTACCTGATATAGAAATCAAAAGTACTGATAAATCCACATCTACAAAACTCCAGGCCTTAAACCCTCATCAGGAGTACTTGATATAGAAATCAAAAGTACTGATAAATCCACATTTGCACAAACTCCAGGCCATATGCTCTCATCCGGAGTACTAGATATAGAAATCAAACATAGGTAATCAAAGATTACAAAGCTCACCTCGACGAATGTTATCTACATGTAAGGCAAATTTCACATCATATTTTTTTTCTAGTTAGGGTACATCCCGAGATCAATATCCATGCAAGTTTGATTTAATTATAGACCTGCTCAAAAAACTTTTGACCTGTTTAGTAATCAAGAAAATTTTGGTCAGTTCCAACATCCAAAGCAAGTCTGGAAGTTTTCATCCTTAGATGCACCATCTATGCAAGTTTAATCATAATAGGCCATAATATTATATAGCTACTCCAAAAAATTACCCTGGTCACTCATCTGGAAAATGTACGTCAGATTCAGAATCCAAGGCAAGTCTGGAAGTGTCCATCCCTAGATACATCATCCATGCTAATTTGGTTAAAATATGGCTAAAATTCACTCATGTGGAAAATCTAGGTCAGATCCAGCATTCGAAGTAGGTTGGTTAGTGTACATCCCTAGATGCATCATCCATGAAAGTTTGGTCCAGGTAGGGCTTATAGTTACTTGGGAACAAGACTACTCCTAAATCTAAACCTGGTCTCACATGTGGAAAATCTAGGTCAGATCCAGCATCCAAAGCAAGTGTGGTAGTGTCCATCCCTGGATGCATCATCCATGCAAGTTTGGTCAGGGTAGGGCTTATAGTTACTTGGGAATGGACCTGCTCCAAAAACTTTAACCTGGTCACTCGTCTGGAAAATCTAGGTCAGATCCAGCATCCAAAGCAAGTGTGGTAGTGTCCATCCCTGGAAACATCATCCATGCAAGTTTGGTCCAGGAAGGGCTTATAGTTACTTGGGAATGGACCTGCTCCTAAAACTTTAACCTGGTCACTCATCTGGAAAATCTAGGTCAGATCCAGCATTCGAAGCAAGTGTGGCCATGTCCATCCCTAGATGCATCATCCATGCAAGTTTGGTCAAGGTAGGGCTTATAGTTACTTGGGAATGGACCTGCTCCTAAAACTTTAACCTGGTCACTCATCTGGAAAATCTAGGTCAGATCCAGCATCCGAAGCAAGTGTGGTAGTGTCCATCCCTAGATGCATCATCCATGCAAGTTTGGTCAAGGTAGGGCTTATAGTTACTTGGGAATGGACCTGCTCCTAAAACTTTAACCTGGTCACTCATCTGGAAAATCTAGGTCAGATCCAGCATCCGAAGCAAGTGTGGTAGTGTCCATCCCTAGATGCATCATCCATGCAAGTTTGGTCAAGGTAGGGCTTATAGTTACTTGGGAATGGACCTGCTCCTAAAACTTTAACCTGGTCACTCATCTGGAAAATCTAGGTCAGATCCAGCATCCGAAGCAAGTTTGGTAGTGTCCATCCCTAGATGCATCATCCATGCAAGTTTGGTCCAGGTAGGGCTTATAGTTACTTGGGAATGGGACTTGCTCCTAAAACTTTAACCTGGGACGCCGACGCTAACGCCGACACCGACGCCAGGGGTATAGCATAAGCTCATCTCGACTTCGGCGAGGTGAGCTAAAAAGTACTGGTAAACCTACACCTACCAAAACTATACATAGTAACCTAATAAATGCTTTATGTTCACAAAAAATGTAATCAGATTTTTTTTTCCAATAACATCTCTGTGGAAGGTTTTTAACCCTCCCTGAATACTCCTTGAATACCATTATGAAATAATCCCATTATAAAACAAAGAAGCACATTCTGACATCCTTGATTCACTACAGACTTGATCAGTATCTGAGCTTTACCTAGTGTCCTGAATATCCTGAACAGCTGATCAATTTCTGAATCTCCTTGGAACAAGGCACGTCTTGTCATCTGCAAAAATTTAAATAATTAAAACATTTATCCCAGTTCTTGTTTCATGAACTGTGTTACCACACCACTGGTGATTTTTCAATGAAATCCTGGCTTACGATTGGTTGAAGTACGTCACATGAAGGGAGTGTAATACATATACACGGTCACTTGAAAACCAATACACAGACAATACGGAGTTATCGTTCTTTTGTAACACTTGGAATTGAGTTCTAAGTTTTTTTTAATTAATTATCTTGTCTGTTGACAATTAAAAAAATATTTATGTCAGTCAAGAGCACTTTTTCCCTTTACTAAAATTCTTCAAAATTGTCTGTACATTATTACTGCACACAGCAATATTGTGTAGCACAACATGATGTCATAATAGGCACTATATTGGAGTGATGAAGCATAGAGTGGGGATGAACAATTTTACAAACCCTAACATTAGATGTGTCATCATTGGTGCTGTTACATGGTTTTTGTTGTGAGCAGGTACAAGATACCTGTTTAGTAAATTCACCTTGCCAGGTATAAAATTTATTAACCAGGTATCATCCCATATCTGGTCACTACAAAACTATGTACTGTATAGGGGGAAAATAACTCACGGTGTAAATATTTGCTATATTCACGGTGTTGATAAATCCGTGAATTCAAGAAACAGTGAATATGTTTTCAATAAACTTTTTTTGAATATGAGTTTAATAGACTTTTGAGCTCGAATACTGTTCATTATCTCCACATATTTCATATAGACTACAATAGGTATATTTATGTACAGTAGTCACTCAGTAATTATGAGTGGTACTTGTCATTCAATTATTTTGATTATTCCGCCTTACTTAACTTAAATCAGTAGATAATGACCTGCATTTATTGCTGAAAAGCTATTTTAATAGCCAACGCTCTATGTTTGATCAATCAAAGCATGTGGGTAATGGGTATCGATTACTGATTACCCGTGCGTAACTAACATTATCACCCATATTAGTTTTTTCCCAACATTTTGGTTAAAAAAAATATTTATTCAAATAACTCTCATACCTACTGTAGATATGGAAGGATATTATTTCGTCGACATACATTAACATAATTATGATCGTCGAGTGGTTTTCATTGCGATATCATCATTCCTTCGGAAAGAAAATCTTCGGGTGTACATGCACTCAACGTAATAGTATAGAGGAAAGTCCTTCAACGTTTATAGTCAAAGACGTTTAACGGCACTTGTTTTGTTTTATTGTAAATTAATTACCAAATCTAAACACTTGATTTAAACCTCCCCAAGTATTGTTTATGAAGTGTATACATAACGATGATGAATGTCGTTCTACAGCCAAGGGAGGTAACTTTTATTTAACACCAATTCTGCGAATTCATCAAAGCGCGATCATGTCAGAGGAGAGAAAAATGTGAAAATTACAACCCGTGAAATTAATCACCTATACAGTAACTAATAATACATGCAACTAAAGCTAAACTCCTAGCTGACAATTTTTTGAGAAAGATTTGTCTATGATTACATGAATTATCTTACCCCAGTAAAGCAATGAATGCAGCATATGTAAGGATTAAATTTTCAGTTGAAGCACTATATAAAGCCTTATAGATGTATGTCTCACCATTTCTGCAAAGATACAGCCAAGGGACCAGAGATCTACGGGCGTTGAATAGAATCTACTTCCCAGAAGGATTTCAGGAGCTCTGTACCACAGCGTCACAACCTGACAGCAAACAGAAGTGACTATAGATTGACTGACAGATTATGACAATTATCAAAACACCAGGGCTCCACATTAATGCTTGTCCAGTACCAGTGAAAAAATATTATGGACAAGTGTGTGTATGTTTGCAAAGCATTTTTAATGCCTTTTCATTTTCATTTTTTGTCATTTTCAACCATGTTAAATAGAACTATTACCGTAATATATGCTTTTACAAAACAAGAGGCCCAAGGGCCTTAACGGTCACCTGAGTATAATACAACAATTTAGAGGATCCCTAGAGTATAAAATGAACTGAAAGGTGAAACTTTGTTGCCCAAAAGCAAGAAATATAGGGTGATCGGGATCAACAAAATAATTAGTTTAGTATTCATAAACAGTTCTTAAATTAGGTTCAAATCTGTTCCCAATTTATCACTATCACCATACAGTATATTAACAAACTATCAGTGCTTCTGTACTATTTAATTCCTTGTGGAGATGTCTTACATTGGCCTCTCTTGGTCATTAATAAAACAAGTAATTTTTGTCTCATTTTTATTTATCTATTAATTACAAGTCTACCTGATCATTAAAATTATGAAAGTACTTTTTGTATTATACAATAAAAATTCTTGCATAATTCTCTTATTCTATTAACCTTTCAAATATTTTTTTTACAGTGATTAATCATCAAAAGTAAATGGCAAAGGAAAATAACTCCTTTCAGTAGAATACAAATTAAAAGAGCCCAGGCAAGGAGTAGAACACTTGACCAAATAGTCCAGATGTTCAAAAATCTGGTAAAAATACCCTTCCTTATTAAAACTTTTACTCTTTTTGCCTCTGATATGCCCAGGTGCAGAGAAGATTTTTGAAGAAATAATGCATTTTTACTACAGATTCACTATATTATCAATAGAGCCCCCCCCCCCCCCCCCAAAGAAATACCAGAGCCTCTGGCCATGGGACCAGAAGTTTGCTCATCATAAGTTATCACTTTGTTTATCTGCAACCAGCACATCTGACCCAGGGGTCATGCAATTCACTACTCTGGAAAAAGCACTCTTGCTCATCATAACTATTCACTTAGCTTCTTTGCTTTTTAACCAGAAGCAGAAAAGAATATTTTAAAAGAAATTTTGCTTTTTCACTACATAATCAATAGAGCCCCCCCTCCCTCTTTTCACCAGAACCCTTGACCCTGGGGCCATGAAATTCACAATTTTGGAAGAGGTATCCCTGCGTATCATAACAATGTACATAGTTTGTTTAAAAAATACCCAGGGGCAGAGAAGAAGATTTTCAAAGAAATAATTCACCTTTACTATAGGATCTATATAGCCCCACCCTAGCACCAGAATCCCTGTACCTGGGGGCTTGAATTTCACAATTTTGGAAGAGGCATCCTTGGTTATCATAACTATATACTTAGTTTGTTTAAATAATACCCAGGAGCAGAAAAAGAAGAATTAATGTATTTTCACTATATAATAAATAGAGCCCCGTCCTAGCACCAGAACCCCTGACTCTGGGGCCATGATATTTCACAGTTTTGGTAGAGTCACTCTTGCTTATCATAACTATGTATTTAATTTGTTTCAATAATACCCAGGAGTAGAGAAGAAGATTTTCAAAGAAATAATGCACTTTCACTAAATGATCTATATAGCCCCGTCCTAGCACCAGAACCCCTGACCCTGGGGCCTTGAATTTCATAATTTTGGTAGAATCACCCTTGCATATCATAACTATGTATTCAATTTGTCTCAATAATACCCAAGAGCAGAGAAGAAGATTTTCAAAGAAATAATGCACTTTCACTATATGATCTATATATCCCCGCCCTAGCACCAGAACCCCTGACCCTGGGGCCTTTAATTTCACAATTTTGGTAGAGTCACCCTTGCTTATCATAACTATGTATTCAATTTGTTTCAATAATAAATGATAACCATCATCCAATGAGTAACTCTTTAATTAACTAAGGATGACTGATACCTGAAACATATAGAAATAATATTACATTACATAAATGATTAGTTATCTCCTCCCCCGGGGACAAGTTTTTTAGGCATTAATAAAACTTAAAAGGTCTGTATAAATCAAATATCAAATTACGGAATGTTTCATATCACAACTGTACTTCAGTCACTAGTAATTAAAGATCAATTGAACTGTCCAATAATCAGTTATTCTCTGCAGAATCAATGGAATCCTGTCTAGTATTGCGGCGTGGTCTTCCAGGCGTCAACAACTCTTTCTTTCCAGGTGCATTGTGCGGCTGAAGACGAGCCAGAGCGCGGGGTAAACGTGTGACCTTCGGTTTGTCTTCATGTTCTGTCGGAGGAGCGACTTCGTCCTTGTCCGTCAATAGTCGTCTTGGCGATAAACGCGACTTAGCGGTTGATTTTGGGGTCACGACTGCAGGTGAGACCTCTCCAGATGTAGCAGGTGAACCATGGTTAACAGGTGGTGGAACAGAAGGGCCATCCACCCTGGGAGTCACATGCGAAGGTTGTGGTGTGCTACATTTCAATGGATTTAGAGTCAATGTTTTCTGAGTCGAGGATGAACCATCTGTAACAGTCTTTTCTGAAGGCTGTGGCATTCTCGGCATCGTTTCAATCGCACTGGGTGAATTGCTGTTAAACGGGGTGAATTTCCTCAGATGCTGGCGATTTCTTAGCGTAACCCTTCCTGTGCCATCTACACGTACCACATACTGGTGGTATTGGCGGACCTCAACAACAACTCCAGTGCGTTCCCATCTCCTTGGGTGGTTGCCCATTAAGTTTTGGATATACACATGGTCTCCAACCTGCAGTGGTGGTAGCTGATGGGTATGCTCATTCCATCTTTCATGCTCTCTTGAGTGGCGTTTGGCAAGAGCTAACTCTCTACTCGACATCAGTTCCTTCCATGTATCATGAGGCGAATATCTACCCATTACGATTGGTACGGCATCTCTGATCGGACGACCAAACAGGATCAAGGCTGGGGATGCCTTCGTCTCTGGATCAATGGAGTTCCTGTATATAAGTAAAGCCCTCTGAAACTTATCCACGTCTAAGGAACCATTGGCTGTGATGTTGTCCGCAAGCATACGTTTTACCATCTTCACTGCAACTTCAGCTCTGCAGTTGGCATGTGGATTTGCAACTGATGAGATTCTATGTCTGACTCCCCAGGCTTTCAGGAATTCCTGTGTCTTTCCAGCTGTATACTGAGGACCTCCATCTGATGTTAATTCCTCTGGGATACCAAATGTGACAAACGTCTCACGAAGGCGCTTCACCAGTCCATCCGCTCCAGACTCCGATCTGTATACCATGGGCCAGTTGGAGTACCTGTCCACAACGACAACATAATCCTTACTGTTGTAGGTGAAGTAGTCGCTGCAGATCTTCTGGAAAGGATATTCAGGAGGAACTATATCAGTAGGTGGCTGCATGGGGTTTGACTTAGCCATCTGGTGACAATGTCCACACTGGTCCCTCGTCCTGGCAATATCCACCGTGATATCTGGCCAATACACCGAGTCCATGGCTCTGGCACGCATCGACGAGACTCCTTGGTGTGCTGCATGAAGTGCATTGAGTACTGGTTTACGTAAGGCAGGTGGAATGACTATACCCTGTCCCAAGAGAACCACACCATCAACAGAGCATAGACTGCCAGAAAAACGATGAAATGGGCGCAACTCCAGTGGCAAATCCCTATAATCCTCTGGGAACCCTTCTTCTATCTGCTGAAGCAGGCTAATATACGTAGGATCTGATGCTGTGGCTTCACGTACCATATCCCAAGTTACAACCATGATGTTGGCATTTAATGCAGTTGTAGCGGCAGCAACTGTGGAGGTATCATCAGCTTGATCTCGATCCTCAGTAGATAGGCCGAAACTGGTGGGTGTATCACGACAACTGGCAGAGCAACTGTCAAGGGACTTGTCTACTGTGGCATCACCAGGTAATACCAGTCGATCTGGGGGGCAAGCTGGATGTCTGGAAGCTGCATCCGGACCAAGGTTCTTCTTCCCAGGTACATGAACCACCGTAAACTTGTATCCAAGGGTCTTTTCTTTCAGGTTAAGGAGACGCCTGTTATCTATTTCAGTGAGTGATCGGTCGTTCAATATCTGGAGTAGTGGTTTATGGTCAGTGGTGACAATGAGATCTTCGCATCCGAGCACATAGTATCTTGTCTGGTGGAGTGCGTACACAACAGCCAAGGCTTTGCCTTCGATTGGAGCGTATCTACTTTCTGCTGGGTGGGTGAATCTATTGCCGACCAAACAAAGCTTCCATCCGTCATTACAGCATGCTGGGGTCTTACTGGCACAGCTGCAATACTTCTGCATCATGAAGAAGCCAATACCATCAATGGACCAGTCTGTGGCTAGACAGGTCATGCGTGCTGGGTCAAACAGACGAACACCTTCCTTCATCTCCTGGATAATGACCTCTTTGGACTTTGTAAATAGTTCATCTAGCTCATCCGTCCAATGGAACGGTGTAGATGGTTTCAATAGAGCTCGGAACGGTTTCATCTGTTTAGTCATGGCAAACGCGTAGGCACCTTGGTTGACCAATCCAAACCATGCTCTTGCACCGGTAATGTCGGATGGTGTGGGAAAGTTGCTGATTGCATCTAGGAACTTTGTGCTTGGTCGTATATTTGTAGGAGTAATTGTGAGTCCAGCAAAATCTACAATATCTTGAGCAAACTGGAACTTCTTCGGGTTGAGGGTAATACCATTCCGAGCACAGAGGTCTAACCATTCGCACGTCTGGAAGAATGCTGCTTTAACAGAATCTGCCCACATACAAGTGTCATCCACGCATTTGACCTTGTTCTTGAAGTCCGTAATGACAGCATCAAATCGTTGGTTGTAAGCATCTCCGCTGGCCATAAATCCCTGTGGAGCTACCTTGTATCTGTACCGTCCCCATGGTGTGATAAAAGTGGTAAAGTGACGGTCCTCCTCTCGAATAGGTACAGAGTGGTATCCATTCCAAGCGTCAGTAACGGTCTTCTTCATACCTTGAGGTACCCTGTCTGCTAGATGAAACGGACTCGGTACATGATGGGTCTGGCGTACGGAGTGACGGTTTTGTGGTTGAAGATCTACCGTCCTTCTGGGCGTACCATCAGCTTTACCTGTAAATACCATCCTGGAACACCATGTTGTAGGGGTATTCTGGCTAACTTTCTCCAAGACTCCAATCCTTACGTCTCTCTCCAGGTCAGCATAGACTTTATCCTGCCAATGGATGGGTACCAGTGCTGGCTTGTGAACAGCAACTGGTCTGGCATCAGGATCTATGTGAAGCTTTAGGGGCTCACAGTTCATCAGCGGTAAAGGTTGATGTTCACATACGTTAAAAGTTGTAGCACTGTAGTAATCAAGTAGCCATTCCTTTAATGCATCCACATTTTCTTCAGTAGCGTCCAAGCCTGGTGGTAGTGTTGTTGGTAGTGGAGGTGGATTAGGCTGACGTCTGGGACAGGAGCAGGTAGTCTCATCTTCTACAGAAGCAAAACTCTCTGATGTGTCTACGGGATGGTTTGGGAAGTCTGCATGAATTATTCCAAGAGAAACCAGTGCCTCCCTGCAGATGAAAGCTTTTTCCATGACATCAGATACATAACATAATATGCGTGTAGATTTGGAACCATCTCTGACCCTCACATCAACTGCAACCGCTCCAATAACCCCAAGGTTTTCTTTGATGGCACCTCGCATAACGAGCTTTACTGGAATTAGGTCCTTTCTGGTAATTCCCAGGTTGTTGGCTGTCTGCAATGGGATTATCGTACTCTGGCATCCGGTGTCAGCCACCATGGTCAGTTGTATCGTTTTGAGCCTTGTAACATCTTTGATGGGATGTCCAAATGACGCATGGTCCTCGGCCAAAGGTGTCATATTAACCAGTAGCATCGGATGAGGTTTGGACGGCCTAGCTATCCATTTTCCTTCGAAGATGTGATGTTCAAGACGTGCTGTATTCTGATATTGTTCTGATGTGGTACATAGCTGGTCGTAGACATAACCAACCTTGTCGTCAGCATCTTTCGTCGGTTCCTGTGATGGTCCCTGATTGTGGAGTTTCTGTCCTCGTCCCTGTGTACAAGCCCTTGACGATGAATCACGATGTCCCCAGGCACCACACGTTGAACACTTGCTGCATGACTTGGTATAATGACCCTTAACTTTACACTTGGCACATGTAGATGTCCAGGCCTTGCAACTTCTTTGTCTGGCTCGACGATCGTTTCTTTGTCCGTGGGCAGGTCCACCACATGCCCAGCACTTGCCTCCAGGTCCTTGTACTGATTTTTGGCTATGGGTCGTTGTCGACATCGCACCGGCTGAATCTCCAACTGCACTCCGTGTAACTTTGCCTTGTTCCTTCTGTGCTATGAAGGAAACAGTCTCTTCCAAGGTTCTGTCTGTCTTAGGATCACCAAGCAGGTCAGACAAAATTTCAGGGTCTGCAATTCCTCTAACCAGATTGTCCTTTATGATCTCATCACTGTAGTCGTAAATGTGGTTACACCCTTCCTCCTTGCATGTGGCCTTGTACTGACAGAGAGACGCCTGACCTCGGAGACTGGCTAAAAACGTTCTGATGCTGGTACCAGGTGCTTGTGTCATCTTACTGAGCTTAATGCGTTGTACCAATGTGCTCTCATCCTTCACAGCAAGCCGTTTAATGACATTCATCAGGTCTGCCTCTGGCATGTCTGTGATGTTACCTCGTTGGTCACGCATGACGTCGGTCCGAAGGTCTGAGTCACAGCAGTAGAACAGAGCAGTGGGTATGACGTTTTGTGCAATGGCCATACCCACCTTGTACATCTCCCATTGTCGAGTGAACGCTGACCACTAGTCTGGGTCACATCCAGCAGCTATGGTGGGTGGGTCCAACTTCAGTTTGGGAGCTGCGGCAGCTGCTGGCTGGGCCTGTGGCTGGTGAACAGTTCTATCGTGGATCTGGAGGGCTGCCGTCATCGCTGCGGCAAAAGCTGCATCCAGGTCCTGAGACTGCCACTCACATCCAAATACAGGGCACTCTAACGTTGGCATGTTGGGGAGTATAGATCGTCTTTTGTACCAAAATTGTCAAATTGTGTAGAACTGGTATCAGTCATAAATGATAACCATCATCCAATGAGTAACTCTTTAATTAACTAAGGATGACTGATACCTGAAACATATAGAAATAATATTACATTACATAAATGATTAGTTAAATAATACCCAGGAGTAGAGAAGAAGATTTTCAAAAAAATAATGCACTTTCACTATATGATCTATATATCCCCACCCTAGCACTAGAACCCCTGACCCTGGGGTCATAAATTTCACGATTTTGGTAGAGTCACCCTTGCTTATCATAACTATGTATTCAATTTGTTTCAATAATATCCAGGAGTAGAGAAGAAGATTTTCAAAGAAATAATGCACTTTCACTATATGATCTATATAGCCCCGCCCTAACACCAGAACCCCTGACCCTGGGGCCTTGAATTTCACAATTTTGGTAGAGTCACCCTTGCTTATCATAACTATGTATTCAATTTGTCTCAATAATACCCAGGAGTAGAGAAGAAGATTTTCAAAGAAATAATGCACTTTCACTATATGATCTATATAGCCCCACCCTAGCTCCAGAACCCCTGACCCTGGGGCCATGAATTTCACAATTTTGGTAGAGGGCTTAATGCTTATTACAATCATGCCAACAGTTTTACTGCTTGATGTCCAGGAGTAAAGAAGAAGATTTTTAAAGAATGCATTAATTTTGGTGGTTTTAGCCCCACCCCTCAGGCCCCAGGGGGGCAGGGACTATGAAATTCATAATTTTTGTTCCCCTTCACCCATAGATGCTATATGCCAAAATTGGTTGAAATTGGTTGAGCGGTTTCAGAGAAGAAGCTGAATATGTTTAAATGTTAACGCACGACGCACGGTGGACGACGCACAAAAACGGATAGCAATAGGTCACCTGAGTGACTCAGGTGACCTAAAAATCCAAAAAAACCATACAAGAAGTGCTCCTAAAGTTGGAATGTGTAATGTATAAAAGCAACTCCATACAATAATAGCAGTACTTAAAATTGGTACTAAACTATGTTTTGAACTTGTAACAGATGCTAATGACAAAATGAACAATTTATTTTCACACTTCTTTTATTTTATTATGTTTATTGTGACATCCATCATCTGCAGACATCACTGGCATCATTACGTGACATATATATCCAGGGTATCATGATCAGCAGATGAAAAGTTTGTGGCCAATTTAATTCTTTACAACAACATATTTATATCTTGTAAATACAGAATGGGTTCTATAGCTTTCAATATTATTTCTTTACCTCGTGAGTATACGTTCTAACTGGTACACCAAATGCCCTCGCCAGTCCAAAATCTGCCAGTTTGATATTTCCCTCCACGTCAATCAGCAGATTTTGTGGCTTCAGATCTCTGTGCAGTACACGGTGTGAATGACAGTAGGCTATACCCTGTAGCAGCTGATGCATGTAACTCTGTAATCAAATCACCTTAAAACATAACATTTTAAACATTGGAAACTGACAGTTCTCCTGAGCTTCTCAGTAAATGCTTATATCAATTATATTCATTATTCAGTTAAATGTATAGAGGGTGTCTGAGCATCTCTACGTGGTCATGTATTTACCTGTAATAAGAAAAAGGGATAAAAATTCATACTTAAAATAGAGTAAAACATGGTTATAGCAAACACACTTAAAATAAATTTACGCTTACAGCAAAGTGATTTTCATTCCCCGTAGTTTTAAAACATGTGATCTGAATGAATTATGTTTAAAATGAATCAAAATTGTTGGTCCCTGGCACTTCTCTATAACTGTGTTCTACTGTATATACATTTGTCAAATCTATTTTATAAACATGCAAAGGGCAAATAACTTCATACCGGTATGAAGTTTTCTAAAGGTCATAAGTAATTCGAGTCCTAATAACATGGTACAATAATATCTACATGTAATGATACTACTTTCGTTAGTGCATTTCAATTTAGCCTATACAACCAGAAGTCTCTGAGGAGACTGTAGCTCTACTGGCTGTATTTATAAAGGAAGATAACTTGGACTTGAAACTTTGCAACAGCCACAGGGCTCGAAATAATTGATGGCCTGCTGGTCTGGGGCCAGTGAATTTTTAATCTGGGCTAGTACATTACAGAGGGCATGTGCCCTTTGGGTCAGCTTTTTTTTTATGCATAATAAAATTCATTCACAGTCGGGCTAGTTAACTTGACAGGGTTGTGTGTTCCAACTTCTGTTGTTTCTTGTTTTGTTAAGTTGTACTTCTAAGTATCACAATATAAAAAAAAATATTACTATTATTATTATGGTTTTGGGCCAGTCTTCTTAAAATCTACAGGCCCAGTGGGACAGTGAAAGTACTAAGCTGACCAGTAAAAATTTAAGGCGATAGCCCGAGTGACCAGTAAACAAAAATAATTATTTCTAGCCCTGCAGCAATAAATAGAATAATAATCCTTGGTTTAGACTCTTTTTGTGGCAAGATTTATCACAATCAGACTAAAACTGTAGGAGGAGTAGCCTTTTAAAATAATTTTACAGAAATTTCGATTTAAGTAACCATGGCTACATCATTCAACAAAATCAAAAAACAATAACAACAATTATGTATCTCAGTGTCGTCTACTTGTATGCAAAGTTAAACTGAAATCAGACAAAAAGTGTAGGAGGAGTAGCGTTTTGAAAGTATTTCAAGAAGTTTCTATTTTTAGTAGCCATGGCAACACTGTTCATTGAAATCCACAGAATTATGTTTTTTTTTATGTATCTTAGTATAGTCTACTTGTGTGCCAAGTTATACTGATATCAGACCAAAACTGTAGGAGGAGTAGTGTTTTGAATGTATTTCCCAGAAATCTCTATTTTTAGTAACCATGGCAACACCTTTCAGTGAAATCAAAAAACGATACACAGAATTATATGTCTTAGTGTAGTCTACTTGTGTGCTAAGTTATATTGAAATCAGACCAAAACTGTAGGAAGAGTAGCGTTTTGAAAAATTGTTTACAGCGGACAGACAGACAGACGGACGGATGACGGACATCTTACTATTGCATAAGCTCTTCTGGTCTCTGACCAGTAGAGCTAAAAATGATGTAAAACATATGTGATGCAAAACAACGATTGTTTTATTAAATCAAAAAAAAAAAAAAAAGAATTCATGTTTGTTTTTATCTATTCCTTTGGTAAATAAACATACAGAATAAACAACTACATCTTATGAACTTTCGAGTCAGCTGAAAATAGTAGTGTATAGTAGCTTATTTTGTCTGTAGGCCTTTAATCTTCATCCTTAACTCTGAATGGTAAGTGATAATTTTTTTTTCGACATCAACATTTTCTCAAATTAAATTTTTAAGTCTGCTGGAAAATAGCAATGCATACATGCCATAAACATTTAGGTTAACACACGACTTAGATTTTGACCATAACATTGTTTTGACAAGGTAAACAGTTGCCAGTGTCTCAGTTTCCACACAATGATGTACATGCATCACTGAAATCATTGAAATAATATTTCTAGTTAAATTTAATGAATTTATGACTTTTAATCTTGAATTTTAAGTAGCCTGGTGTCTGAACCATACATTTTCAAAATTCTTCCAAACTTTCTATAATCCAACACCATACCATGTTTCTTGTGCCTTTCCATCCATCAAATACTTTTTCTCACAGAAAGAAACATAGATAATCAAAGATTACGAAGCTCACCTCAATGAATGTTATCTATAAGTAAGGCAAATCTCACATCATATATTTTTTCTAGTTAGTGTGCATCCCGAGATCAATATCCATGCAAGTTTGGTTTAATTAGGACTTATAGTTACTTGGAAATGGATCTGCTCCAAAAACTTTAACCTGGTCAATTATCAAGAAAAGTTTGGTCAGTTCAAACATCTGGAGCAAGTCTGGAAGTGTCCATCCTAAGGTTCATCATCCATGCAAGTTTAATCATAACAGGCCATATAATTATACAGCTAGTCCAAAAACATTGTCCTGGTCACTCATCAGGAAAATGTATGTCAGACTCAGGATCCAAAGCTGGTCTGGAGGTGTACATCTGTAGATACACCATCCATGCTAATTTGGTTAAAGTATGGCTAAAATTCACTCATCTGGAAAAATAAAGGTCAGATCCAGCATCCGAAGCAAATCTGGTAGTGTCCATCCATGCAAGTTTGGTCCAGATACGGCTAAAAGTTACTTGGGAATGGACCTGCTTCAAAAAATTTAACCTGGTCATTCATCTGGAAAATGTAGGTCAAATCCAGCATTCGAAGCATGTTTGGTAGTATCCATCCCTAGATGCATCATCTGTGCAAGTTTGGTCCAGGAAGGGCTTATAGTTACTTGGGAATGGACTAGCTCCAAAAACTTTAACCAGGTCACTCATCTGGAAAATGTAGGTCAGATCCAGCATCCGAAGCAAGTTTGGTAGTCCATCCCTAGATGCATCATCCATGCAAGTTTGATCCAGGTAGGGTTTATAGTTACTTGGAAATGAATCTGCTCCTAAAACTTTAACCCGGACACCGACGCTAAAGCATAAGCTCATCTCGACTTCATCGAGGTGAGCTAAAAATGCCAGACAATAATCTGTTCATCATTACTGATCAAAATAGCCGTTTACAAATACTCGCTTCAAAACAGAACCATTCATTTAGCAAAGTGTAACCGCTTTCCAAGCCAATTCACTCCTTGTGCTGTTTCATCATAATCTATGATGGGTACTTAGTACAATATTAATATAACATTGTCCATCTCATATGTTATATGTAAGATATAAATACCAAGTTTAAAAACTTCACTGGGAATGAAGTGGGTTGGTACACAATCAAATCTTCTGAGAAACCCTTCAGGCTTCAAAGGACATGATCCTGTAACCAACCCACTTCATTTCACTGTGAAATTTTTAAAACTTGTAATTTATTTCTTACACATAAACAATCATGAAGGGGTGACAATCAAACTTAACATTAAATGCTTGCTAATGTATGCAGACTGACCTTAATAAGAGAAGATGGTATCCCCGAGGCTGGACAGCTGTCCATGTATTTCTTGAGATCTTGGTTCAGATACTCAAACACTAGGTAAAGCTTCTGCTCACTGTGGACCACATCTAGTAACCTACAAAACAAGGTTATCTATAGCAGACCAAACGTAGCATCCCATGACACAAACAGATTACATTTCATCTATTATTATGAACAACTTAAGTAACACATATATACATAAGATTTTCATATAATGGACACATATCCAATAATCTAATGACACAATAGAATTATCTAAAGAGAACTGAATTCTAAGGAACAAGATATATCTATCATGACACACTTCAAAAATACTTGAGATTTTCATAAAGTGGACATGGTGAACAACATCCCATAATTCAACATAAAAAAAAAGAATTTATTTTTAGTAATTAACCTACATACAAAGAGATATATCTCCATGCATCGGACACATACCTTGCTTCTGACAATTTTAAGCTATAATCTTGCATCCAACCTGAATGTCTCTGTGTTTTGGTTTACTTATGTCTTCAAGTCGAAGATTTAAACTTTTTATGATGCCGATTTTCATTATCATGTTGTGATATAAATACCACGATAACGACCTTGAAGTGACATCATATTTGACATCATCAAAGGGGAATAACCAGAACTTTATGATTTTGCAAATTTTTACAGTGTCTTTCCTCCATTAAACTTCAAGTGATCTTGGGTGAATTTTTTAATAATTGATAATTTTATAAAAAATTTCAAGAAATGCCATTTAAAAGTTTGTATTAATTTTCTTAATAGAGCTGTTTTTAATATGTTCATTGCACCATGGATAATGACTTTAATGTACAGAGATTCATGCATAAATACCAAATCTGACGACTGTTTTTGCAGAAATGAAAAATATAAACTCAGCATATTCAGAGAAAATACAAGTAGGCTCTCTTTATTTTTTCAGACTATAAGATCTATGATCCCCCGAAACCAAGGGGCTATTTGCTATATTACGAGGCTTGCATCCCTCCACATTTATGCATAGGCCTATATAGTCAATCAAATTAAAATAGAGAGTTAATTTTTAAATTAAGCATAACAATATTTTCATGTCACTAATTTATACGGCTCTAAATTCGCTCTTGAGTACATCTGGGAGGACAAATAAAGAATTCTATAGACACGTTTTTTTCTTAGATTTCTTTATGTGTATTTGAAGTTTTGACTCTAAATAGGACAAAAAAATGTCTGAACAGATAATCAAGTCAAAAATAAATATTTTATTAATGTTTGAAATATGTGTCATGTAACACATGACAGACATATAACGTAACATGACAGACGTATGATAAAACGTGACATGATTAAATTACATTTCTGATGCTTAGCAATACAAATAATCTGTAAAAAATAAAATTAAACAATTCCTTAAACAATGCAAAAAGTTTTTTCACTCTTACGTAGAAAATAAAGATTTTTAAGCTACTTTTGATGCACAAACTGATGATCGTAACACTGACAGACTCCTTTACTTAGCAGCCAAATAAACCATAAACTTTCATTATTTTATCAAAAAGATAATGTTGCCGTAAGAAATGGACATTATTCAAATTTTGATTCCTTATAGATTTTAAATTTGAATTTTTAAAAAATAAATCTCTGCTATACGCTTTGTAACATACAAAATTTCCACCATGTCTGTCATGTTACGATATTTCTTGAGCAATACCTGTTTGAAACAAGCCAATAAAATTTACCATTCAAAGCTTATCTTTTATTCTTGGAAATTATAATACACAAGACATTATTATTTATGAAAATACTAATGAAATTTAAAAAAATAAATTATTTCATATAGATCAAACCTGTATCGTAACATGTACGGATGCACGTAACCCTGACAGACTCGTTTTAAAAACTGCAAGAAAACAACTACAAAATTGTATTGTTTAAGTTATAAAGACAAATTTTGCCTTATGATACACTAATATTCTTAAATAAATATACTTTTTGGTTTAATTCACTGAACGTATAAATCTGAATGCACCCGTTTGATTCACGTAACATGAACAGACATTCGTTTTGTCCGTCACCGTTACGATAGTATTCAGGAAATGTCTGTCAATCGGTACGTTATGTAAGAAATGTCAAATTATAAGTGTTTATGTAGTGATGAAGAGCGTGAAGTTCATATTTAAAAAAAAAAAAATCCAAAATGCACCTACTAGTTGACAATATTTGATGATATGTGTTTAAAATCTAAGATAAAGACAACTTATATTTTCATGAACGTAACATACTTTGTGTAACGTAACACTTGACAGACAAACGTTCGTGGCTTCTCGGGCTCTCTCTGTAGATCTTCTTATCGAAATGTAAACACATTTGCATAGAACACTGGAGAAAATTTAAATATTCATAACCTTTAAGTCAAATGTATAGGAAGAAGCATCTCCGAGCTCCATTCTTAAAATACAACGTAACGCCCACTTGCCATGACAGACACAGGAAGCATCCCACAGATTTGTTAATTTCTAACCGCACGTGCTTTTCTGTTGAATCTGCGATCACTTAATTGATAAACAGGTAAATTTTCTATCAGTAGACAAGAAAGATAAAATAGTTTGCATAAACAATGGCCCATTTTATAACAAAGTACCCGGTGTATTGAGACTGACAGACGTTACATTCAAAATATGAGAAGAAATAAAATCCAATTTTTCTTTTATTTTAGACATAATGTGCATTAAAATACTTTTGTATGTTAATTTTATCCTTCCTGAACAGTAGTGAATGAAGATATTCCGTGTACAAGGTATTATCGCCGTATATTTGACTTTTATTTTGACATGGTTGAAAATGTCCCCCTACACATGCGTAATTCTAGTGGAATTATCAAATTCATTTCAAGAAAAAAAAAGTAAGTTGATGAAGAAATCTGCTTATTTTATCTTTTTTATATATTTGCAATATACTTTTCAATATAAAACATTTCTTATGTCAATTTTTTAAATAATTTATTTTATATTCCACTTGTTAAAATCATAGGTCAAGATGTACTCAAGAGCGAATTTAGAGCCATACGCATTTTAGGTAATTTAAAGGCCACTGTGATGGAGGTAGGAGTATGTTTTTTCTGTTCAATATACCGTTGTCCAATGCATGGTGAATACTGACCAATCCATCTGTCCATGGTGAAATCTGGCTCAATCAAAAAAATTTGTTTTTTTTTTTAAAATATTTTCTCAATAAATAGCATTTGATAATATTTGGTCGGTAGCGATATCTCTAGAACTTGTTCAAGTACGAGAGTGTCCGATCCATGGTGAACTCACTCTATATAATAACACAACATGATGACAGATTTTTCTATAAAAGGACTGAGGTTGATTCTCCTTTGACCTCTAGGCCTTTGCTTTTCAATTACAATTTACACCTTTTTACATCTTTTACTCAATGATCACACAGAGAACACAAACTTAGTCAACAATGTGCGACAAGTTTAAATTCAGCAAAATACCTGACAATACAGTTATGGTCGAGCTCCTTGAGGAGGGAAATCTCACGAATGGCTGTACTTGGAACTCCCTCGGATTCACTACAAATAATGTATACAAAAGTATAACTAAAATACTTGTAATAGAGTTGAATATGGTAAATTCTAAAGCTACTAGATAGGTCACATGTCAAGCAAGAATGGGGTCTCAATTAAAACAAAAAACATGTAGGCCCAACAATATCTTGTGATGATGCATGTACCGCATGTATGTTTGAATGGCACAATTATAACAGGTATGATTTAGCTATTTCTTTTGCATCTCATACCCATATACCAACATAGCATGATAAAAACAAAATAATGACGAAACCCGACACAAAACACACGCCATAAACACTGATAAACGATAAACTGCCCTGATTTCACGAGTGTTGCATGAAAAAAAATACACACGTGTCTAATCTGATTTTCTTCAAAGCTACAAGTTGTCCGGTGGTCTTATCTCGTGCTTTATACACCACACCATATGTTCCTTCACCAATCTTCTCTATTTTCTGAAAATTGTCCATGGAAATCAGTGTTTACTTTGATCACATCTGTTCCGGAAGCCGTCTGGTCTTTTGTGTACGTAATTTCCCGCGTTCATTTAGGGTTCATTGATTCAATTGGTCAAAATGAAATCCAAATCGAGGCTAGTAACAGGAAATAACAAACTCGGTGTTTTAAACATTTAATTATTACTTTTGTCTATTTGAGTAAGATAAACATTAATAATTAAAAATATATTCAGGACAGCATTTTATCTGTTTATCATTTTATATATATTCAAATGTAATGCCATGATATACACTTACATACACAAGTAACATGCATGGTCCCCCCCCCTTTTTTCCAGTAAACAAGTAAAATTATCTCAATTTTTATACCCGCACTTTCTAACAGTTTTAAAAGAAGTTCGGGTATATTGTTGCTATCCTCGCCTGTCCATCCGTCTGTCACACTTTTTTCTTCCTCAAACAACTTACAATTTAAGGTCTGACGATACGTTGCTCAAATATAGATCTGGACGTTTTTTTTTTTTTTTATCTCTTCTTAATATATAACAAATAAATCACATTTTTTTTTATATTGAGATATTTAAACTATAAAATGTACAAGTAGATAAAGACATCAAAAAATTGTGATATTGGCAGTGGTAGTTATATCTGAGAGGATTATTCTACATACAGCAAATAACATCCTCTGGTATCTTGCACAAATGCCTGGTGGGTAAGGTACCTTAATTTTTTGTGAGGAAACTTATCAAAGTAGCAATACTTCAATGACAAATTCTTGAAAAAAAATTATATATTATTGAGGAACGTGCAGGTACGTAGTATCGGGGGGCAGGGGGGGCTGCCCCCCTTTTTTTCCAGACATAAGTTTTTCTATATTGAAAGTCCGGTTGCCCCCCTCCCCCACTTTTGGTTGCAGTATTGTCAAATAAGGGTGATATAAGGGGAATGCAGTGTTCTATATAGTAAAAAGATTGGTACTAAAAGAAGTTGGAATCTAACACCCCCCCCCCCCCCACCACCACCACCACCACGAAATAGGATTTCCGAGTTTGCACAATTTCCCTTTTTTTTTTTTTTGGTTGAAATGTGCAAAAAGATGAAATTTTCATTTTTTCATGGGGCCAAATAGGGGTTAAAAAAAAGTGTTTTTATACAAAAACCTGGTTCCCTGAACTCCTCTTAAATTTTATGCAGTAATTATCTTTTGGAATATAATTGATGGCATGCGTGGTTCTGTATAGGGGGATGGGTGGGGTAGGGGTGACCGGAACCCCCCCCCCTTCCCGAATTTGCAGAGTTATTAAATGTGTATACTGAAGCACCACCACCACCACAAATATTAGACCTTTTCCCTTTTGGGAATGGACTTTAGGTTTTTTGTTTTGTTTGTTTGTTTGTTTTTTCGCTTGTCAAGAAATTTCTGTTTGGAAATTTTTTAACTGGGTTGGACCCCCCCCTCCCCCCATTGGAAAAAAATCTGGATCCGCGCCTGAATGGTGTACTATAGATGTACACGCAATATCATTTAAGGTTTCAGAACTGGTAGGCGATTGGGGTAAAAAAAAAAAATTCTACAAAAACCTGGTTCACTATTTCAACTTACATTTTTGCAGTCGCCAACTCATCTTTTGGAATATGATTGGTGGTGTCCTTGTAGATGTGCAACAAAGATTTGAATTTTCAGTTTCATCCTGGTTCTTGAACTAGTATCCCCTCACATTTTTTCGCAGTAGCCTATTCATATTTTGAAATATGATTGGGAGTGTCTTGTGGATGGGCTTCGGAATTTCTATTTTCGCCTTGGGCGATTAAGGGTTGAAAACTTTTTCTTTTTGTAAATTATACGTGCATGTAATTATTGTGTCATCTTCCCTAGATACCCAAATATGAAGGCAAGTACATTCAGAGGCAAACACCTAAGTGCGGGTATTACTGTCTTATGACAGCATCTAAGTTTTATCTGTTACAAAACGTGGGTAGTCCTGATTATGGAGAACGTGATTATATAATTTTTGGTAATAAATGTAGATTGATATTACATATATAACGACCCACCCAAATCATGCAAATGGCTGAATTAATTTGACCTTGATTACGTAAATATTAAGGTGGAATGCTACACGTACATCAAAATTTCATTTAATGGATGTTTAAGACATACATGTATATCTTTTGAAACAAGGTTTCAGCATGGAAAGATTTTTACTAGCTCTAAATTATTTTATACGATTTTTCAGTATTTTTTCAAAGAAAATTTAAAAATTGCTTTATTTGCAAATAAGATGCTTTAGAGTTTAAAATTTGCTGTTTATACATGCATAATATAAATATCAAATGAAACATGTCAAGAAGAGTCAGGGAGACTTTTGAAAATGTTTTAATAAAAAAAAAATTATGAATATAAAAATTATTATTTGTTAATATTTTTTTAATCCTGTGGATAAATTCTCCAAGAAATAAGTTACCTATAGAAAAGAAATATGACGCAACTATATTTCATAAAAAATTGAATCGAAATTGCGAAATTTGAGAAACATTGCTAATTTTCAAATTTACAGCAATCCCGATCAAAATTAAACCGATCCCAACCAGAATTATCAAAACTGGAACATTAACATTTCACAAGAATACTAGGTTCCTTTGGTGTAATATGGTTTATAAAATATAATTTATCAATCATGTGGATTTTTCAGTAGAAACTATTTGAGATGGACAATAAATTATTAGTAATAATGAATTTTGTATCGATTTTAATCGGGATCAGTTTAATTTTGATAGGGATTGGTTCAAATTTGAAAATTAGCCATTTTTCTTAAGTTTCACAATTTCATTCCAATTTCTTTTTAAAGTATGATCGAGTATCGTATCTTTCCATAGGTTTAAAAAATATTTACAAATAATGTGTTTCATTTTCATAAATAATTTTTTTATTAAAAAATTAAATTGCTTCACTGACTCTTCTTGGCATGTTTTATTAGATATTTACATTGTGCACTTATTAACTCTAAAGAATCTTATTGCAGATAATATGTTTTTACAATTTGAAAAAATACAAAAAAAAAAAAAAAGAAAAGAAAAAAAAAATCAAAATAGTTAAGAGTTAATATCAATCTTTCCATGCTGAAACCATATTTCAAGTGAGATGTCTTAGAGATCCATTAAATAAAATTTTGGTATAGCATTTCTCCTTAAAAACAAACAAACAAAACAACTAAAAAAATATCTTTGAAGATGTGATGATTATTAACCGATATATAATAGATCACAGTAAGATAATTTACTTACTTTTTTTTTTTTAGAAAGTGGTCCGTATAATTTTGCATATTTTTGACAATGGGATTGAAGTATATAGGCCTAACAGGCCATAGGAGGTATATAAAATAGGGCGCCCCCTATTTTAGTATACTATAGAAAATACAGCTACTTTTCTTGTGCTCTCTCAGTCTCAATAATAATGTCTGATATCTTTTTTTTTGCTTCTCAAGGCATTTTTGCTTGGTACGCCCCCCCCCCCCCCTGAAAATGTTTGGTTGTGCCCCCTTACAAATGAAATAACTTCCTATACGGTCCTGATGAATCATGTGATAATAAGAAAGCACAAAATATATGTTTATTGCGACAAATAGCACTTGACAAAAAAAAAATCCAGGAAATATGTATTACCTGCCGGTTATTTATTTTACATGTATTGAAAAGAAAAAGCTTCATAGTCCCTGATATTTTTTTTAAAAAGATTTCTTTACATTTTCTGTACATTACAAAACAATGCAATTTCTTTTCCACACGTTACCAACCATGTAAACTTTAATTTACAACATGATTCCGAAATTGAGTCAGCAATGGTTTTGTGCGCTACTTGGGGAGCTTCACAATTAATGATTTTATACCCAGTATGTTTTATTGACAAGGATTGGGACATCAAACTTAACTCGTCTACCAGGCACGGGTAGGTGATTTAGCTGCACATGCTGTCTGCTTAAATCATCTGAAATCCTATCTCCTTCTTTCCTTCTACCCTGCTGCTGTTCCCAGACTGATGACATGTCTGCGGGTTGTGACGTACAATAAGAGCTGTGTTCTGATTGGTGATCAAAAGCTGCAGTTGGGTCTGCTCTCTGTGAAGTAGTGTGGGAACTTAAAGAACTGTAATCCAGTTCAGCAGTAACACTCCAGCTCTTGAACAACTCTGTGATACTTTGGTGGAAGTTATTATCCGCTTCACTCCCTGACTGCGGGGCGCATATGTCAGCTACATAACTCTGTCCGACAGTCCCTTCGTATCCTATGACGCTGTGCACGATACCACCACGACTCTCGGTTTCTTCGGGTGGGAAAGGGCGAATTGAGGACATTTCATCAACCATTTTTGACAAATCTTCCGCACTGATATTCTGACTGGACGCAAAGTTAGCATACTGAAGCGAAGGATTCAGGGTGTTGAAGTATTGGATGGATGGATTAAACGATGTAGCAAACTGAATCGAAGGATTCAGAGAATTCTGCAAGGATGGCATCACTGAGTTGGAGAGAGGAAGGGACGGATTCAGGGACAAATTCGTGTGGAACTGAAGAGAACCAGTCGGGTTTTCTGACGTGTTGCTGCTCCCGACGTTTGGTAACAATGAGGTATTGTCCTCGTAGTGGGTGTCAGCAGATATCAGACTACTTCCGGCACTTCCCTGGAAAGCGTGAGGAGAAAAATTTGGAGTTTTCCCGAAAGGTTTTAGACTATTATCTCCTGTCATTTGTTGATGGTAATACAGGATGCTGCTCGGGAGGCTTGGTACTCCTCCACTGAAGTCACTTCCGTTTTGACTGACTCCTTCTGGCGTTTGATTTGCCGATGGAGCAAAATCGCTCTGCAGAGAGGACGGAGGACACGCTGGTTCAGGGTACGATATCATCAGGGAAGCTTCCGGTCCCGTGTCAATGTTTGAAGCGGTAAGACTTCCTGCAGATGACGACATTGGTGAGGACGGGTAGCTAGTGTATTGGGATAAGTTTGTGGTTGCTGCTGAGTTAAATTTAATGTTTGACGGTTCATCTAAACCACATTCCGTCGTTGGCGTATTGTAATGTGGATGGAAGGGCGAGCTCATTGTAAGTGATTTACCTTGCTTCATACAAGCACTGCAAGACTCTTCACTTTGTGTGGTATTTGTAGTTTGCAGGGAATGCATTGGAATGCTTTTCCCTAAAGAACTCACTTCTGATTCTTCATAAGAGGGCGGAGGTGCATGAATGTACGTCAAGTGATAAGGCGAGTACGGAGGATGAGCGCTAAGGTTGTATGATCTTGAGACGTTGGCAATGGAGGTTTCGCTTTCGTCAATAGGCGATAAGTGTTGGCGAAGGGTATTGTTGTTGAGGTCAGACCTCTGAAGTCGTGATTCTGGAGGACACAATCTCCAGTTGTCTTTGTCCCACACAAATGTGAATTTGTCAGCGTTCTGGTGTTGTAGGGCTGTAACGTGGACGTTCTCCATAACACTCGATCGAAGTGGCGTGGTAGACCTTGTGGATCCGCGTACAAAGTCTGAAGTATTCTTGCTGCTTCTTTTAAAACGCTTAGAAATTTTGTCATTGTCAGGAGTTTTCTCGGTAGAGTGGGATGTTCGTCTGCGATTGATCCACGTGTGCCAAAGCAAGCAGATTGTCACTGTTACCAGGAACACGACAATCAAGAGAACAGGAATGATAACTCCCCAACCGACCACAGCGCCATCCCCTGTATCGTCCTTTGGGGTGGGGGTTACTGAATTGTTCAGGAATGTCCACTTATCGATGTCCGGAAGTAAATGTAATAATTCAGCCAAAGTAATGTTCAGATCTGCAAATAAAGTAATTCACAAATTTATGAACAATTTTAAATTTTAACAGAGCAATTGATCATTCAAATGTAACCTCGCTAATCATTTTAATTAGTCTTGCTTTATTAGATTTTCGAATAGAAACCTCTGAGCGCTTTCGTGATGGCAATCTGGTCTTCTATAGCATTTCCGGTGATGTTGATACCAAGGCTCTCTATGTACACTGACTGACGGCCATTGGATGTCTGTGATAGCACGTGACTGGTAACGCTTAAAATCAGCAGCATCAGCTCAGGACACCCTGTTAGGAACACATCGATGCCTTGAATGTTTTAATAAATCAACGAAAATGCTTTGTAGCTACCATCTGTACAATGTCAGTGTTTTTGTCAGTGTCGGTGTGAAGAACGTAAACAATAAGTCTTGGTATTGTAAAGGGAACGACTTGACTTTACCGGTCCCCAGAAAAACGCGCTAAAATATAGTGTCGCCGTAGGCGACTTCAATATATATGAGATCGCGTGAGCGATCGAAAAAAATTTAAAATATGAGGTTTTAAGCCTTTTTGACCCCAAAATCGAATTCTACGGTTAAAAATTTAGTTTAAAACTTCGTTTTTAAACGAAGTTTTTAACCTCGTTCTCTGAAAAAAAAGTAATAACTATTGTTTATTCAGTGAAAAGCACTGTAGGAAAGCCGATGACCGTAATATAGTTTACGGTCATCAAAACATGTCGGTTGAGATAATCGGTTGAAAATTTTCGACGGCGATTATAAACATAATTCAATAAAAATGAATAATTTAAGGTAATGGTTAAACGAACATCGATGTTATCTCCACACCAGTAGTTGTTGTTTACCCAAACAAAAGAAAATGAAATGATAAAAGGCATTCGAAATTTTCCAGTATGATGACCGTAACAAACACATTCAAGCGAGAAGATGATGACCGTAAAACAGTTATATAGATGACCGTAATCTTTGTACAAAATCATGTTAGATGTTTTATTCTTATTTAACATCAATTCTACATGTTCCATAACACCCCTGTAAACAACTCTGATTCGATCAGCAATATACTGATAAAATCATTGAAGAAGAAAGTATCGTAGGGAGTAAGTTGAAGCAGTTTTGTATGTGCTGGAGTATAACCAGCTGTAAATAATGCTAGTAAATTTGTAAAATAATTTCTGTGCAAATGTTACGGATCAAATCGACAATGCTCCCAACATCGAATTTCCATGATTTGAGATAGTTTAGATTGTTATCATCTATCAACATTGAAGTCATTCTTAGAGGTATGAACTAAACATTTTTAAAATTAAAACTGTATACATTAGCATCAAAACAACTTTTAATTGGAAATTTTGCGAGGCGATCGTCAACGACATGTATCGTTTAAGCGATCGTATAATTGGGAAATAGCGATCGTAAATTAAACGCATGGAAAAAAATAGCACAAATCAGAGTAAATTCTGTTTAGGAAGTGTTATTTCGATGTATAATATATTATTAAATTCAAATAAGGCAATCGGTCATTGTGATATATCGTTTTTAACCATTAAAATTGACCTACATAACTATGTTAATCAAAGAGATACTACGAAAAACGAACTGGAGGGCTCGCAAAATTTTACCTAAAAATTATAGCAGTTATAGTATCTCATATAATATATTTCAACAGAATAGAATTTATTTGCAGGCACGTAGTATCGTTTTTTTAAAGGGGGGATGTAAAATTACCTTAGAAAGTTTGACAAGCAAAATAAAAAAGGAAAATTGTCCAAATTCGAAAAATCCTATATTGAATGTGTGTGTGTTGGGGGGGGGGTAGTTTGGTTTCAACTTCGTTCACAACCAAATTTTATTCACAAAGTACCAAAGTATCACTTTTTAACTATGCTGCAAAGAAAAAGGGGTGGGGGGGAACCAACCTTTCAATGAACATTTCAACTGTTACGGTAAAAAGTCATGTTTAAAAAAGTGGAAGGAAGCAGCCTCACTAAACCCCCCCCCCGTCACAATTTGTGATATCCCGATGAGTTGTACAACTCAGAGGCAATAAAGATTTGAATTTTTGAATTGAATTGAGTTTAATAGAGTAAGCTATCATTAATTGAACCACAGGAGTTGGAATATGGCCTTTCTGACATATTTTATTTCTTAAATAAAATTTGTAACATGACGACTTTTGTAAGAAAGCAATAAAATTTATTATACTTCTGTTATAATGTTTCCTATATAAAGTTAAGAAGGTAAAATAACTATTTTTCTATAGTCTGAAAATTTCACGTCTAACAAAGCTATACCCCGGGGTATAGTTTGTGCTATCCAGCCCTCGGAAAACTTTCATTCAATTTTTGCCGCCGATTTTGATTTCCTGCAATAGACTGATGATGGCATTATGACTTCACTAGCATTGTGACGTCATCAGCATTTCAGCTTATTCTTGCAGTGTTATCTTACGCCAAATACTTCCCCAAAATTCTTTTGAACTTTTCATATTTTGCCTATGACACTGTAGTATCAGGTAATCCAAACCTCAGAAATTATAATTTACATCAGTATAATAAAACGCTTATCCACTGGCTTTGAATGGGATAGCTCTTTCATCAAACCCTTGACAGGAACTATTCCCCTCGGGCAAGCCCTCGGGGAATAGTCCCTATCGCGGGTTTGATAAAAGAGCTATCCCACTCACAGCCAGTGGATAAGTGTATAATGTCAAAAAGGACACATACCTATCATTCCCCCGAAATTTTCCGTATCCCGTAAATAAAAGATATAAATACTATAATAATAAAAAATTTCAGTAAAATGATAACACTTGTAATTTTAGTTTAATTGATGGGTATCCAACTCCTGTAATTGTTATTTTTATAGTATAGTGTATTTTTTTTTTATTTACTGAAAATTTCGGTAAAATTTATAGGTATGATTATAGGCTGTGATTGAACAGCCATCCCATAGACAATAAAACCTGTTTTTCTATAATCCTGAAATTCGGTCCTGCCAATACTTTTTGTTAGTATCTGATTTATTTTAATCGAGTGCCAATAGACAATTAAAAGCAAGAAATCTGGATTTTTGATTTTGCTGTCTTAAAATGTGGACATTATCCAAGCAGAAGATTAGAAAATCTGTCAACCCCCCCCCCCCCCCTTTCTTAAAAATCAAATGTTCGGTGTCCTGTTCTGTTTCAGCCCATGTAAATCGATAATCTCTTACTATATTTCATTAAACTGTTAAGGGTATTTAATGAATTTCAAATTGCACGATCGCATGTTTATCATATTTTCTTAGTTGTATGATCGCACACAGAATCGTTGCCGATCGTAAAAACGTTTGGCACGTGTACACTTCAAATCTTTATTTTGACGCTTTCTGTTTGATATTACGGTCATCATAAATTTACGGTCATCCCACTTCACTGAATAAACCTCGATTACGGTCATCTTAATATTTTGTTACGGTCATCATTCTCAAAAACTTTGAGGTCGTGCTACAGCTTTATTTTCTTAAGTTCAAAGAAGCTATAATAACCAATAGCAAGTTTTCATTAGCATAAATTCAATTTTCAGCGGAATTTACACAGATATGCTAACAAATGTTTGATATCTTGAATGAAAAATTCTTACCGATCAGCTCGGCCGACATGTTTTGATGACCGTAAACTATATTACGGTCATCGGCTTTCCTACAGTGGAAAAGGAGACACAAAATTGTGAACGGAGCGCGTGCGGCGCATGCTTAGTGCCGTTTCTTTTGTACTTAGCCATTTTTTTCATGTAAACAAACCAACGAGATGTCGTTGAAGCTGAATTAAGATCTTGCAAAAAAATACAGATGCAACTGAATTTCTTAATTAATCTAAAAGAACAAGACACTAACCCTAATCTCTCAGATGGTATGCGAGGACTAACCCAAATCTCCCAGGCGGATGCTAGACTAACTCATGTGCGAGGACTAACCCTAATCTCTCGGATGGATGCGAGACTAACCCTAATCAGTTGAAAACTTATGGAAGGACTAACCCTAATCTTTCAGGTGGGTGCAAGACTAACCCTAACCAGTCGAAAAATGTGCAAAACCAACCCTTATCAGTTGAGTGACGTAAGTCTTACGTCATAGTGCAATGAGCACGCGGATCTTGCGGATCTGGGGACCGGTAAAGTGAAGTCTACCCGACAAATTCTGTGCAAAAGTGCCTTAAAAAGAATCCTAATTGACCTATTCATATGGACCATTCATATTTTCAAAGCTATGAATTTTTTAGTAACATGGGTGGAAAAACAGTTACAACTACCTGCTTTTATGATAAATAAAGATTTTTTTTACCTCCTTTTCAAGAATTCCAATTTGTACATATTTTAACATATTTTTGACAAAGGAGATGGGTGAACAAGGCGCACAGAATGCCTATAGCTTCTGATATATTAAAATCATACTAATCAATTTGTGAATTTAGTATTTTGAGTAAAGTTTTCGTTATTGAAATTTATGAAAGTATAATGAACAAAACTTTTCTCAGGAAAATTTATTTTGTTATTAAAAAAATAATGTCGTATTCGTGGGGTTCGAACCCTAGCAATAAAATTCCTGAGTACCATTTCCCTTTGAGACTAACATGCCAACCACTACGCAACACAGCTCCTGATGAATGGTGACTTTTAAATCATGTATGTGATATGACCCTTGACTAAATGGACTTCAGGTATTTCTCGGAAAGATGCGAATGTTGTGTCATAAAAGTGTATTTTTAAGATAAAGTGGGTCTTTACTCCATGTTTTTGTTAACCAAAAAAATGCATATTTTTATGCAAACTTTGAGGATAAAATTTTCAAAACTATGGAGCGAAGACCCACTCGTATAGAAAAATTATGTTATAGTATGAGAAAATGATCCTTTTTGTCCGCTTTAGTCAATTAGTGTGTGTATGCTATTTCATAGGCAAATAATTTCAATGTTTGTGAGATTTTTACTAATTGTGGAGATTTAACATAAAGTATATTTTAATTTTAGATGAAATATCAAAGAAAATTTTGTTATAATTGAGATTTAACATTTCACCTTCATGTTTGTCGCATTATATAGGCATTGTGCTCGCTTTGTTAACCCAACTTCTTTAGGACTTATTAAAAACTTCCATAGAGTTTCCAACAATAACTTTTAAACAAGTGACATGATTTGCTCAATTTTAAATTGATGTTTCAAAAGAGTTTATGGAATTACCGAGTATCTTTTCACAGGCATTAAAAATAAATCTCCAGCAAACACGAATACTTTGCTCAACTTGACAGAATTCAGTTTGTTTTCCCCCTTATTTTAACATATTTTGCAAATATTTTCACATGCAGACAAAAATCTATGAAAACAAAGAAGTTCAATATGTCTGAGTCATAGTGTTCCCAGAAATTATTAATTGAGAATTTTTTCGTGAATTTTTTTTTCAAGATATTTTACAAATAAAATATTTACAATTTGAAAAAAAAGAAAGATTTTTATCAAATGACAATACTTGCTACTATGCAGTTTTTATGAATGTCAACATTTTCTTTGTGTATTCCGGTTGATTGCTAATGTTCAAAATGAGTGCTTTTAAAAATAATAAAAGCGTATTGTAGATATCTATTATCAAAAATGGCAAAATTAGCGATATTTCTGAAACACTGAGTATTCCACTATCTATTGATTCAAGTGGGGCAAAATATTGAAACATAGGTAATCGGAGATTACAGAGCTCACCTCAACGAATGTTGTCTTTAAGTAAGGCAAAGTCCAACACTAAACTAATAATCTATAGCTAGTAGTGTGCATCCCTAGATTCAAAATATATGCAATTTTGGTCTGATAGGCTTGCAGTTACTTGGGAATGGACTTATTTAAAAACTTTAAACTAGTCACTCATCCAGAAAATGTAAGTCAAATCCAGCATCTGAAGCAAGTTTGAGAGTGTTCGTCCCTTGATGCATCATCCATGCAAATTTAGTTCAGATAGGCCTTATAGTTACTTGGAAATGAGACCTGCTCCAAAAACTTTAACCTGCTCCAAAAACTTTAACCTGGTCACTCATCCCGCAAATGTATGTCAAATCCAGCATCCGAAACAAGTCCAGTAGTGTGCAAGATGTATCATCCGTGCAAGTTTGGTCAACATAGGACTTATAGTTACTTGGAAACGAGATCTGCTCCAAAAACTTTAACTGCTCCAAAACATTAACCTGGTCATTCTTTAGCTGAAATTGCAGCATCTGAAACCTTGACTGGTACAATGAAACACACTAGAAGCATCCTCCATGCACCTCTGATTGATATAGGGCATAGAAGTACTTGAAAAGAAATCTGCTCCAAAAACTTTAACCTGGGACGCCGAGGGTATTACATAAGCTCCTCCAACTTTGTTGGGGTGAGCTAAAAATGAAAAGGAATTCGGCAGACGGAATGAGCTGGTAGAGCTAGGAATGAACCCCCCCCCCCCTTTTTTTTTTTAAATTTTTTTTTAAACTTGTGTTGTTTTACTGAATAAATATCCAAGCCTTCTTGATATGATATGTGAATGTTAGTTTACTAGACCTACAAACTGTTTTTCTTAACTGAATTCCTCTTATTTTTTTAACATTTTGTACCACACAATACAAGAAATAACGCAGAATTAACGTTTTACTAAAAAATCATACCCGCGGTATTATAAAATAGAGTATAATACCGCGGGTATGATTTTTTTTTTTTAGTAAAACGTTAATTCTGCGTTATTTTTTGGATTTTTCATATGGAATGCATTGTAAATATGTACTAAAAGAATAGTTTCTGAAAAAAGACAAAAATATTTTTGGACACGGGGGTATATTCGGGGGGGGGGGGGTCCTGTCCACAAGTATCTGTGGGGGGAAATACTCAGTGTTTTACAACTATCATCAGATTTAACAACCCCTTACTAATACATAGCTTGAATAGGCTTTCTATTTTCGCTAGCAGTAATTTTGAACATCAGCAGACAACAGGAAGTATATAATATAAATGGGAGGCTGTCCATGAAAACTGCATGTATCATCAGAAAGTAGGGGGTTTTACCATTAAATTGTGTTTTTCTGAACGCGCTGAACAATGAGCTTTTGCAAATGACCCTATCCAGACACCATACCTTTATTATATAGTATAGACTGCAAGTATATGTTGAGTACGAGAATTTTACGGTTTAGCAAACGAATCCAGATCTCCGGAAGTATTTTCACGAAACATTAGCATTTGAAAAGCGAGAATATCTTGTACATATCTTAATCTTTGTTATAAATTTAGAGCGTTAACATAATTGGAACCTGGAATCGTTTTCCTGTTTCTTGTATGACAAAAAATATAAAGAGTACCTTTTGGGGTCTTCATCTTTCCTTTGAATCCACTCAACAGAGTCCAGTTCTTTTGAAATGATCATCAGTGAGCAATCGAGCGAACTGTGTTCACCAGGTCGACATAGGGCGCTATACCTCTTCACGGTTCACTAACGATACCATCTATGTTTAGAACCGCTTTAATCTCCCCCAAACAATTGTATTTGTGGTAAACCACCTATACAAATATTTTTGTCTACAATAATAAAAATACCCTTGGTGAAATGCATAAACCTTGCTTATATACAAATACATCTTTACCCATACATGCAGTTAATATATATACACATATTCTGATTTTTGTTCGTAAACATCCTTGTACTTTAAAAAACGCAGCTCTGTAAAAAATAAAAATAAAAAAAAAAACTAGATGCTGTCATGAGACAGTAATACCCGCACTAAGGTGTTTGCCTCTAAATGCACACTCCTTCACATTGGGCTTACCAAGGAAAAAGTCCAAATAATTCTATAATTTACACAGTACATGTATTCGTCAAATCGAGCATAAAATGCTCAGGTGACCATGTGACCCATGAACCTCTTATACGCATTTCATATACTTAATTCATTACCAGTCTGAAATAACAGAATTTAATTAATGATGTAAATTAGGTTTTGATAAAAGGGGGGGGGGGTATAAATTTTTGGCCCATAATTGGAAGTTTTTAAATTTATTTTCTCAACAACAAATAATATTATTTTAGTACAAAGCGTTTTTGATGAATTTATCAAAATGTGCAAACTTTTTTTAGTATTTGATTAGGCAAAAACCTCCTTGAAAAGCCATACCCAATCAATTTTGTCACCCCCCCCCCCCCCCCCCAACACACACACACAATTTGCCTGTTTTTGGAAATAGGCCTAGATGGCAAAGTTATGTTAAAACATCGTTTGTTATGATAATTTAAAATTTGGTCCTGTACTGTACATGTATGTGAACACCTTTTTGAAAATTTCTACATCACATTGGGCTTGCGTCACCCTACCAGTACTAGTTTTACCATTATCATTTTTAGATTGCACATGCCATGTGACATGGTGCAGTGTTACATGTATATCAGTGGAAATTAATTCATTTTGTGTTTTAATTGGATTATATTTCATGAAGTTGACAGGACCTATGACAGTCGGTAAGTACAAGTTTAAGTATAGATTGGGGTAAAATAAACCGAAATGCAAATGGTTAGGTTAAAGATTAAAAAGGATCAAAGATCATCGGCAATCTCCCATGCAGAGTTGTCGTTCGTTTCTCTCTGACACTGAATGTATGAGCCGATGGTAGAGAGTGGATCATCGAATGCCACAATAGACGAATTTCACATTCTGAAGAGTTATCTCCCGTTGTCGACATTACATTCAGTTACAGGCACAGATCCGGGAATTTTTTTCCGGGGAGGGGGGGGGTCCACACCTCGGTCCAAAAAAATTCCAGCCCAGAATTTCCTGAGGAGCAAAAAAAAAAAAACAACAAAAAACAAACGAACAAAATAAAAACAATGATGGTGGGGTCCATGTTTTTAAAGGGGGAGGGCATCCAAAGTCATTTTTTATTTGCTTCTGTAAATCAGTATATAGTCCTTTTTAAATAACTCTGCAAATTCCAGGGGGGGGGGGGTCCAATCTCCCTAGCCGCTCCCTGTCCCTGAAATGACAAATGATCATGTGACTCCTAAATAGTAGAAAACTTTTCCATTTGACTATACATAATTTTGTTTCTTGTGTTATTATGTTATGTACATCTAATGGTTTAAGGTTATGAACCCCTGGAGGTCATCCCCACTCTCTTAATGAACTGGAAATGTTCATAATATGACTACATCAAATTAAATAAAAGTGCATCAATGAAAAGATTACTTGACATTTCATTCATGAATTTGGGTCAACCCATGTACCCTCCTAGAATTAGGAATGAAAATCATTCAAAGAGATGGACCATTAAACTATTTGTATATATTCACATTTTTTTTTATGTCAAACCAAAGTATTAGACTAGTTAGCATACATGAACAAACAGGGGTCTGGGAAGGGGAAGGGGCAAGGGGAAGGAGTTATCTCTTTATGTCTTAATTGTTGAAAATTCCTAAAATGAATGTTAACCTCAAATCCGACTTGTACGTCTTCATTATTTTTAAGTGGTGGTGTCTCTGTATGAGTGAAAAATTCCCAAGAGGGACATTTAACGACAAACAAACATTAATGACTTAAAAAACACAATATACATGTACATGTTTATTAGTCAACAGATATACTTCTGATCATATCTCTAGTTCTCCCTTGAATCAGAAATGATGATATAAATATTTTAAGAATGATTAAGAGTTTAAAAGGTTGTGCATTTTAAAATTCACTAAGCTCTAGGGCTGGGACGATACTGAACTTAGCCGATCCGATACATATCACGATACCTTAGGTGCGATACGATACATATCACGATACATTTAAAACCAAATAAAACTAGAATTTTTTTTAGAACATTTAATTTGGAACATAACAGTGTATGAAAATTAACTAATTCAACAAATAGGTAGCCCAAATGTGTCCCAGACACCCGACTTACTGCCATTGGGTTTCGTTAATTTTATATAATCCGGCGTGTCTGACGCCATTTTGACGCTTATATCTTGAATTCTGTATCAGCAAGACGTTTGTACTTTATTTGTGTTTGTTTAAACGTCTTGATGATACAGACTAAAGGACAAAAAAATTTCGAATTCTAAAGCCAGGACATTTTTGGAAATTAAAAAAAAAGTGCGGTCAGATATCGTGATACTAAATTAGATGAATCGATCTGTAGATCGTCAAAGTGAATACTGTGATGCATCGGTGCACCGGTGGATCGTCCCACTCCTACTAAGCTCTCTGGTTGAATTAGCTATACCAGTTTAGCTTATTTTGCTACTCAAAGCACCTTGATTAACTATTTTTAATCATACTGTTTTCTGAAATGTGAAATTTTTTCAACATGGATACAAGTCATACATTTTCAGCTTCTGAAAACAAAACTGCTTTTCAAATACTGTAACTCTTTCCAAGTACTTGTGATCATCAGTTTTTAGCTCACTTGAGTTTTTCTGGTTTTCTGATCACATTTTGTTTGTCATCCATCTGCCCGCCTGTAAACTTTTCACATTTTTGTCTTCTTCACTAGAACCGCTGGGCAATTTCAACCAACCCTGCCACAAAGCATCTTCGGGGAAAGGGGATTCAAGTTTGTTCAAGTGAAGGGTCACACCCTCTTTCAAGGGGGGATAATCAAGAATTAGTGAAAATTTGGTGGTATCATTTTAAAAAAAGTCTAATATCAAGAACCACTGACTGGGCCCAAAAAGTTGAAACTTTCTTTACATAGACTTAGTGTAGCTTCAAATTTGTTAAAATTATGACCCACTGGGGTAGGGTGGGGCCACATATGGGGATCCAATGATTTACATAGAAAAATGCAGGGGATTTTTTCCATCATAAATCTTCTTCTCATGAACAGCAAGGGCATTATTGTCATCTGTTTTCACAAAAGGGACCTAGGGGACATTAAATCTCATTTGTCTGTTAGTCTGTCCGTTTGTCAGTCTGTCCGTCTGTCACAATAAATTTAACCTTGGTCATACCTTCTGAATAATAAGAGATAGTGCTTTCATATTTCACATGTACATTACCTACAAGAACTTTCTAAACATACCATGATTTTTGAACCCAGGACCTTGACCTTGAAGTTTGACCTACTTTTCAAAAAATTTAACATTATTTTAAATGATCATTTTGAAAGAGAAAAGATAGGGCGTTCATATTATACATGTATATTACCTGTGACAAGACCTTTCTAAATATATCATGACTTTTGACTCTGTGACATTGACCTTGAAGTTTAACCTACTTTTGATTGAGAAGAGATAGGACTTTTATATTTGACATGTACATTACCTGTAACAAGATGTTTCCAAGCATGCTATGATTTTTTTTACCCCTTGACCTTGATGTTTTACCTAATTTTCAAAAACTTTAACTTTGGTGATTACTTTTGAATGACATATGATAAGGCCTGCATATTTGAAACAATATGTCATAAATAATGGCATCCCATCCACTAGGACACGGAAAGCAGGGGACCACAATTCTTTGAATTTGCTTGTTAGTCATTTTGATATGGAAACATCCTCATATAGTGTAGATTCAAGTTTTTTATGCCCTGCCATGAATATGGCCGAGGCATATAGTGTTTGTCATGTCCGACTTCAATAAAACGTCATATGCTGATACATATTGATGTAAGCTTTTCAACTGCATCAAAATTTTTGACCTTGACTTTTCCTTTGACCTTGACCTTACTTTTCTTAAATTAGTGTCTAGATCAGTTTTGAATAAACAATTCAAGATATATTTATCAAACTTCGTATGCTGATATATACTGCTGAGAGATATCAATTGCATCAACTTTTTTGACCTTGACTTTTCCTTTGACCTTGACCTCACTTTTTTAAATTAATGTTTATCTACGTTTTAAATAAACCATTTCTGATATTTTTATTGAACTTCTATGCTAATAGTAAATACATACTGATATAAGCTTTTCAACTGCATCAGCATTTTGACCTCAACCTTTCCTTTGACCTTGACCTCTCTTTTCTCAAATAAGTGTTAAGCTCAGTTTTAAATAAATCATTCAAGATATTTTTATCAAACCTAATATGCTGATATGTATTAGCGAGAGCTATACAACTGCATCAAAAACTTTTCACCTTGCACTTTCCTGTGACCTTGACCTCCCTTCTCTTTAATTTGTATTTTGCTTAGTTTTAAAGAAACAATCTAAGATATTTTTATGTAAGCATGCACTTATACATAATTTTGTGAGAATTTATCATCTATATCCATTTTTTTTTTAGATTTTAGTTTCAATTTTAAAGAAACTGTTCAAGATATTCTCATCAAACTTCATACACTCATACAAATTTTCATGTTGCATTAGTAATATACATTCGGCGGGGCATTTATGTCCTATGGACATATTTCTAGTTTTCAAATCATGACCTCCGAGGATAGGGTCAGGCCACAATAAGGGATCAAAG